AGGGACTGTAGCATACTTTAAAATGAGAAAATATGTAATAAATGCACTTCATATCAGGAAAATGCTTCTATTTTGTAGATCCATGATTGCGAGATGCTCTTCCCTCGGAACTGAGAAGACAGTTCCTTTGCCAGCATTCAAAACAACGATGAAAACATTTATCTGTAAAGATTTATGGCCAAATCTTTTTTAAATTTTGTTTTAAATCTAAACAGATTGTCTCCTTTCAATTTTTTATATCATTTATTATTGTTGTCCTTTACGCGCTAATTTGCTTTATAGTAATTCATGTAATCTGGGTTTGTGGTACATATGTAATTGTTGTGGAATGTGTTGTACAAAGATGACAATAATAGATATGCACAGAATGTGTATGATTTTTATGTACCGTATGTATAACGAAATGAAATTTGGATTTAAATGGCGCATAGACACAGCTGCGTCTCGACGCTGCACAACAGCGGCACGTGTCGCATTCTGCGTGGGTCACTGCGGTGGTGTAGGCGGTTAGTGCGCTGTGATTAGAACTCAGCGACCCGGGTTCCATTCCCGCTCACGGCCAACACCAGTGACGATTATCTGAACCGGTTCCTGGGCCTCCCCTAGGTCGACTCAGTCTCAAATGAGCACCTGGTGCGGTGTGTAAACATCGCCACTGGGGAGACAAAGGCGGCCGGGCATGGTTGCAGGCACCCACCCCCTCGTGTGCCGTGCCGACCTTCCATAGGTGCTCGCTAACAGCACTTGCCCCCAACAGTCTGTTAGGGCTATACGGGGGACGTTTGTCTTGCGGTGGAGCTGTATCGCTCTCACTTGCTGAAGACGTGCAGCCAAACTCTTCAGCCAAACGCGACGAAAACAACGCGCCGCATCGCCCGACAACACATCGGATAACGATATGTCGGGACGTGCGCGTCTCGAGCCGAAAGGAGGATAAAACGATGTTGTCAATTCTACATTCGTACGATTGGGTCCATCCATGCACGGGGCAATATGTGACTGCACTGTTCGTGGTGTTATTCCTGCCCTGTTACGCTGTGCCCGAAGCAGTGACCTTGGCTGCAAAGTGCTGCCCTGCTGAACAAGCATGTTAATTATCCGGGAGCGCTGCGGCGCGCGGTGTGTAAAACACATGCATGCGGAAAGCACGCCCTCACGACACACACACAGGGACGCATTCATACGTTTATTTATATCATCACGACTCAAACGAACAAAAGGGGACCGATTTACACCTGTCCTTATTAAGGCCCTTCCATTGACTATATCTGTTCACTATCTGTGCACAGCATGCCATTGGCTCCACGGGTGGAAAGATGTTAACTACCTCGCCTTGTATACAGGAGGTCGTGGGTTCGATTCCGACCCATGACGCTTATATATTTGGAGTTTGCATTTTCTCCCCCGTGGTCGCGTGGATTTTTCTTTGCGTCCTGCGGTTTCCCCCTCCACATTTGAAAAACACGCGTTTAGAGTATTTGGCTGCTATAAATTTCCACGTGATCAGCCACTTCGTTGAGCTATCATTTGTGGCCAGGTCGCTTCTGAAAAAGTGCTAGATAGCTCAGTGGGCCTTTCTTGGTAAAAAAAAAAAGTTCGCTATGTTCTTTTGCATCATGCCTGCTAAAATAATATCTCTATATCCTGCGTTCCAAACAAATAATATTGTCTGTTCTTTCAACTTCCTATCAAGAGCCGCGCTATTGTAGGTCACGCCCTCTTTTGTGCTGCTCCTACTGCATGCATATCTATATTGTTTTTTTTACATTCAGATTCATGAGGCTATTGAATATTAATTTTGCTACATCCCCCCCCCTCCCCCCCGGGTCAATTTCTAGATTTTGATATCTTATAAATTATCATCATCTAATTAATCGGATAAGAACCCACCCAGTCATGATCTTTCATGCCAAAGAGACTTGATGACTATAATCACATTGGATAATTCCCTCCCACAATATTTAGTAATGATTAAGATTATATATCAAACTTAGGCTCTGATATCACCACAAAACAGCAGACCCTTGTAATTATTTCAATATCATCCTCGCAGTTGCTTTTGGCAAACCATCGAACAAAGACAGTTTCTGCATCGCACGTTTTAAGATTTACTTCTGCGGCCGTCTGGAACGCTCTTCCGATATTAGGAAACCACTGGAGCTATGCACTTCTAAATCTAAATGGAAAACTAATTATTTCGAACTGCATTTTGTGTTACATTTTTTGCCCTTCTCCCGTACCCCCGATTAGCATGGCTGGCTATATACGGTGCGAAAGAAGTTCAACACGTAAACTCAACATTCACTGTATGCCAGGCAGCGCACTTTAATAATTACCAGGATAAAGTAACCAGGCAGCTGCAGTAATTGAATCATTGGCTCAAAGCATTGACCTCTAGCTTTTGGTTAGAATTCACATGGAGCCGATTGATCAAGTTATTCCTTACCACACTCTCCTGATGTTTGAAATCCCGTCACGTCTGTACGACATCTAGAGAGGACTCTATATTTCGACGCTATGTGCTAATCAAAATTGTATTCATGTGATTCACCCATACACCGGGACAGCGGGAGAATGCCTGCAACATCACAGCAGGGTGGCAACTTTGACATCAATTGGCACGTTACGCATGAACACAACTTTATTTTTATTTTTACTACAAGCTATCATTTAGGAACTATTTTAAGCACATTATCTCAACAAAGAGCCATTACTCAATGGGCACTGACACGACTTGGGGAGCGGTAGTTTAGTGGTGAGTGTGCTACACTACGAACCTGGCGACCAGGGTTCGAATTCCCACTCACAGCCAACACGGGTGACGAATTTCTGAACTGGACCTGGGCCTCCCCTAAGTCGACTCAGCCTCAAATGAGTACCTGGTATGGAGTGTAAATATCGCCACGAGGGAGACAAAAGCAGTCGGGCGTGGTACTGGCCACCAACCTCCTCAGGTACCATCTCGGTCTTCATGGGTGCTCGCTAACAGCACTTGCTCCAACAGTCTATTAAAGGCTATACTAGGGATCTTTGTCTTTGATATCAGCATATATTAAGGAAATCACAGCACCCAAGTGCCAATGATTACACATCAAGTACTCATCTAAAGGTGAGTTGGCTCATCAAGTCTGAGTTGAGCAAGGGGAGAGACAGGAAAAAGTTTTGACACCAGGTGGCTGGGTGTTTTTGTATGCAGGCGTGCAGTGCGTTCATTGGCTTTTACGCGATTAGACAAATATAGTGAGCTCGTGAGACACGTTCGTGTCATGACGGCACGGTCGGCCGTGGCTTTCCATCCACGGAAACAGCGGGTGGTGTTACAAACGCATGCCCGTCTTCGCACTACGCGCCACGCATGTAAAGTTGTTGCCAACATTACCCTTGTGGGTGGCTGCTGGGCATCAAAGCAGCTGTCTTTTACAACCGAGATGAAGTGCACATGAAATAGCTTCCTCATCTCCTGCTGAAGTTGTTCAAGTGAGCCGGTGTCGGTGAACGCGTGACGTTTACGAGATTAAAAAAAACAATCCAGTGAACCTTCCACTGGCTCGTACATCATTGATGGCATTGCGGCTGATTTTGTCCAGGGACCTGCGCATGATGTCTGGCTGTGAATGAACCTGGGTGAAGAACTTCAGGCCTCGGGGGGGGGGGGGGGGGGGGGGGGGGGGTCCCAGGGCGTTCCACAGCCGAGCGTTTTCATCTCATTCGTTTTCAAGCTCACCACGTTGAATTTGACGCGAATCGAGGGCCATTCCTCGAAAAGAATACCGCGGCTTTCCAGAAAGCGAAATAATGAGCAAAAATGTGTTTAATGCGGTGTTATCATTCGTTCCGATGATTTAGATTTGCCGTCATTTAGGTGCGACTGGTGCAAGCATGCGCATAAAATGTATACAGTGACTGTCTGCCATCTATTATATGGCCAATGCAACTGTGTCACACTTACCCAGTGTGCAGTGTTACATATATACTTATGTATATGACTAATGGTAAACGTGAGAAGGATGGACTGAATGCAGTGCCTAAGCCCCAGAAGTGTTTTTTTTTCTCCCCTTGGCCTGAATATTTGAATGTGGCTTCGCGTATGAATGTGTCATTCATGAGATTCGGCCCTATCCCCAGAATCGCATAGCAACTGCAAGTATCGTTGCAACTGATCTCGTTACATGGGCAGGCCAGTGCAATGGCACCGTTGTTCGTTAGACAGTGTCACGACACGCCAATGAGTGATTGGGTAGGTGACTTGGCTCTGGCAATCTTTGCATCCAACAGTGAAGCAATGACATTTATTTCTACTAGTTAAACACAATCGAATACAATATAATATGCATGAGATGACAATTCAAACTGGTTTGAGATATTTTACTATGTCAGTTGAGAGCCCATTATAATCCATGTTTTTGATCTGTGTAAGTGGCATTTCAATGGTTTACAATTGTGTGTCCTTATGTGTTTTTTACAAGTGAAAGTCCTCAAATAAGCAATTAACCAAACACTCCATAGGAAGACCCATCTGAGAATGGCTCTTGAGGCACAGCAAGACCTTGATGGGTAAATGGATAATTCATATGAATGACACCTGCCTTTCAAATGAAAGGAGAAGAATGGCTTACGTAAAGTGTGCCAAGTAGCAGGGTCAAGATCAGACCCAGATCCAGCTCCTCTCAGATGGGGGGCCAGTCGAACTTTTGTGTGGGCCACCAAAATAGTGACAAAAATCTGAGGAATGCCTCTTTGGATGGGCCAAAGGGACATTTGGTGGTACAGGGCCCACCCTAAGCACCCCTCTTGTTTTTGCTGATTTCAGTTCTTGTTTGCGGTGGTGTTGTGTGTGGTGGCATTGTGGGCATTGTGGTCGTGACTGGGCGTGGCTGTGGCAGTGAGGTGTGTACGATCGTCATGTCGTGCTCTGTGTGGCAGTAGTTATTTCGCGCACGTGTGTGTGTGCAGTACAATTGTGGCTGCATTGCATGCAATATCGCGATGTTGTTGCTTACATCTGCAGCCTTCTTCTCGGCCACTTCCAGCTTTTCCTGGGCATCCTTGAGCGCCTCTGAGTACTTGTCCAGCTCATCCTCTGTACCTTTGAGTTTCTTGTGCAGACCCAGCAACTCATCCTCCATCTGCGAGGCACGATGAGGCAACACAGGGACGACTCTGGCTTAATTTTGCACTGTGAAATAAAAACACATTTGCTCAAAATGCCAAAAAATCTAACAACGCTATGTGAGTGCCTTTCGAAGGCGTAAGCCATACTGAATAGCGTTTCCACACGCAAAGGAACTTTGGGGGGCACTCATTTCCGTCGGGAGGCCAGCACCAGTTACTGGAAATTCCACATTCCCATGGCGGAGGTTAGTTTATTCACAGGAAGGTCATTCATGACTGGCCCATAAAGTGGTACTAATATTTATCGACCCTGGACAGTTAACAGGCTGAGCCGAGCCCTGAATTTGCAAGCTTTCCATTTGACCAATGCTCTTAATCACTGCACCACCTGGCCAGATTGGGTGATAAGAATGTTTAAATGTAGACATTGGAAGTAATAGAGACACGAATAATGTAAGAGTAGACAGTACAAATAGTATTAACACATTAATAATGTTCTGGCACTTCCCAAGAAATATATATTTTCATCAGTGTTCTGAGATGTATTTTTAAATGTTGGAAAGATAAATGAATGTATATTGAATGGGACAGTATGATTGCATACTATATTTATTGTAGATGTAATAAAATAAACTAGTCTTCCTAATAGTATTTTATTTGGCTTAAATAATTTAGAGTATTGATAAAATTGCTGCACTGTGTACAGCAACTTTACCATCATTTCATCAGTAAAACTATTATTATTTTTATTGTGAACGTCAAAGATCGCTGCCCAAATATCCCCATCTCGCTGAAGTTAGGACGGGCAGCGCTCATTACCATTTGCGGATCTAAATCAGTGGTAGACATTTCACATTCTTATGGCATGATCCAATCCCTCCATAACTATTAAGATCATAATGTGAACAATCACAAATATATTAATAGACTGGCCTTCACCATGAGAATGTGGAACTTCCACCACTGGCTCAGGCCCACCAAGATAGATGAGTTCCACCCTCCTGCGCATTTGAGCAAAGATAAATCTATGCTTTTGAATGCTCTTTACGAAAATAGTACATTAAGAGCAATAGTGTTCACAGTTCATAAACAATATTAAGCAGTGGTCTGTGTTATTTAACTTAGAAATATAAACGTTTCATTACCTTTTCCATTGCATTAATGCTCTATCAATTACATTACAATCCTTTTCCAATCCACGACTGGAAAAAAAGGCCTTCCCTCATCATATCGGCCATGGCGATCATTTGAACATACTTCACCACGCTGGTCAGTACGAGTTAGTAACGGGGGTAACCCAGGACCAGTTGGCATGCCACTCGCCACGGATGCGAGTGAACTCTGGCCCAAAATCAGACTGACGTTCAGGGTGCAGTGTGCTAACCGCTGTGCCTCAGCTCCACTGCTTATTGATATTTCTGATGACAGTGAAGAGTCTAAGCAGCAGCTGGTAGCGAATGAAGGAGCTGTATGTGGCTAAAGTGATGGAAGAGCTGAGTGGGAGAAGGGGCGGGGGGGGTCCATGTTTTGACTAAAGTTGCCCTCCTATTTGCTTTAGCCCTCATGCTGTCCGGCCAACTTTGCTCGGCGCAGTCATGCACAACGTGAGAGTTTCCGCATGAGTTCGCCTCCCTCTGCCTACTTCGATTACCATGCCGCTGGTCTATTCACACCACAACACTGTCGTGAACGGATTGACATTTTTTTAAAATTAATTTTCGAGGAAAAGCACAGGCAAGCAGGCGACTGCAATGTTAACGTGCCTTGCTACTCATCTTCGTTCGCGACTCTGAGCCAAGTTTGGTGGAAATTCGACATTCTTATGACGGGACCAGTATGCCCACATTGCGACCAATGCTCACTTCCAACAAAGATGTACTATCTTGATTTTATCGCCTCCTTCACCGGGATTTGTACTCGTCATGGTCTAGTTGTGGTGAAACACACTGATACATATTTTAATATCCCGTTAACTTTTGTAGTCAGACAAGGCATACATTGCCATGCATCATAACTTCCGAGGTTTGCGCTATTTCATCACGTAGATTTAAAACCCCACGGTCAGTACTGAAACGTAACCCGCCACGGGGCTCATTCTCAAGCCGATTTTAGCAATCGCCTCTCGTGATGACTGCGACAGTTGAATTGAGGGACGTGAACTCACCCGCTCTTCATCTCTAGCACACACAACGGCGTCGTTTCACGATCCGGCCGAATTGCGCCTTCTCTGTGATCTCTCTTAAATCAGAGAGAATTCCCGGGCCGAAACGTTCCGGGAATTCCTTTCCTCTCTGTGACATCTGCTCTTTGATTTTTTTTCATTAATTTGTTAGTTAGCAGTCCAGACGGCTGAATGAAGGCCCCACGACACGCCGTGTTGTTTATGGGGGGGGGGGAGGAGGAGTGGGGGTTTCTTCACCATACTTCACCACCGCTGGCTGGGCAGTGCGGAACTGGTGAGGTGTGGTGCAAGGGGCTGGCCCCGATTCAAATGATTACTCGTCACTTGATTGTTAGCCGTGGCCAGGGATCGAACTTGGCTCCATAGCGCTGTGAGATACCCACCGCACTACCGCATCTCCCATTTATAATACTGTCCGTGCAATTTGCGTATATAGAATCCAGTGCAGGTTACGCACCTCTATATCACCTATCGATGTACTTTTACGGGAATATATACTGTAAACTGTTTGTACAGTATATCGTGCCCGTATTATAAGGGATAACTGGGGTAAATGTGGAATTTCCGCAAGATGCTCGGAGCTACCCGCTGGGATGAGCAACCACCCAAATTCCCGATTTGCGCAGTTGAGTCTCCTCCATCAACACGCTTGTGATCACACGCACGCAACGGGTGCGTCGTTGCGCACGTGTTCACGCGACTCCACTGCAGTGCAGTATAGATCCTTGGCAGCGCGGCTCGCTGAGCCGCTTGCATTCGCCGCTTCGCGATGCCGTGCAGCGACGCGGTGTCACCCGGCCACGTGCGCACGAACACGCTCACACAATTACGCACGCGCGCGTGGCTTGACTGACGGGTGGATCTAATTCTCTTAACGGACAGCAAACACTGCCCCCCCCCCCCCCTCTTATTCGCCTGCGCGAGGCAACTCTGCACTCGACCCCTCCCTGCCCGTCAGAAAATGACGGAACACCTTCCCGTATGAAAATGCACCATCAGTCTGCGGTACTAGCCGCTGCAGTGGCAATAAGGGCTGGGTCTCTCGGTGTGCGCTTCAGCACCTGGTGCCGGACGCGAACCCACGGGACATCGCAACTAACCCACCTGGCGAGCTTTCTCCTCCGCCGCTTTCTTGTCTGCCTCAGCCTGCTCGGCCCTCTCGATGGCATTCTCCTTATCCAGCTTCAGCATCTGCATCTTCTTCTTGATGGCCTCCATGGTCGCTGCTTGGGGTTGTCTTGCTTGCGCGCGTGAGAAGAGTGAGCTAGCGAGACGAGAGATGAGAGAGAGAGAGATCAGAGTTGGCTCTCTGGTTTGTTGGACAACTGGGGGAGGGAGGGGGGTGTGGCGAGACTGCCGAGCAGAGTGAGCGTGTTCGGTCAAGTGCAGCTGAACAAAAGCTCACGGGGCGAGGGTGGAGGACAGGAGAGGGAGGAGATGGAGGAAGAGGGGCACGGGTGGAGAGACTGTCGAGAGAGCAAGGTTCCTCCCTTGCCTCCTCCCACCGGGCCCCACTCCCGCAAGCCAGCCGCAAGCCAGCCCAGCCCCCTCGGTAGCCGACAAAACTCCAAACCCGCCTCGCTCTCTCTCTCGCCCCTACCCCGCCGTCTCGACTTTAGGTTGGAAGTGGTGATGTTTTTTTTGTTTAAAAGTGAGCACCGCACGGAATGTGTGTGTGCCCGAGCCCTCTGTTTTGTGGCAGGCACTGCGATGATTAAGCTATGTCGGGCATGGTGAGGGTCACTGTGGGATTGGGGAATTTCTGGTGGCAATGGAAGGGGGATGCCTCGGTTTATCATGTTCCGATGTACCAGCTTATTTTAGTTCTGCTGCCAATTTTTGCTACAAGCAGCCAGCAATTCCATCACAGGATACCCTCTGCTCCATTGAGAGCAGCTGCAGTATAGTTAGCTGACAAGGAATACTTTTGAAATGACACTGCACCCAATTAAAAATTTACATTTGGCGATCCATTATCCATGTATAGTTATCCCACCACTCCACGAGTGTGCGTGATTACTTTTATTTTTAACCATTGAATAATTAAGGATAGATTTTTGTATCTTTGGAGTCGAGATTTATATGAGTCATTCGATACACCTGTTGCACCTAAACAGTTGTGATGGTAATGCAATGACCTTACCCACGTCGGTGATATTTAAGCCCACCTATCAGCTCTCCTGGGTCAATATTGAGCATTATCTGATGACAATCATATGGTTGACAGTGGGGCGATCCTTGTGTGAAGCACAGACCGTACGAAGACTGGATATTTCGCCCTTTGAAACTACTTGCGGTGCAAGCTTTTGTGGCACCGATTCCTTTTTATGGGCAAAAGTTTTAATTGTGATCATACTTAAATACTAATTGATATCCCTGTTGAATGAAGGCCACCTCACACTATTACAGTCATAGGGGGAGGTTGTTGGACCATACTTCACCATGCTGGTCAGTGTGGGTTTGTGTAGAGGGTGACCTGGCACTACTTCGCACATTAATCTTCCACTGATGTTCAACATGGCCGGTAACTGAACTCGGGTCGCTGTGTTCATGGCATAGTGAGCTAACAACTGTGTCACCATTCCACCCGTGATCGCCTATTCACTAGTCAAAATAATACTTGCTTCGCTTAGAAATGTAACATGATTCTGAAGAGTTTATCCTGGTTAAGAAGTGAACGTTCACAACGTCGTTCCGCTATATTGTTGAAGTTATTTCAGTTGGTTTTCATGTTAATTCACTTTCATTGGACGTATACAGAAATCATTGTCAACGAATCGTTGCCACCACGAATCACGAATTGATGCCGTGGCCCCCAGATGGCATCGCGGACCTGATGTGAATGCGTAGGCAGTTAAACCACTGAGTTGAGATCAGTTAGAAAGTCGAGCACATCTCAGGACTTCTTATACCATGTTTGATGTATGTATGTTGAACTTCTTTTGCACCGTACGTAGCCACCCCTGCTAATCGGACGTGCGACAAGCACGGTTGGCTTAAGCCACGGCCGGCGCAAGCTGGTCGCTGGTGTGGGCCCTGCCCCACCAAATGTCCATGTAGTCCACGCAAGTTCACTCTGCTTAGAGGTATACAATTATGGTAGCCCCCCCCGCCTCCCACACAACAGCTCTACTGCCCCCCCCCCCAATCCAAGAGGCCCTGCCTGAAGCACTCTACCTGCCAGCCCGTGTTTTTATTAACATTGTCAAACGCTGAGCGTTAAATACAGCATCTTCTTTGTTGTCCTATAGTCTAAACAAACTTTGCTGAGAGTACAAGTGCTGAGGCTAAACGGTGCATTCTTGGTTGGCTCTTCTCTGACGACTGTGACCTCAACTTGTACTTAACACGGTAGCTGTTATGTTTCAGCAGAACAAATCTGTTAGCAATTACTGCAGCTCTGGGGCATTCCCCTTTGCAGGGCCATTTAAAAATTACCCTACCAGCACAGGGTCCAACTGTCATGTTGAGGGGATTGCGTGAACACACGTGCATGTACATATGCTGCATTCCTGTAGCTCAGACAAGCAATGGTGTTGAACGTACCCAGACTTTTCTGGTTTCATCATCATAGCGCAGCTGTGCTCTGCTTAAAATAAATGTTCTAAAATATCTTAAGTATGCTTCACAGCAAACAGTAGGGACCACACGCATTGAGATGCTGTCTACATATGGTGCAGCAATGCACAATGTTGCTCAGCTCGCAATCAGGAGTTCCGAGCTCAAACTCCAGTTGGAGGTCAGCTCAACGTCACGATCCCACCAGGGTTGAAAACATTTCCAATCACTTTGTGAGAAGCTAAGAGTGGTCATCATATGGAGACCGGTCTCCACCATCGTCATGTGGAATTTCTACCACTGGTTCAGGGTGACCAAAATTCATTTTTTGAACGAACTTTGAGGCAGTGATCACCTCCTGTTTATAGCCCTGAGCTGATGGTGGAAATTCCTCATTCCGATAGCAGGGATGAGTCTACCCATAGGACACCCACTATTTGAACTTCCCCACAAAATACTTATTGTATCAGCCCCAGAGGGATGCCAGGCTGAGTCAACCCCTCACAACACCAGGGTCTGAACTCGCACATTTCCGACTGCGGGCTGCTCGCTTAACCGTCGAGCAACCTTGCCAGGTGGATCAGCAGGAGGCCAATGGAGATGGAGCCATCATGCCGTGCTCACTAGAGCAGGAAATCACTTGAACCTTTAACTCGACAGATCCATCAGACACTGGAGTTAAAATCTGCTTAACAAGAACCATATGGTGGACGGTTTTTTTTGTTGAGTCAGTGGGGAACATACCAAGACCCGGAAAATCCACACAAAAGAAATACAGTATCAGGTTTCACAACGGTTAAGAAGAAATGCTTACGTTTATTATAATTTTTTTAATGATTAGGAATATACACTGCATTTCCTTACAACGGTACACTTTCAACTTTCCAGGTAACACGGCTTAAAGGTATGGCGGTTTATACACGGATTTTTATTTTTGCTTAAAATGACAACCCAGCCACAAACCAGGGAGGGCATCAGGAACAAACGTGTGCAGGGGAACAGCACTACGATGGCGTATAGGGTTATATGCATAGGAGTATGGCTTACATGTTAAGCTGCGTAACAATGGTGGTACATATGAGCTCTGGGATTTGTTTTAAACTTGAAGATATATGCACGATTGTATACTGTGCGTGCCACAAAAAATAACCCCCGAACTTACATAACACGCTCTTTTTTTTAAAATGAGGAATATAAGAATACTGTAAATACATTTATCATAACAATCTTGTTAAAAGTTGAAGGTAAGCGAGCATTGTTGTGTTTTTATTGTATTCCCGCTTTGCAAATAATAATAATTCAAACGAGAGCACCACAGGTTGGACGATGCGAGTTATGATGTGGGCGAGGGGCGCGTTTTTCCACTTGCAAAAAATATGCTGTCCGTCCCAATGCAATTTACACGAGGAGAGATGAAGTGGGACTAAGATGCGTCCCTCTGGCACACGACACACACACATCACAGCGGTCAAGCGTGTCCGTTCGTAATACTGTGAATGTTTCAAGATTATCGTAACCACGTATGACTTCTCGTCTTGTGACGATAACAATAATTGTAAGAATGTGCCGAGGAGATCGATGTTTATGTGTCGACTCGCCAAAGAAACCTACACAGCCGCGTATCGGATTCGAAGCCGAGGGATAACGTTGCGTTGCACCTTGCATTCCGTGATAACGATTATGCTGAGCAGAAAGGAATACGAGTAAATGAGTCTGCCATATGTTGCAGGTGTTTGTGTGTGCTTTGAATTGTGATAATTAACGCTAGTCAGATCAAAGCAAGCGAGGAAAAAACACATTTAATTCAGGAAAACAATCAATGCAAAAGTAATTTTCTCATGAACGTGTGCTTATTATTCTTAACACATCTTGGGCAGCACCATAAAAGGGTTACATAATCTTCACTTCACTCGAAGTGGGAGTAAGTGTTAGCGGCAGTGCTTTTCTTACATTTGCAGGTAACTGTCACGATGCTTATTCCAAACAATGTAGTTGCGACTCATTTGTCTCGGGTAGACCTGGGTCTCCATGACCATTGCAAGACTTGCCAAAGCCAGGCTTGGCTGGTAAATCTAATTCGGGCAGGGCCAAGCAATGATGGGCTATGACTTTCCATTATGTCCGCAACAGGTGTTGGAAACCGAGCGGAGAGTTTGAAAGAGTTTGCTAATGTGCGAGTGGCTTTTTTTGCACACACAACACAAAAAAACAAAGATCCCTACCATATAGTCGCAACAGACTGTTGGGGGCAGGTGCTGTTAGAGATCACACATGAAGGCTTGCATGGCACACGAGACAAAAAGACAAATATCCCCCCCCCCCCCATATAGTCGCAACAGACTGTTGGGGGCAGGTGCTGTTAGCGAGCACACATGAAGGCTCGCATGGCACACGAGACAAAAAGACAAACATCCCCCGTATAGCCTGAACAGACTGTTGGGGGCAAGTGCTGTTAGAGAGCACACATGAAGGCTAGCATGGCACACGAGACAAAAAGACAAAGATCCCCCGTATAGCCTGAACAGACTGTAGGGGCAAGTGTGGTTAGCGAGCACCTATGAAGGCTGGCATGACACACGAGAGGACAGGTGGTCAGCAATAACGCCCAGTCACCTTTCTCTCTCGTGGCGATGTTTGCACTTCGCAACAGGTATTTCCTTGAGGCCGAGTCGACCTAGGGGAGGCCCGGGACCTGTTCAGATAATTGTCACCGATGTTGGCCGTGAGCAGAAATCGAACTCGGTGTCACCAGGTTCGTAGCGAATTGCACTTACCACGATACTGTTGCTCCCCCAACGCACCCACGTACAAATGCACGGGTTAATCACTATTTAGTTTACATGGAGCATATTTGGTGCACACTGTTAAGGAAATCTGCAGCCAGGGAACAGTTTTACCTATTCCAGAGTATTCATTCAGTCCAGTTTTAGCGACTAGAAATGGTGGCCATATAGATGCATGTCATCAGTGGGCGAATTTACGATCGAAAAAAAAGTTGGTTAACAAAATAGTTAATGGCATTTTTTTCAGAATTTGAAGGCCAGAAGCATCATCCACAGAAATAACACTGCCCATGACATGCACATTTTTTCAAGAGATCTGGATGGGCTACCTAGTCTTAAAGCAGCAGGTGATTATTTTGGTTGTCATTCTGTACATTTTCTTTAGCCCCAGACTGTACGATCTCACATTCAGAGATAACTAAACAACCAACTGACAGCCGTGGACAAGCATTGAGACATAGCAAAAAACAAATCTAGCTGCATTTGTGCTGTTTTTATTTGACTAAAACACTTTTCCCAACAATACAAAACTAAAACCAGCCAAAAGAGTTCAGCTATAATAAGCATTTCCATCATTTTTGCCAACAGACTGGCTAAAAGCCACAAGCACTGCAGGTTTTAGTGGCTGGCATCTTTACTGGGTGACTTTCCACCTAAACAGGAGGTGGGGAGACACCGGTTTATGAAGAGGTACCATCAGTTTTCAAAGACGTGGAACCAGAGTGGCACTCTTCAGCATCTGGCACTGAGGACTTGGCAATGGGAACATTTATGTCAGGGCAAGAATTGGCCGAGGGAGAGGAGAAGAGGTCAAACTCAGCACGGAGAGGATTTGAAGTTCCAGCAACCGGACTGGCAAGCTGAGCTTCTAAATCTTTCATGTCTTGCGTACTGACAAACAAACGAGTGGCAACGTACAAGGAGGACGGGCATTCAGCGTCACCGAAAAGGGATTTTGGCACAGAGGAGAGCAAGGAGCTGGCACTGGTGGAGGAGAGAGTGGGACTGTTCGGCCACAAGGTGGCATCGGCGTCGGCCATGCTAGGGTGCATCTGGGTCATTCCTGGTCGTCCCGGAGCTCCGAGGGGAGGAACTTGTACTGCTGCTGCCGTATTTGAGCCAGCTTCTTGCGGGCCTCCTCCAATTCGCGCTCCTTTCTCAGCATCTCCTCCTGCGCCGCTATTATCTGCGGATGACAGGCGCACAAATGTGATTCTATACAAACTGAAAGTGGCAAGCACTGCTTCCACTGGATGACAAGTGGAAACGATAATATACGCACAAAGGGATATTTCCATCCGAGTTCCTGATTAAACTATACATGTAGTTATTTACCACGGTGTCCAATTCACAAATCGAAGTGTAAATTTGATTTATATATATTAAAAATACATTTCTCGCAGAGTATATTAGTTGTGAATAAAATAGCCAAATGGAATATATGATGGTTAAATCCAAATAGCAGACCATTTAACACCACTATAACTATTACAATGTTACTCGACTTCTGATTGATGTAGTTAACTAACATTTGTGGCAGTAAAAGTGCTTGTTAAAACAAGATATTTAACAGCTATTGGTGGAAAAACACACAGCGTCGTAACATCAGCATATGGATGTTAGCCACAACAAAATTGTGCCATCAAAAACATGAAAGTTACTTATTAGTTTATAAAATCACCAAGACCAGAAATGTTAAATTGTTTAAAACATATTTAAGCACACAATCTAGGCAGGCTCACATGTTATATCACATGGCTGGCTCAGGGAAGCAGATATGCCCTTCAAATTAACATGGTTTCAAATATATATACACATAAGGTACTGTGGCAGTACTACACCGTCACTATCATATACTACTTTCTAGGCGGGTGGCACTGTGACTATAGCATGTCTCACAAGCGTAAGGCTGCAAGTTGAATTTCAAATGCGGTTCAGCTCGGCCCATCACACATGAACCAGCACCTCCTGAGGTTCAACAACAGCGGTAGTTCGAATGGCCTTTGCTAAAGGAATGTAAAATTTCCATGACTGGTTCAGGTCTCAGCACATTTGTGGCAGTAAAAGTGCTCAGGTTCGAGTGCAGGTATGGGCACCTCCCCATTTCTGATTTTCCCATGAGGATGCTTTGACTGTGTGACCTTCATTTGCTTTGCTCTGTATTTAATGGTATTTTCATTGTATGGTAATACGAGATAGTATGGCCAAAATGCAATATTTTCAATAACTACGTTTTCCTATGTTATATATGTAGCAACATTCATTAGGTTGATTAAAGCATATATGTAGACATACATGTTCTAATTTTGCACAGAGCAATTCTTGGGAAAAAAAATAATAATGAACCAATAGCACTGAAATAGTATATTTAAAAAAAATATTCCAAGTATAAAACAGCATCATTGCAACGGTCAATATCTGCCCTAAGAAAGGTGTTACAAATGTCGAGAAATTTCGAAGACATTGAAAATAAGTACAAGAAGTAAAAAGGATATTACTTAACCTTAAAAGACAATTAATTTTTTAACCCAGTATATTTTAAAAACAAATTGATAACAAAACCCTTAGTGGCCAAAGTCAATGAAAGCCTGCGGAAGCACTCATGAATGTGAACAAATACTTATTCTGGAGACTGTCAATGTTTATCAATGAAATTATATATGTGCATATTTACAAGCAATTTAACATTTAAATGTTGTGCATTCAAATCCTGCTCATTGGGTCAACTCATCCCTTTGCCAATCCTGGCAATATGGGTACCACTTTATGGGAAGTCAACGGTGGTCATGCTAAGGAAAGAATATGCCCTGCCATGGAAATATGGAATTTCCACAACTGCCTCAGGGCCACCAATGAAGAAGAATGCCTTGTGCCCCATTGCTCGTCTGAGCGCGGCGACTCCGCCCTCTGACAGCACGTGCTCCTGCAGATTTCTTTTGGACTCGCCAGCGACTTGATAGCTCAAACTGGTCTTGGGGATGGTGAGTTGGCAGCGGATGAGACAGCGTGGTGGTTTTTTCTGCAGCTGCACTGCAGTGCGTTAACGTCCCACGTCTGGGTGCTCGGGGTGAGGTTAAAGTGGGGGAGGGGGGGGGGTGGGTTCGTGATGGTGATGAGAATGATGTTCGAGTCCGGGTAGGAAGGAAGCTGCACACGGTGGGGTGTGGGTTATGGGGACGCGCCACCCCCACGCACACTCCCGCTTACTCACAATTGTAACTGTAAGAGTAACTATAGTTCTCGAGGCTGCCACTCCGCCACGAGCAAAGCTCATTTCTGAAAACCTTCAACAAGACACGGCAACAAAGACGTTACGCAAGGAGAGGGAACGTCCCCTGGCCTGGATTTCACTCCGGATGCAGAGTTTTTGCAAGTACCTTTTGGGACCTTCATGGATAACCTGCTGGCGGCGAGCGGTTCACATTTAAAGGAAAAAAGGACATCCCAATGAACGAGCTTGTCCTTTGCTCTCTATGGAGGTTGTACGTACGTATGTATGTTGAACTTCTATCGCACCATAGCCGATCGTGCTAATCGGATGTGCAGGTTGTGTATTTTGGTAATATAGTGATGGAAGCAGGTGCATTTTTAATTGGAAATCAAGAGGAGAGAGGATGCCACCATTTTGACTGTGGAGCTACATGCTACTCAGGTACAAGTGATTTTTGTTAATTAAATAACAACCGACAAATGTTACTTTTTTTCCTTTAGGTTTTCAAACTTGACCATGCCATCATTGAACCATAAAAGCTTTACAGCAATTCATCCTTAGAACCTCGAAATTAATAAAACATTTAAAATCGATTTGCTGCTTTCCCCATATCCTCAGGTGCCGCAATGCGTGATAGAATTTTGAACACCAAGCGACTTGAAATGTATCATTGAGGCACCCTGCACTTAAGGAAATGAAGAGCTAAAACATTAACTCTCTTCAAACGAAAACTGATTTAGTCTGCTCTTACAGCATGAACAGGCACTTCGATGTTATTTAAATAATTTAATATTGGCCAGTTTATTGGTTTCTCCCTTCATATCATAACGCACGTTCATTCACCACCCAGCTTCAGAAGCAGGCTTTGTGACAGGCACTACCTACAGTACAACCCAGCCTAACACGCAATGAACTGCGTAAATGACTCTATTACAGTAAAACCTTGGTCTGCGAGTGTTTTGCAAGACGAGCAAATTTTTTAAATAAATATTAATTTGATAAACGAGCGAGGTCTTGGCAATACGAGCAGTAACGTATACGCTTTGTCTGCCGAGCGTCACGTGATCACAACTGATATACGAGTGCTTTGGATTACAAACACGTTTCCGGAACGAATTATGCTCGCAATGCAAGGTTTTACTGTATATGGAAATTCTATATTATTACCATATTATAATACAGACGTATTTTTCTTGTCCGGGGCTCTATCCCCCAGTTCATAACTGCTTGGCTGATTAAAGCTTTCTTTTTTAATGAACGTTTGGCCACGTAAGTGATGTGTGTTTTGGCACCTTCAAGTTCCAATTATTATTTTAGATTCATACTAAAATAATGCAAACTCATCTACCGGTAAAATACATGTATTATTTTATCTCAGAAAGTATGTTTTTTGTAGCTTATAATAATGATTCAATATATTTATTTTTTGGGTGAGGACACAAAATGGTCTGGCCAAATTTGTGTTGTGTAACCCCACCACCACCCAACAGAGACAAACAAATGAAATTGTTGAACTCGTGCAAGTGTTTATCATAACCATTATCATTGTTTCAGCTCACTGGTGTCGAAGAACAATTCTCACAACGTTGACTTAAAGCTTTCGTGACTGCAGAAATTTATATTCTTGGGTCTTTCGGTAAAGTCACGTAGATAGGTTCAAATAAAATAGTTTTTTGTTATTTTTTTGTTATTTCCTTTGAACCAATCTACATGACTTTACCGAAAGACCAAAGAATATGAATTCTCACAACCACAATTATCAATTTGAGATGAGGTTTCGTTTCAATTGGCCAGATCATTCTGGCCTAACCCAATAACCAATTATGATTGGAACTGTATTATTTTAGTAATATCCTTTTGATGTGTTGTTGCCTACCTCTGGATGCTTGTAGGGATGTACAAGATGCAAATCAAATGTCCGTGCCGTTCTGAGGCACAGACTGCTCCTATGTATCTCGTATACATCAGGGCCAACCCATTAACGTATCACAATCATATAATCGTAAAAGTATGTGCCCTTGAACAAATCCGTTTCCTGCTCCTGGTCAGTGATTTTTTTCATTATCGAAAGAGGAGCATGACTGACTAATTGTCGGGTGTATCTTTAGACTTAATTTGGAAACGACATTCAACTTAAGATCCTTAAGGACCATGGAGACATTTGGCATTTTTCACTTGCATACATGTACAGTATGTTGAACTTCTTCCGCACCATACGTAGCCAACCTTGCCCCATGGTCGCTCCAGGGCCTAGATGCCTTATTGCCTGAAGAGATGGTTTTGGTATATTCACTGTCACTAGATCTAGTATTCATAAATTATCCTAAACACACTGTGACTTGGTGTAAACGGGTGCTCAGCTTTAGTATTTCATTTGAACCATGCTATTGAAATTACAGCACAGAGCCAGGCGAGCAAACATTTTTAATTTCGGTATCATTTGGTGTTTTACAGAGTCTAAAAATGCTCACTCACCACATTCGTTAGTGCAATATGTAAATAACACGCCTTTTTTATTAACCGATAGATATTCCTGCACTGTGCTTGTAAATCCTTTACCATGGCATTGATTATGTACTAATGTACACAAAGACAAAAAAAGGTCCCCAATTTCACAATATACGGCTGAGGCAAGTGCAGTTGCCGCATATGTGTGAAGGCTGGCATAGCAAACACTACTGTATGGCTAATAATCCCTGTCTGCCCGATGCTGATGTGGATATTTATCAAACAACTTAAAAGCAGGACATTTTCACTTTTGTTCTCATCTGTGCTATTGTTTATGACCAGGTCACTGGGTTCATAGTTGGGTGTGCTGTAGAACGTACAGCTGCTCTCCACGAGTATAGATGTTTTGTACGTGTGCATACATATACACATATATAGAGTACATATACACGAGGCTTAGCAAGCACTCTCAGACTGGGACATTGAAGGATGCGCAGATTAATTTATCATTTCACGACTATAATTATATCAATAAAAGGCAAACTGCATCGTGGTGAGATTCAATAAAAGTAAAAAAAAAAAATAGGCTGGTGCCACGGAAGAAAAATGTCATACCCACAAATGTTTAAATGCCCCACATTACACATGAATACAAAAATAAGATACTTTGACGGTACAAGGGATGTGACCTCTACACATCTCAATGATGAATAAACTGATCTTGCAAAGCAGTAACTGTGAGGCAAGGAAAACAAGCACTCCTGCACATTCACTCACTTAACGTAAAGGATTTAAAAAGAGAAGACAACACTGGAAAAAGACAGCGAGTAAACTTGAAGATTGCTTTAACACATGAGGTATGTCATCATGTTTAGAATTAATTGATTAAAACGAATAAATAAGGTAACCAACATTATTTAGTATGTGACAACAATGCTTGCCTATCGATCAAAAGGCAGCGAGTTTAAATCCTGATCTGGAGCTGACTGAGTCTATCACTCCTCTGGGGTTCGTAAAATATGCACCACTTCGTGGGAAGTCAACAGCGGTGGTCTTACGGGAAGACTGACCTCAGAGATGTGAAAATGAATTCCTGACCAATGACTCACGGCTGACAAATGAATGAGCAAGGAGACATTTCGACACGAGTCAATATTTCTACTCCCTGTAACAATCCCGTAATAGCACGTCATATAATGTAATCGGTAATCAGAAATGGTTTTGCCAAAGCTCTATCATTTGTAATCTGCATTGTATAACTACTCTAGAACATTATTGCAGAATCATCATTGGAGACATTAAGCTGCAAATTAATGAGTAATCTGTAATGAATCTTCTAAGCTAGTCTAATCAGCAAGGGACGACTTAAGCTGTGACATCATTACCTATCACTAATGGCGACTCCGTGTTTCTGCTTGCTTCCCCATTGAGAAGACAGTGAGTGACTCATCAGTCGCTTCCTACTGCTCCAGAATATCTTCTAACGAGGCAGCCCCATCAAGGTTCATCGGACAACAAAAGACAAAAGTCCACCGTGTAGCTTCTAATAGGCTCCATACTCTTTGGTTCTATTCGGTAAAGTCACGTAAATAAACAAACAAAAAATAAAAAATTCACGACGTTTTTATTTTTTGTTGTTTTTTATGTGACTTTACCGAATAGAACCAAAGAGTATGGATCCTTGCAGTCACGAAAGCTTCAAATCTAGAATTCTAATAGGCTGTTGGAGAAAGTGCTTTTCGCGAGTAGCACCTATGAAGACCAGCACGGTACACAAAGACAAAGATTTCCCATAAACCCTCAAAAGACTGTTGGGGCAAGTGCTGTTAGTGAGCATCTATGAAGGCCGGCACGGCACATGAGGGGGTGGGTGGCCAGGACCACACCCGGCCGCCTTTGTCTCCCGAGTGGCGATGCTTACACACTGCACCAGGTAGTAATTTGAGACTAAGTCGACCTAGGGGAGGCCCAGGACCAATTCAGATAATCGTCACTGGTTTTGGTTGTGAGCCGGAATCGAACTCGGGTCGCTGGGTTAGTAGCGCAGTGCGCTAACCGTTGCACTTCCGCTCCCCACATTGAACTACCGCACGGTACACACACATACGGGCACGCGTATCGCAGCGATGGAAACATGGGCGCTTTACCTGCGCGATGCCACCCACAAAGTGCGACTTGACGATGACGTTGGTTTCCTCCTGCTGCTCGAACGCTGCCTTCTGGGCAGCCCTCACGAGGTTGTCGGATGCTCGCTTGACCGCATTACCGGCGGCCTGGGGAGAAATGGAGGGAGTGGGGGGGGGGGGGTGGCGCACGTGGGGTCAATGGCAGCGGTATCAGGAGAGTCGTTTGGCAATGCATGAGTAAAACAAAAACTATTCACCGTTAATTGTGTTGAGCACGTTTTTTCTTTTCTTTGTTAATAGCGCGGGTTGGTGAAGGCAAAAAGTGTGTGCATGGGAGCATATAAGTACGGTATGACAATAGATTTTTGCTGTGCTGAACCTGCTTACCACCACATAGCACAGGCATGTAGCCACCGGCGACAGCCTGGCATGCGTGGTGGTCACCGGTCCAAGGATTGTTCATCAGGCTTAACACTACTGAGCATCTGAGCTCTTTATTTCGGGCACGTTCCAGGTTAATAGGCCATAGGCACCTGAATTAGTAGATAAAGGTGCAGCCCTGCAATGCCTTGCTCATGCCACTGTTGGCAGGAGGGCTCTGTATTAGAGGGAGCACTAGAGAGTCCCCATCGAGGGTATTTTGGGCCAATGCTTGCTGACAGCGGTGGGAGTTACCCACACATTGCAGATTAACTAACTGCGGTGTGCCCATTAATAATTGCTGAGCGGACAGCGGAGAATGAAGAAACTTGCACCATTGTATCAACTTGCTCACGGGGAGATCGAAACCTGCGACCTCTGAATCATAAGCCCAGTGTGCCAACTAATACGCTGCGGTAGCATCCCCCCGAATTATTATCGGCGCGCAATTCAAGCAGCAACGCGTCGCTCCGCAGATGAACTTGGCGCGCCGAGCCCGTCGCCCCTCGTCGTCTCCCACTTACTTGCAGCCGCCGCATGGCCTCGGAGTCGGCGTCCGCCTTGACCTTGCAGGCGACGAGCAGTTGCGCCGTGGAGGCGGCCACCTGCTTGGCGGACGAGATGAGCTTCTCTTCGCTCGCGTGGCCCTGCACGGCCGCGTTGGCCGCCTCGCACAGGCTGCTCGTGGCGGCCGCCACCATGCGTGCCTGCGAGCGTCAGCGTGCCCGGAGGCCCGGGTGGTGGGTGGCGGTGGGTGAATGGTCAGGACAGAGTTGGTGAGTGGAGGCAAGCATCTGTATGTAACGTTGTGTGATGGAGTGGTGTTAAAATTAAATCTTGCAGTGGTGGTAAAAAGATTTTGTGAATTGGGGGGGGGAAAATTAGGTGGCAATAATAGGCCGGCACAAATGACATGTTTGAATGTCTTCCACTAAGTAGAAGATATATATATAAGCTCCGTTCAGAATGACAACTGTGATAACGTTATGGCGATGATAATACTAATAAAAAAACTTTGTGCGAGATTAAAAGTGTTCATCCTATTTAAGAGATCAAACTCCGCAATGAGAAATGTGGAATTTATACACTGCGCCAACTGGCTTCGGGCTGCCAACTTATCCAACCGTGGACAGTGTTTAAGTAAAAGGTGGCAATGATGGAAAATAAAACAAGTTTCTATTTATAACATGACAAAACAAACAGTAAGTGAATATAAGCACGAAAATTGTTCTCGGTCAATGGGAGTAAAAAATATCTTAACATCGTGTTCCACTGGCTGAAGATGATCTTTTACTCTCAATATCAACTATGGAATGAAACCACGTGAAACTATAAATAAAGTATATGACTCACAATTAGAGGGTTGCGAGTTCAAATCCCGTTGTGAAGGACGACTCAACCTATCACGCTTTGAAAGTTGATCAAATTGAGTACCACTTTACAGGAAGTCAAACAGTGGTCATACAATGGAGAGATTGGATCCTGCCATGGCAATGTCAAAGGTGCAAAACAGTCGCTTGGAAGGCGTGTTTTTAAAACTACTTCAGTGCAGAATCTTGAGGTGACGTCATATTTATCAAACGGTATATACGCCAACATGGTTGTTGTTGTTGGGGGCTGCCAAGAGACATTGCTGCCACCCGATCACTCCTTGGAGCATAGAGATACTTTGACTTATTATCAACAAAGCCTGAACAATGTAAAATACAACGGCAAAGTGGCACGATTGAAGAAGAGCGTGGAGGTAAATAACATGGTGATAAGACAGATATTATCAAATGTCCATGTTGGGTGGCAGCTGCTAAATTACACCACTTACCGCTGAGATGAGACCCTGGGACCACTGCCCGTCATCTGCTGCATTAGCGGGAATGGCTCCGACCTAAAAAAAGATAAAAGAGTGAGTTATGAACAGCACAATTGTTAAACATTACCATTGCTATGGCTAGGAGACTTTCTCAGTTGGCAGAATAATTGTGGTTTTCGATCCTAGTGAGGGTTAGCCCCACCATAATTGTATCCATCATCAGCCCTCCGTGGTCTGGAAAATAAGTGCCACCACACAATGAGGTGTGCTGCTTCGTGGGAAGTCAAATGTGGTTGTTTGTCCAGTCCTTGGCATAGGAATATGGAGTTTCTCCCATTGTCTTAGGACCAGCAACACAAATGAGCACCACCCTGAAATTATTTGAGAAGACACTTTGCCTTCTAAAATATAATTCACAATTTTTTCCTCGATTTGCCATACCAGATGCAGTTCTTGCTTGAGTAATTGTGTGTGTGTGTGTTAGCAATGTCATTTACCCGTGCAGCTGTTCCATCATCATACACTCTTCACCATCTAATTTTAAAATGTGAAATCATTGCCATGCAACCTTGCGTACTGTGAACTAGATGCTACTATTTTGAAGACCGTGCATTCTTGGCCAAACAAAATGGATAAAACACATGAGTAAATGTTAAAACGTAAAATTATTTTAGAGACTGCATTTTATAATTCAAAAGTGTGCTCCTTGCAGAATTTGTCTTTGAATAAAATATATTGCAAAGGCATACAAAATGCATATATCTTTTGGACATTTTCCACCATTTAATTTTTTTGGAGATACAAAAAACAACTCCTTGAACTCACATTATGACCACCATACGAATCTACAACTCAAGTCAGTTTCACAGACGACAACTGTGCCCAATACTCTCTGGCCCAGTGGCACTGTCGTTCGAATGCTCAACTCACATTGGAAAGTTTAGAGTTACCATCTCGGTAGGGAGTTCAATCAGCCTATCATCCCTCCAAGGTTGACAAAATTGGTACCGCTTTGAGGAGCCAAACAGCGGTCATCATATAGCCTGTCCTCCACCATAGGAAAGTGGAACGTCCACCACCAGCTGGAGTCCACCGATGAATGTGATTCCTGCCCCCCTATCCTCGTTTAAGCAAGGAGACAACTTGACTCTTGGCGACGTACCAACATTATACACAGCTCCTTCATGCACTGTAGATAATGTTTTGTTGCAAAGCAGGCATCAAATGTAAGTATAGACTGTAGCTCTCGTTGCTGGTCTAGGCTTAATTTAGTGAAAACACCTAATAAGAGAACGTCTTTTTGAGTGGCCACTGGGTGACTGGGCTCACACCATAAAATTCACGCCACTCAAGATGATGATTTAATCGTGAGTGGCTCAAACCTGAATTCGATCATTGGGCATGTGGTGCTGGCTCAGTGCTCACATCTAGGCATGAGATGGAGAGTTGGTGAATAGCATGCATAGTCTGTGTTACACACACACAAAGATAAAGATCCTCCATATAGCCTTTAACAGACTGTAGGGGCAAGTGCTGTTAGCGAGCACCTATGAAGGGCAGAACATTACACGGGGGGTGGGTGACCATCACCACGCCTGACTGCCTTTGTCTCCCCAGTGGCGATGCTTACACACCGCACCAGGTACTCATTTGAGGCTGAGTCGACCTCGGGGAGGCCCATGACCGGTTCAGTAAATCGTCACCGGTGTTGACCATGAGCGGGAATCGAACTCGGGTCACCGGGTTCGTAGCGCAGCGCGCTAACCGTTCCACTACCGCTTCCCACAGACACACGCACAAACCCACAGACACACGCACAAACCCACAGACACACGCACAAACCCACACACGCACAAACCCACACACGCACGCACCTTGCCCTGAGCGACGAGCTCCCGCTGTGCGGCCGAGGCTGACTTGACGAGGGCGCTCGTGGCCGCCGCGATCGCCTTCGCCGCCTCCAGAATCTGCTCCTCAAAGTTGAGTGACTCGTCCGCCTCCTGGGCTCGCACGGATCGCGTTTCGCGCGGATTGCGCACAGGTGGCGGGGGACAATGTGGCACGCACACAGAAGCGCACACAGAAGCGCACACAGAAGCGCACACAGAAGCGCACACAGAAGCGCGGGCCACGCACAAAAGCACAGACGCGAGCACAGTTACGGAACGGTACTCGTGTTCATGAACGATGAGCGCAAGTGGTAAGCTTTGACGAGGCGATGGGAATTTCCATCATCTTACTCAATAGACATCCTGAAGGTGCCCTTAACCCTGTTTGGCTGTCTGCTCGAGGTTGCTGGTAATTAATTGCTTTCATTGCTTTATCCGCTGCTTGTTGCCATCGGTGCAAGGTTGATCTTATTCGTCTTCACGCGAGGGGCCAGGGAGAGATTTCTGTACAGGTGTTTCTGCCGAAGGGTAATTGTCATTCTTGGCCACATTTCGTTATGGAACCCTTGGGGACTATTGCAGCAAAATGAGAATAAGAAAAAAAATCTGAGACGAGCAAATTTACATTAATGTTACGTGCAACACCAAGGGTGTGACTTGCAAGGGACACAAGCCAAGACATCATGGATCTATTCCAACACTTCCATTCTCGTGAGCCCTGTTTAACATTTAAAATATCTCAGATGCAGTCCGCAATAACTATTCACGTGAAGAGTTATTTTTTTTATACGGCACAAATTCAATCGTTCATTTTTAATACAGCACATTTGCGACAGTTTACCATAAATCCAGGACTCCTTTTGGAACAAGCAGGGACAGTACCTTGTTCTGCGAGTATCTGCACGTTTGTAGATACGGAAGCTGACGTTCAGTGATGAGATTTGAGGTGGTAATGTGTGTACAGCTCCACAAGGCGTACAAGGAATTACAGGCTTAGTTGTCTGCTCATCTTGCCTGCACTTCAACCGATGCTGCTATATAGCGTACCATTTAAGAAAAAGTTGTATGCCTGATTAGTTATAGACTCACCGATTCGCCACAAGCTCATATCTCACCCTGGCTCGTCTCTCCCTCTGCTTTCTATCCCCGCAGGGCTCCGTTTTGGAACTCCCTTGCGTATGTATTTGCAGCCACGTAAAACCCAACTCAATTTAAGAAGCTTCTCGTCGCTAACCTGTCATTCTTATTCTGCACGCATTCATGAACAACACTACCTAAAAAAGGAAACATACATATTTAATAGGCGAAGTTTCAGGGAATGCCCCTTCGTCATAGCACACAGCTCGCTCGGCTGCTCCACTTGATACATTACGTTTAACAGGGAGGCTTTCGCAAGCAATAATATCCATAATTAAGGTTTTTTTTTGTGGTGCAGTGGTGGCCAACACGTGGATCGTGATCAACGGGGGGATCGGAAAAGACGTTTAAGTGGATGTCAGGAAAAAGCAGGACAAACACGAATATGAGCAGACAATAATTTTCATTATGGCGGATGGCAAATAAAAATCCCCAATTAAGCAATCCTATATTTAAAAAATAATTTCTACCAATAGATGGCGCAAGTATTATATTAATCCGTAGCAACCATGATACAATATAAAGCCATCTCCATATTATTATTTTGAAAACATAGCATCCCAATTCAACGATTTTCAGAAGCAGTAAATTGTGCCAGGACAGCATAAAAAAGGTGTTTTGAACAAGAACATGATTTATAGTTACTCTTTGGTTCTATTCGGTAAAGTCACATAGGTAAAAAATTAAAACAACAAAAATCACGACGTTTCGGCCACAACACAAGCGGCCTTCATCAGGTGAAGGGACCAACCTGTCCAGCGGACAGCGTTGGAGTGAAGGCCGCTTGTGTTGTGGCCGAAACGTCTTGAATTTTTGTTGTTTTAATTTTTTCTACCCACGTGACTTTACCGAATAGAACCAAAGAGTATGGATCATTGCAGTCACGAAAGCTTCAAATCTAGAAATGATTTATAGTTACATAAATAAAGTAGCTTCCCTCATTTGAACAACAAATGCTTGGACATTTTCGGATTAAATCCGGGTAATTGTTGTCTCATAGCTTTCTGGTGGATTGTGAAGCCCACGGAGAGCCGCCAATATGGGTCACAGTGCTTGGGATTCAAACCTTTGATTAAAAAAATACAACTAAAACATAACAAAAACAAGTTCAAGTTGCAAACAGTCGACGTGTGAATAGATGTTGTTGCACTTTTACCTGACATGACCACCTAAGATCGTTGTCGCTCGTGCGCTAGCGAGCATGTGCCGGGTGCATTTCGGTCAAAGCAAACGACGGCACGTGTACAGCAGGAAGCGGTGTTCAGGCCGATGTAGCGGGCAGGCCTCTGTGAGAATATGTTTGATATATAGTTGGGTCTCCACAAATACAACCTTATATACCAAACATATCAGACAGCAGTCGGCAGGGCAGCAGGCTTCTGGCATCGTGGTCAACGGGCAGCGCGGGTTTCTCCGCTCTTGGCCCGACTCGGTGAGCACGTGACCCCGTGAATGTACTCCGCAGCATCTGTGCGGCCGCCGTTGGCAGCGTCGTCACCGCGGAGGCACGACGTGCTATTGTTGTACACGAGGCTTTGACAGATGTCTATTTTTAACAGTCGTGAACACTGGTATTGTAGCAAAGCGAAAGGTTATCTCTAGAATTACCATCAAACCATCCCTATGCAAGGAGCGATCCCACCATTGTTGAGAAAGAAAACGTGAAAAAAAAATATTCTCTTCTAACATTTAATTTATCAGACTAAACGGTTGTAAAGCATAATTAACGTTTCCCAGTATAATTAATTTAAACGAGGCTTTGACCTGGGGCAATATTTTACTTAATTCATTTTAATCAGTAAGGTATGGACAATTAACCGAGTGCTGCTGGGTACCCCAAAAACAACAAGGGTGGGACTGTCCAAAACCAACATGCGGCCCAAAATTTGGGTTTCTGCAATGCGTGTCACATGTTCAACAACAACTTTGCGCAGCCTAAGTAAATCTTCTAAACGTAAATGTTACTGGCCAGGTGGCACTGCGAGCGATTCGAGCAATAACAAAAAGACACAATTAGAAGGTTACGAATTCAAATCCCAACCTGGGGTTTGACTCCGATTATAATTATTCCTCTGAGATTATTAAAATCAATACCACTTTTGTAGGAATTCAAGAGCGCTCACCCCGTGGGGAGACTGACCCCCAACAGGGGAATGTGGAACATCAACCATTGGCTCATGCACACCAACGTGAATGAGTTGCCGTCCCGGGACTCGTTTGTGCACAAAGATGCTTACTGCGATTCTCCCTTGCAAAAGACAACATTAAATGGCCTTCAAGTGGTCCGACATGAAGTTTATTAAACGACTGTCTTGAGAAAGGATATGGAAACAAGAGAGAAATGGACAAAACTAAACTATAAACTAAACAATGTTTATTTAATCAGGTAAGGCCCACTGATGTAAGTAGCTCCTTTTCAGAAGCGATCTGGCCACAAATGATAGCTCAACGAAGTGGCTTATCACGTGGAAATTTATAGCAGCAGCCAAATACTCTAAAAGCATGTTTAGAAATGTGGAGGGAAAAACCGGAGGACCCGGAGAAAAACCCACGTGACCACGGAGAGAGACAGACACTGCAAACTCCAAATATACAACTGGGGTCAGGAACCAACCCATGGACCTCCTGCATACCGGGTGAGGTAGTTAACATCTCGCCACCGTGGACTTCATGGGGAAGAGGCACACAGTGAGGGGTGTAGTGAGGAGGCGGCGGCGAGCGAGCGAGCGAGTGAGAGAGCACGAGTGGCGTCGAGGGCACGTGCCACGTGAGCCCACCTTGGGCTTGGCACGCGGCTTCAGCTGCTCCAGCTTCTTTGCCGCGGCCTCGATGGCGGCAGCGGCTCCCAGCAGCTCGGCCTCCGCGATAACCGTGGGGTCCTCGGGGTCCACCCACTCTGTGCCTGTGCGGAGTTACAAACGCAACAAAGATCCCCCCCACCACCCCCGTTTAGCCTTAACAGACTGTTGAGGCAAGTGCTGTTAGCGAGCACCTACGGAAGGTCGGCACGGCACACGAGGGCATGGGTGGCTAGCACCAAGCCGAGCCGCCTTTGTCTCCCTTGTAGCGATGTTTTACACACCACACCAGGTACTCATTTGAGGCTGAGTCGACCTCGGGGAGGCCCAGGACTGGTTCAGATAATCGTCACCGGTGTTGGCCATGAGTGGGAATTGAACTCGAATCGCTGGCTTCATAGTGCAGTGCGCTAACCGCTACACTACCGCTCCCCACAAACATGTGGGCGCACACACACTCATGCACACACACGCATGCAGGCACACGCAAACGGATGCACACACGCGTGACTCATCAACACTGATTAAATACAATCACAATAAACGCAATTCATCGCATGTGTCTAAAAATGGATGAACATTTACAATTCATGACAATTATACGCATGTGTTTAACTTATATTTCTACTATTGCATTGAACCAAACTATACGAGATGGGGAAAAAAAAACTCCGGCAATCATCATAACGATGATGGAAAAAAAATACGATTCGAGAGTCTAATTACGAAACCACATCGTGACAGTTCGACGGACCACCAGGGGTGTGTGAATCTTAGCATGCCTAATCTGCATGCATACAACTACACACAGGCAGGGACACACATATAATAATGCACACAGACACACACGCTTGCACGCAAGCGTGCAAGCGTGCATGCATGTGAATGCAGAAAGCGCACACATGCGCACAGGCAAATGTGTGATGCACATAGGAAGGAATGCAAAGATCCCCCGTATAGCCTTTAACGGACTGTTGAGGCAAGTGCTGTTAGCGAGCACCTGTGAGGGCCAGCACGGCACACGAAGGGGTGCGTGGCCACCACCACGCCCGACCGCCTTTGCCTCCCTGATGGTTGTATACCGCACAAGTTGCTTACTTAAGCGGCTGAGTCAACCTAGCGGAAGCCCATGAATAGTTAAAATATTCGCCACTGGTGTCGGCCATGAGCGGGAATCGAACTCGGGGGTCTGGGTTCGTCGCGCGGTGCACTAACCAACTGCGCCACTGCCCTCCATGCATGTGAACGCATAAGGTGCAACACAGGCAAATGTATGATGCATCCAGTAAGGAATATAACACACGCACACACACATGAACAATGCATACAGGCAGGCACACAATCAGTAATGCACGTGTACAATGCATGGATGCGCACAGATATGCAGATACAAACACACATGCCCGGGAATAGCAATAAAACATAACTATACAATTACAACCACTTAAGAATACATGGACATGAATCAAATGGAGCAACTAATTTCTCTGAAACTGGTGCATTGTTGCCTCCAATGCAAAAACTCTTCACAAGAAGGGAATTCCGAGACTTTCTTTTCTTTTCAGAAGCTCTGACAACATCCAGCCAGTCAATTCCTGGTTGTGAATAAAGTGTGTAAAATATGTCCTACACCATGTAAGGTTTCCCTTCCTGCAACAAAGGTCCGACTACACTTAATTGCATTTCCCCCACTTTTCAACGTAATTATCATTTACCTCGAGGAATATTAATGGGGCACAACCTGCAATTAAAGTCGAGGTCACCATGGGCCAATGGTAGGACGCCTCGGCACAGCTTCCTTGTGCCAGATCCCACAACTCTCGCACCGTCTTAGGAAAAAAACCCACCGCTCTTCAGTCTTCCGCTCACGTACTATACGACAACCACATGGCTCGGGGTCTTCCCTTTGGTTGCTCACTTCTGGGTGCCCACAAAAAAAAAACCCTCAGTCACAAAACCTCTTCGGATCCACACACACACGAGTGCCCAACAAATGATACGCTCAAATTCTAAATTATATTTTTGCGCCAATTTTGATCAAATTATGCTCCTGGCATCATTACACGAGATGAAGAATCCATTCGAAAACATCACAGTGCGGGTTTATTCCATGTGTGTCAATTAAAGGCTACGGAAGGCATTCTTCAAAAGGATTTTGAAATCTCAGTATGGGTTGCACTTTGCACTCTCCCATATACTCTGCTGTGAGATCATTTGCTCCATGCCAGTGAGGAAGGGATCTCCTGATCAATGATAACACACCTCTATATCATCTGCATACTCCACACATCTCTCAGGTGCACGCGACCCATTGCGATATCTCAAAGCTATCTTTACTCACGACACAGACCCCCACGCTACGGTCGCGACTCGTCCCTGCGTTTGACGACCCCTACAAGGCTGCGGAGGCAGAGCGAGCACGCGGTGTGAGCAGTCCCTGCCACCCCAACCTCCTCCCCCGCCCTCCCTCCCCCACCCGCCGCTCACCGCCAGCGCTCCCGACGTACCTTTCATGGCCTCGGCTGCTTGGATGAGCTCGGTGACGGAGTTGGCGACGCGTTTGGAGAAGGCAGCCAACTGGAGCTTCAGCTCAGCCGTGGGTCGCTGCAGGATCTGGATTTGGTGGGGGGGTTTGTGTTGGGAGGGAGCGGGGGAGGGGGGGGGGGTGTGCGAATGTGACGTGAATGAAAGGGCACGCAGCTGTCGCCTGCTTGTTGGGCGACCCGTGGGCTGGAAGTAACCGCTGCCAGCATCTCCGTTGAATGGGGACGCCTTTTCCACGAGCGTGAGCAAGGGGCTACCTGGGATCGTGGGATTCTGACGGGAAACGGCGGTCCCCCTTGTTTGTCTGGCCCCTGTGGCAGCGTGGTGAGAAAGCTCGACCGGCAAACAAAAGGTTCAGAATTTAATTCCTGGTTAGGGTGGATTGGACTTGGCCCACCATCAACATTGGGTTGAGATGAAACGTAACATTTTCATGGCAAAATTTTTTTTGTCGTATTATCCCAGGACAGAACCCAGACATTCTCACTAATACCTGTGAATATTTCAACATTTTACATTTTTTTAGAGGTATCTCATCCGTGTAATGGAGGGGATACAATCCCCGAATGAACACCTGGGTGGTCGACAACACATTACTTAGAACTAAGCGGGGTAGGCGGGTGGGTGTCAAGCCAGGGATGATACTACTTGGTAAAACCAGGATTAAGGTAAGACTTTACTGAAATCCTAGTTTATTACCTCAGTAGTATCAACCCGGCTGCGGGTCGTTATTTAGTGAACCGGCACCAGAGCCGTCTGACACTGAAGGTGGGTAAATTCAAGCCGGCCCGACCTTACTAGATATACATTACTGGACCGCAGCTGACAGTACCGTCCAGCCAAACCATCCATCCTGAGAGGACGGCACGTCAAGGCGGTAACGCCGTGCAAACGTCTGCGGTGTGCCTCACACCGCTGCTCTACATCCAGAGACACTCCCGCCCCACTGGCCCAGGACGCTGCCACAGCGCTGGTAGAGTGATGCTTAACAGCATTGGTTTAATGCCCGTCCCTTACACCTGTACACCCCCTTGATGCGGCTATACGCTGCTTGGAAAGCCGGATGGCCCCTCTTTTGAAGGCCGTACAACACTAACAGCTATTCAAAGGTGGGTGAGCGCCAAGGGCATGAACCTCACATACCCGATGCACCGCTGGAACGCACAATGCAAGTAACTCAAGGGATGGGTCACACAGCACATTCAGCACCAAGTGCAGACTCCATACCTCTGAAAATGTAAAAATATAACCAAACATTCATGTGAGTATTCTTTGGTTCTTTCGGTAAAGTCGCGTAGACTTTACCGAAAGAACAAAAGAATATGAATTCCTGCAGTGACGAAAGTTTTAAGTCAAAATTCGTGTTAGTGTCTGGGTTCTGTGCGGCCGCAGAAGAACGGGTTCACTAAGTACCAACTGGCGGAACCTGGGATGATACTACTGCACCCCACAGTGGGAGTGCAGAATGCCCACCACTTGTTTTCCGGCGACCCAGTTGAGATGGGCCACTGGCACATTGCTCATCTTGAGCAGGGAAAAACACTTTGACTTGACTTTGTGGAGCCAACCAAGGATTGCGAAAAAGTAGAATGTGAAAATGTTGGTGAATGACTGAGGTGTCCATCCATTGCTGTGATAACAACAGTGAGAGGTTATGTTTTCACATAAATGAGCAAAATCGTCGAAAAGCGAGGCAAAAATCAAGCACTGATAGAATCACGGAAGCCACTGGGAAACTTCATAGTTCCAGTATTGTTTGGTTTGAAATTGTTCTGTATATTCCATCATATCCAAGAACAATTGCATAATCACACAGCGGAAATGTGTGGCTCATGGGGCCCCTCCGTAGAAATAGGACTTCACAGACCACAAACGGCTCAAATTCACGCTCATGCTTTTTGATTTTAAAATAAAGCACTTTGTTGGGCAATAATATATAGGTAACAACATAGCCATTATATTGAACAACTCATGCAGCTCTTCAAAATATCAGTAATCAGCACATGCTATAATTTTGCATTTTAAAATCAGTAATTGACCATACAGCTTCCATTAATGTACAATAGAAAACAGAAAGGCTGCATTTATAATACATTGTACAATCCTTTGGATTTTTATTTTTAATATTTTTTTGTTATTATTGCATGATTTCTGCAAGCTCTTTTGCACTAGTATTTTATTTGATTTATTTTTTCCTTTAAAAAATAATTGTGATGTTAACATGATCATGTTAAAAGTCTAAAAAAAGATCACGGAGATCGCAGAAGCACGGCACACACAACTCCCAGCATGCAACTCACCGGCTGCCATGTTTAATGAAGGGAATGGAAATGAGACAAAAATGAGCACATAATTGTTAGAAAATGCGCCATTAACGTTACAGAATGAAAAATACGTGGCAAGTAAAAATGTTGCAGGCAGGAAAAGAAGTTTGGAATTAATAAGATTGAACACACGCCTGGCCGCAATGCAAAATGACCATCGTATATCCAAATTAGAAGAACACCGTATATCCAAATAAACCCACAAACTAAACTGTAGATATTTTACATTCAAATTACATGAAATGGTCAATGATTAAATCAGTAATAATTATAAATTCGACTCCTGATAATGGTTGGTTTGTGCCGGGGTATCTGAAGAGCATGTCACCAAGAGTAGTGAGCGATGACTGAACCAGTTCTGGGTCTCCTGTTCACATGGCCGCACTACTGACCGGCATGGTGAAGTATGGTAAAAAAAAAACTCATCAACATAGCTTGGGAAGGTCTTCATTCAGCAGTGGAATGACAAAAGGCATGTTAGTTTTATGATCATGATGATGTTACTCTGGCTTGGTGGCAATGTGGCAGAGCGCTTGACTCGCAAGCGGAGGTTTGCGTGTTCAAATCCTGGTTGAAGGCTGACTCAGCCGATCATCCTTCTGGGGTTGTTAAAATATATACCACTTTGTCAATAGTCAGCAGTGGCTATCCTTGGGGGAGAGCAGCCCCCGCCATAGAAATGGGTAATTGCACGGCTGGTTCAGGGTTGCCAAATGAAATGAGCAACACCCAGTCCTAATTTGAGCAAAGAAATATTTACTGTATTTGAACATGAACTCAATCGAATCGGCCATAGCGAAGATACTCTTTGGTTCTATTCGGTAAAGTCACGTAGGTGAAAAATAAAACAACAAAAATCACGACGTTTCGGCCACAACACAAGCGGCCTTCATCAGGTGAAGGGACCGAATAGAACCAAAGAGTATGGATCCTTGCAGTCACGAAAGCTTCAAATCTAGAATCATAGTGAAGATTCTGGCCGATTTAAAATGTTTATACACAGATGTCTACGGGCTACGTTGCAGGCAGCAAAGGACAGGGCAGCAGAAATCCAGTGCTGGACAATACTCCCCACATTCACCAATCAGCACTGACCAGCATGGTGAAAAAAACCCAGAACCACATCGAGTAGTCGATTGACTAAAGAGCTGTAAATGGATATGTCCACAGGTGTCTTTCGGAACGCCGCATTTGACTGCGTGGCACGCGCCTCCTGCATTTACTGCCCATGGGGGACATACAAGAGGGTTTGGGTGCAGGGCTCCAGAGAGAGAGTGCAGAATGTGAACGCACGTCAGGGCTGCGCACGTACCACCAGCACGTGCCGATGGCAGATGCACGGACAGACATTGGGCGGAGTGATAGAGAGAAAGTGTAGAATGAGTGCACGTGTCAGGGCCGCGCAAGTACCACCAGCACATGCTGACGGGAGACGCACGGATGGGCGTTGGACGGAGGGGTGGAGAGAGAGTGCGCAATGAGAGCACGTGTCAGGGCCGCGCACGTACCACCAGCACGTGTTCCAGCAGCTCCAGATAGCCCACGGTGCACTCGCGGCCGAAGCGCAGGGCCCTGGAGCGGACGTCCTCGCTCACGTCCGGGTGGTACGCCGCCCTCTGCCCGTGCAGGAGATGCGACAGAAGCGGACGTGACCCACGTCAGTCGCAACGTTCTTTCGCGTGGTCTCTTCTGTCCTCCCCTGCTCCTCATCTCCATGCTTCTAAGCTCCAGGCCTCCTCCATAACCCCATGTGTGGTAGAGCGAGTGACCCGTGACCGTTTCAGAGGTTGGTTATGGCACCTTGGGCCATGGCAGGGAAGAACTCAAGCCGTGGCCCCAAGGCGTAATCGGTATATGACAGCACGGGCCTATTTTTGTACCATCTAAACATTTCCCAAGTCTGGCAAGAACTCAATATGTCATGGAAACAAGACAAGATGCCCAAGGCTACACAAAGAGTGTGATTTATAGGGAACGGCACCCATGGATATCGGAGTGTAAATGAATGCGAGTTGTGGAAAATCTGACGAGTGAGCTCAGACCACCACACCCAGCATTGTGAGGTTACAATTATTGCTGAGATCGCTCTGAAAGGCACTCTTACGTAATTAATTCTTCTCACACACCACTGACCTCTGGGTGTCCCACTATCCTGGTGCATCATATTTTTAACTTCCAAGTTGTTGTGTACCCTATCTTTGGCACGCTCCTACACCGAAGAATGTTGTGCCCGGGGCTACGCGTGGCACCTTGCACGAGGACAGCATGTCGGAGATGGCCTTGCGGCTCAGGTTGGCCGTGGCGATGATGTCCTCCTGGCGGCACGAGTTCCCGGCGGCGACGGCTTTGGCCGTGGCGAGCGTGATGCCCTTGGTCATGCGGATGAATTCCTCCGGCGTGGAGGCGGCCACCGGTCTGTCGTTCGACTCAAACACCTGCGTGCGTGCGCGAGCACACGTGGCAGCGGAACATCAATCAGTCACTCGTAAAAAAACACCAACAAGTGTTTGTTTGCCACCTGCAGTCGATTCTGTCACTGATGTCAAAACTCAAAGAGCCTCTGTCGAGCTTTATTGATTATAGGTACAAAATTCTGTCAATGGGTATCTTATAAAGGGCAGCAACACCTGCGTGGGAGTAGTACAGGCTGGCACCACACACAGCCAAAAAAAAATCCCAACCCCTGTGCTTATGCTGATATGCTCTACCGGGTTACCATTTTAGGTCGAGTTGACCTAGCAGAGACCCAACCAGTGTACCTGGGGTGCATGGCCATGCATTGAATTGACCTCACCGAGATTGTAGTGAATGAATGCCTCAAATGACAAATATTTAGCCATAAACACAAGTTACTGCTACGCTAATCCCCTATGCAATCCAACACGGCACACCAAGGTGAGGCATCCTGGGGTAAGCCCTGCCAGGTTTGAATGGCGCTTGCTGCTGGTGTGGATGGTGAGGAATTGAACGCAGATCACAATGGAAATTAGACAGCAGTGAATTACACCAAAAACTATTTAAAAACTAAAGATGTTTTACTAAGCGAGGCCCAATGAGCTTAAAAAGTTATTTTAAAGAAGCGACCTGGCTGCAAATGATAGCTCACCTTAGTGGTTTATCATGTGGAAATTTATTGCAGCCAAATACTCGAAACGCATGTTTCAAAATGGGGAGGGAAAAATCGGAGGACTTGGAGAAAAATCCACGTGACCGTGAGGAGAGCATGCAAACTCCAAATATACAGGCATCAGGATCAGGATTGAACCTACAACCTCCTGTATACCAGGCATGGTATTCAACAGCACACCACCGGCACACACTGGCGAAAATAACAAACCCATGTGCTCAATGCCTATACACACACACAGACATTTACAAACAAATACATTCACCCACCACCACACCCATCTAAATGCTACAAAAACAAAAATGCCCATATAGCCTAAACAGAATTTTAGGGCAAGTGCTGTTAGCGAGCACCTATAAAGGCTGGCATGGCACACGAGGGGGTGGGTGGCCAGCACCATGCCCAGTCGCCTTTGTCTTCCGAGTGGTGATGTTTACGTACCGCACCAGGTACTCATTTGAGGCTGAGTCAATGTACAGAAGACCCAGGACCAGTTCAGATAATCGTCACTGGTGTTGGCCGTGAGCAGGAATCGAACTGGAGTTGCCGGGTCCATATCGCAGCTCGCTAACCACTGCGCCACTGCTTCCCATAAGGACTAACCACTACACAATCACACATACACACAACAACCTACACACACACACATAAGCATGTGTATGTCCGTATGCACATCTGAACGACATTTGTCCATCTGTGAGTCGGTCACAAACACAATGAGTAATTTTCATCGGTGTCAAGTTATGGCTAACGGTTTTGATTATGAGCTATTTATGACTTATGACCATTGACCTAGCTAAAACTCAAATCAATTAACATCTTCACCATGCTAATCTTCTCAGGTCACTCGTGCAATGCAGCTGTTAAGGAATGCATGTTATAAACAGGATTCACCCCATTTGTTGGACTCCTACTGCCCTGTGCATAAGAAGCCAAAAGAGAGATGAAGGGCAGGGGGTGTGAGGGGGTTGGGGGTATGGGGGGCGTCGGGGGGGGGGGTGGAGGGGGGCAAGTGGGGTGTGTGGAGGGGCGTGGGGGCGTGGGGGGGGGTGGTGAAGGGGGGCAGGTGGGGGGGGGGGGTGGTTCTGCGGTGGGTACCGTGAGCTCCTGCTTGATGCACTCGATGGTGGCCTCCAAGGCGCGCGTTCCCCTGGTCGCCTCGTCCTCCACGGCCTTCACGGTCTTGAGCAGCGACGTCACGTTCGTCACCATCACCTGCCACCACAGACACACGCATCCGACAAATGAGGATAAAGGTCCCCCGTGTAACCTTGACAGGCTTTTAGGGAAAGTGCTGTTAAGACCGGCATGGCACACGAGGAGATGGGTGGCCAGCACCACACTCAGCCGCCTTTGTCTCCCGAGTGGCGATATTTAAACATCGCACAAGACACTCATTTGGGGCCGAGTCGACCTACGGGAGGCCCGGGACTTGTTCAGATAATCGTCACTGGCGTTGGCCATGAGAGGGACTCGAACTCGGGTCCCCGGGCTCATAGTGCAGCGCGCTAACCGCTACATGACAACTCGCCACATACACACACACACACAGGCGCAGAGGATGACCACGTTAATAATACTACTACCAAGTCGATGCATTCTAAAAATTACAGAGCATTTAAAGGGAATCATATCTCACAGGAGACAAAGCAACTGCAGTCATTTGCTAACTAATTAAATTTTCCAGGTTGCTCAGGTGGCTTTTAATGGCCCAATCAGAGCACTAAATGAGCACTCCTGCATCCTGGGTTCAATTCAAGGTGGGGTTGTGCTGGTGCAAGTTTATAATTCATCACTTTGGATGTTGGATTGGAGGCTCATGCAGAAATCATCTCAGTGGTGAGGATCCCAGCAACACAAGGCTATGACGTAGCTGGAAGAAGGTAGAACAGCAACTACGTCACCGATCTAGCGATACATACTTCTGAGCAATATCTTCTCTCATACGCATGGGGGTTTTTGTTCCAAGACACAGTGGTACCTCGGTGTTCGTCGTTAATTCGTTCCAGAAGGTAGGAGGACTTATACCGAAAGCGACGTAAACACCAAACGCATTTTTCCCATACGAACTAAAGGGAAAGAAAATTATCCGTTCCAGAGTATAAGAAATGATATTTTATATGGCATATTATACATTAATGTGGTTGTATACAATAATGTAGACACTACTTGTTACTAAAATGCATAATTAAATTAAAATAAAACACGTGAAAATTCACAGAGCGTTATAGTAAGGGTTGTGCACTGAACGAGAGCTACAGGCAGACCGAGGAGCGGCGCTTTGTCTCAGTCGTAAACGGGGTCTACGCGGGTAAGCGGCGACTCATCCCGACCCATACAAGTTCTAGCAAGCGAGGCATCGTATCCCAAGCAAGACGGCGTATCCCAAGACATTTTTTTCTCATCAAAACACGACGTATACCAAATTCGACGTATTCCAAAGCGGTCGTATACCGAGGTGTGACTGTATTCCATTTTCCTCATTAATACATAACAATGATTACGGAAAATATCCAAACATCTCAATGCAGGAACCTCATTAAAAGGTCTTGAAACTCATTTACGCTGTCCTTGATTAACATCAGACTGGTACTGTTAATAATATAATTTGGATAGGAGGCGTACACATTTCTTCGTGAGTCAGATACTGTAACCCAATGGAAACTCTATTCATAGACTGGCTTCCCAGTTTGTTTTAATGTGACGCGTTATACATGTTCAGTTGTAACACTTGCAACTTTAAATGCGATGCATTATGAGTCCCTGGTTTTCATTTGTAATCAACAGCTTGATCTCATTAATACCTTGCGGTAAAAAATGGAAACAAAAATAAAAAAAGTTAGAGCTAATTACAGCTTCTCACGCGTGTTTCCACTCCAATTCCATTGGAAATAATCCCTCTGATAACACACAAGGAGGGTGCAATTATCAGCTGCTGTGATGCAAACACTTGGTTGCTAATGAAGGCAATTTGTACACAATTCAACTATTCGGTGGCAAGATGTTATCTCCCACGCCTGATACGCAGGTCGTGGGTTTGATCCCAACCCGGACGATGCCTGTATATAATTGGAGTTCAAGTGTTATCTCCCCGTGGTCTCGTAACTTTTTCTCCGGGTTCCTTTGGGTTTTCCCTCCACGTTTAGAAACATGCGATTCATCTTCTTTGGTTCTTTCGGTAAAGTCACGTAGAATGAGAATAAAATTATAAATTGATAAAATAAAATAACACAATAATATTCTCACGACGTTTTGGCCACAACACAAGCGGCTGAAACGTCGTGAGAATATTATTGTGTTATTTTATTTTATCAATTTATTATTTTATTCTCATTCTACGTGACTTTACCGAAAGAACCAAAGAAGATGAATCCTTGCAGTCACGAAAGCTTTAAATCGAAATTTAAATATGCGATTATTTGGCTACTGTAAATCGCCACGTATGACAAGCCACTTCGATGAGCTATCACGTGTGGCCATGTCACGTCTGAAAAATAGGCAATAGTGCACTGGGCTCTACCTGGTAAAATAAAATAGTTTAGCTACAATTAATCGATTCATCAATCAGAATTTGTTCCAATGCTCATGAAAGATTAAGTGAATTGTGCAATTTAGATAACATTGTTCACAACGTGCAGAAATCATATGAAATGCAAATAGTACATTTAAGTAAACTGTGGCATGACCTTAGAGATGGCTCAGGATGGGATTGAGTGGAGAATGAGGACCACGAAGGCAAACACCACAACATGAGGTTGCAAAATATCCAGGAGGAGCAAGACATTTACGCAAACGGTATATACAATCAAAACTGAACGCACGAGAAACAATACGAACAAGAGAGCAAACAAGAGACAAACTAGCTATCGATTCAATTTTGATTTAAAGCTTTCGTGACTGCAGTAATTCATATTCTTAGTTTTTTCGGTAAAGTCACGTTGAAGGGAAACAACAAAATAATAAAATATATATAAAACAATAAAAAATTCTCACGACGTTTCGACCATAACTCAAACCTGAAGACGACCGTTTGAGTTATGGTCGAAACGTCGTGAGAATTTTTTATTGTTTATAAATATTTTATTATTTTGTTGTTTCCCTTCAACGTGACTTTACCGAAAAAACTAAGAATATAGCTATCGATTCGTTTACCAAGTTGCGTCCCCCGGGGCCTTGACAGTTCATCACATTACCGAGGAAGGGCGTGAATTGCGTGACGCCTATTCGTTCTCCTGCAGGTGTGCCGACTCGACACCGCATGCACTGGTGTCAGGCTGGGTGCTCGAGGCCCACCTTGGCAGCTCCCTTGAGCTGGTGCATGGAAGCGTCATCCGAAGGTTTTCCGGCCGCAGATTTGGTGGCGCTGATAAGCTCCGCCAGAGCCTTGGCCACGTCCTTCACCGCGTTGATCAGCACCACCTGGGTCAGATGTGGACAGGCGTCGCCAGGCCATACCGGTCGGTCACTCTCCCACCTACGACTCCATGGGGCACCACAGTGGCGAGATATTATCTCACTCGCCTGATAAGCAGGAGGTCGAGCGTTCGATCCTGACCCTGACTTCTATACATTTGGAGTTCATATCTTCTTCCTTTTCCGGGTTCTCCAGTTTTGCCCTCCACATTTAGAAACATGCGTTTGGTTTATTTGGCTGCTACTATAAGTTCCCACATGATGATAAGCCACTTTGATCAGCTATCTTGTGTGGCCGGGTCACTGCAAAAAAATAGCTAATAGCTCAGTGGGCTTGACTTATATTAAATAGTAAAGAGCTCAAAATAAAATTACCGTCCCACCCCCCACAGCGAATTGCTTAATCCATCTGTACACATCGCCTAATACTGGTAAACCTGCAAACTGTAGCCACAAGCCACCACTGTATTACACGTCAAAAAAAATGTACTATTCCAAAAGCTCCACTCATCCATCCGTCTGCGTACCCATCTAACCTTTCCATCGCCCAACTCCCATTGCGCCGTCACACCCTCTCAGTCAGTGTTCACAGTTCTCACGACCCTCGTCTTTGCACTCCCCTGCGTTCCCACATCATACGCTAGGGTTGCCACCTCTGCGATACAAAGATCCGGGACGTATCACGGGAGGAAGAACATCTGACAATACGCCCCAGATGAAAGAACTACAAATAAATGCATTGCTTTGAAAGGTGTATTTATTGCAAGACTGGCAAAAGCTAGGATTTGTAATGTTCCAAAAAATATATACAGATTTCCCAGGACAGGTACTTCAAACAGAGGACAATCCTGAGAAAAACCAGGACAGGTGACAAACCCTACCAAGGCCACCCGTCAGCCATCGGCACCTGCGTCTCGGGGTCGTGGGAGCCGAGGCTCGCGGCTCCGAGCTTTACGGCCTCAGCCAGGTCGGTGATGGTGGCAACCGAGGACTGCGCGGCCTGGGCCAGCTTCTCCTGGCTGGCGCCCGCCCCCGCCACCAGCATCTTGGTGTCCTCCACCAGGGCCTTGGCTGTCTTCAGGATGTTCTCCCTACCCAGCCCGACACATTCGCCGCATTGTTGTCAAGCTCCGAAAGCTTCACCATCATCATCATTATCATCGTTTTCATTGACTTACGATCATATAACTTTTCTCAATTCAAGAAACACATCAACTCTTATCTACAACACCTTCAATAACACAGTTTTTTGTTGCTGGCTACTGGGCATGTTGAGCCTTTCGGCCTGTGCTCTGCAACTGTGATAAATAAATACTTAAGTAAAAAGGCAAGACAGAGCACCCTCATTTTTATCTTCCCTCCAATTGTCATTGGAGCTGCCTTCCTTCATCCACATTGCTCCAGTAGATTCCTTTCATTTGGAAGCCACTGGTGCTAATAATTGAAAACTAATTTATTTAGAACTGCTTTTTGTGTTTAGTTTGTCCTTCCCCCACACCTCCGATTAGCAGGGTTTGCTATGTATGGTGCGAAAGAAGTACAACATAATTTATATTTCCAAACCCACATTAGCTGACTCAACTCAAGATGCTTGTCAACTCTTGCCAACTCTATTTATTCAAGCTGGCTTTGCTGCAGGCTGTTTGCATTGTAAGTCTGCCAAATTAAAATTGGTGCAATTCACATGTGTCCAAGCTTAGATTGGATACTGACCAACTACATCAATGCAGGCCATACAAGCGAGCAGAAAAAGTCAGCTGACCTATCTCCTTGCTCTTGCTGACAGGTATTGCTTATCTCCGTCAGCTGTTCTGCACCAGCAGTGGAATTAAAAATTTCCATGGCAATGGTCAATGTCTTTGTAGGATGAATCAATGTGTCTCCCTCTTCTGACATGCAGTGGTGTGGAGATTAAATCTGTTGGCACCCCTCAGCCAGCAATGTAAATTCCACATTCCCCTGGTAGGGGCAAGTCTGCCCATAGGGCAACCACTTTAGGCGTCCGAAAAAGTGGTACCTATCTTATTGACCCTGGAGGACCTATAAGCCGAGTTGACAGCCCAAACAGAAACTCAAAACCTCCCAATTGTGAGTCGTGAAAATCTTCTGCATGTTTTCAGGTGCAGCCCTGAAATGTTTTGCTCACGCCACTAACGGCCGAGGGGCATTCACGAGATGGAGCTCAAGAAGAGGCCCTTTCGACAGGATTTTGGCCTACTCTGGCCAGACGTGGGAGTATCCACACTAGACTCCACCGCACACGGCCTGGCAGATCGACTCACTGCAGTCTGACCATTTACACAGCTTGGCGGTAGAGAGGCGGGATGTTATTTGATAACCTTGCACCATTGTTTCAATTACCGCGGTGAGCCACTGAACTGGTGACCTCTGAAATGGAAGTCCCAGTGTGCGGAATCACCACAGCACGGCAGCGTCTCACACTCGGTGATTTAGGCTGGATGGAAGAACAGCGCTGCTATCGTGCGCAACCCACGTTTGGCGCCGCACAACCCACGCTCACCGGTGGTCGGCAAACGACTCCTCCCCCTCGGCGTTGAGCGTGCCGGCCGACGCGAACATGATGGTGGTGTCGAGGTCTGCGATGATGCCCGACACGGCGCTGCCGGCCGTGATGCACGCCTGGGTGCCGCGGTTTCCCGCCTGCAGCGCCGCCAGCACCAGCGACACCTTCTCGGTGACGCGGCGAGCGCTCTCCACCAGCTCCCGCTTGGCGAAGCCGTCGTCCGGGTCGCCTTGCAGGGCGCCCGCCCGCTGCACCAGCAGCACGCAGCTGCGGCCCAGCTCATGCACACGCCCGCGGATTTGGGTGCCGACCTGGTGGCGGACGGAGGGGGCCGGCGAGCCAGACGGTCAGACGGGCGATGTGACGGACGACGGAGAGATGATGGACAGACGATGGATAGACGACGGACGGACGAGGGACAGATGATGGACAGGCGACAGACAGACGACGGAGAGACGACGGAGAGAGGACAGACAGATGAAGGACAGACGTGGATTTGCACAAGAACGGCCAACAACAGCAGTCGACGTTCGCCGCTTAAGTGAGAGATGACATCGACACAACATTTGTGCCAAGCTAGGTGTGGTTTGCATGTAAGCATGTTTAACTGGATTTGAAGCTTTCGTGACTGCAGGAATCCATACTCTCTGGTTCTTTCGGTAAAGTCACGTATTATTTTTTCCATCTACGTGACTTTACCGAAAGAACCAGAGAGAATGTTTAACTTATTTTTTGCACTGTACATAGCCAACCATGCTAATTGGAGGTGCGGGGGAAGGACAACAAACTAAACACAAAAGCAGTTGTAAAGAAATGAGTTTTCCATCTAGATTTAAAAGTGCATAGCTCCAGTGGCTTCCTAATATTGGAAGGAAGAGAGTTCCAGACAGCCGCAGAAGCGCATCTGAAAGTGTGAGATGCAGTGACCATCTTTGTTCAATGGGTAGCCAAAAGTCACTGCGAAGTTGACCGTTGTTCGCGTGATGGTTTATACTCCTTGACGAGATGAGCAAGGTGTTGTGGTTCATTTGTGGCAAGCACTTTGTGTGTAATGAGTGTAGTTTGAGACCACGTAATGTGTTGTAGGCTCCCTTGCAGGCGGTCACGGGACAGACCCACGTGTTTTGGGTTAACGGACCAAGAAGAATAAAAGATGCACCACCTGTGCCAGCTAGCTTGCACACGCAAGTGTGCACACACAGGCACGCATACGAGTTCAAAGTGTGTACGTGCGGATCAGCACGCACGTTGTTAGTTAACCATGTGACGAATTATCTCCACCGAGAGATTATATGAATTGTCATTTTTCAAGGTCGCAATTCGAGTTAAGAATTAATCATTTTCAAGTCTTCATTTTCTTACAGTGTCTTTAAAAGCACTGGTTGTTTATTCCATATATTTACAGTTTTGGTTGCTCCGTTAGCCCAAATGTAACTCGACCATAGCACGTGCATGAACCATAATCAATTTTAAAATGCATTATTGGATGCGTACATGTATTGTGAGCATAAGAATTGGTTCTAATCTATGAATGGATACATATTTACGATTGTTGATATGTACACGGGCATGAATGGATTCATGCACACGTGTGCAAACCCACACAAGCGGTCGCCCGTAATTTCCATGGCTCTGCCTTCACGAAAATGTCTTTGAAACACTCAGACTTGGATAGTGACATTGAAAATTAAAAAAGGAAACGGAATCGTATACAAAAGGCTAAATGTAATTGAATGTTTGTTAAAATGAGCAGTGAAGTGACCATCATCTACCCTGGCACCCTGATTGAGTGGTGGGAATTCCACATTCCTATGGAAATAGGTCTCTTAGTCTCTAGGACAACCACTACAAATGCAGTCGTGTTTTTGTTAAAATTATCTCTTGATTATTCGTATATATGTAATGACATTGTGTTAGTGCTGTAAGTGTGATATTATTGCCAAACACTTGAATGCACGCACAGTAAGCATTGGCAACCTTCAAATATGAAGCGTGCATTTCACCTGTGTGTATGTGTTACAATAATACAGTAGTATAGCGGTTAGACCGCTGAACTATGAGCCCAGTGACCTGAGTTCAATTCCTGCTCACGGTCAATACCAGTGACAATTATCTGAACTAGTCCTGGGCCTCCCCTCGGTTGATTCTGCCTCAATTATGTACCTAGTGCAGTGTGTGAACATTGCCACTCGGGAGTCAAATGTGGCTGGCCATGATGCTGGCCACCCACCTCTTCACGTGCCACGCCAGCCTTCATAGGTGCTCGCTAACAGCACCTGCACAAAGAGCCTGGTAAGGCCACACGGGTGATCTTTGTTACAGCACCTTAAAGCTGGTTGTTCTACAAGGTTCTTGATGGTCTCCCAATGCTGCAATGAGTATTGAAAGTCGGCCTTCTTTCACTCGGGATGGAGGGAAATAAAGAAAGAAAGAAAGCCCTCACCTCCTCGTTTTCGGCAGCAACGGCAGCTGGTCGGCTCTGCAGGGCCAGCTGGCCGTAGTCCACAGTCAGCTGATTGGCCAGTGGACCCAGCTCCTCGGGGCTGCTCACAGACTTGGTGACCTATGTTCCACACATGCCTGGCGTTAAGCATGTGTCCCTTTTATTAACTATTGCAGTCGTTTAGCTTAAAGGAAGACGCAATCCCAACAACAAACAGCTGTCGTCTTGGAGATGCATAGCTATCCTTGGGTGTCCTTGGCCGCTCGATGGATTTTATTAATAAGAAACTAGGATTTTAAAGCTTTGGTCAGGCACACTTGCTGGTGACACTTTGGTGTCACGTCCGTACTCTAGAACAGAACATCACTGCAGTGAGGTCACAAGAGTGCTGCCAACTGTAACCTTAAAGTCTCTTTGTCATTAAAACAAGTTTCGCCACGGATAGCCCGGGACACCAAACTGGAGCACGTGACTACAAAATGAGAGGGATGTTTATTTTTGTGTTGTGTCTTCGTTTAAGTCAAGAGGTGGGAAACCTTTTTTTCTGCCAAGGGCCATTTGGATATTTATAACATCATTCGCGGGCCATACAAAATTATCAACTTCAAAATTAGCCTGTTATTATTTGGTCAAACATTTAATTAACTCACCCCTAATGCGATGGCTGGAACTGCTTCTCTTTGGCGAGACGTGTGGTGATGTTAGCTGGTATTGATGATGTTAGCTGGTATTGGTGATGTTAGCTGGTATTGATGATGTTAGCTGGTATTGGTGATGTTAGCTGGTATTGATGATGTTAGCTGGTATTGATGATGTTAGCTGGTATTGATGATGTTAGCTGGTATTGATGATGTTAGCTGGTATTGATGATGTTAGCTGATATTGATGATGTTAGCTGGTATTGATGTTAGCTGGTATTGATGATGTTAGCTGGTATTGATGATGTTAGCTGGTATTGATGATGTTAGCTGGTATTGATGATGTTAGCTGGTATTGATGATGTTAGCTGGTATTGGTGATGTTAGCTGGTATTGATGATGTTAGCTGGTATTGATGATGTTAGCTGGTATTGACGATGTTAGCTGGTATTGGTGATGTTAGCTGGTATTGACGATGTTAGCTGGTATTGGTGATGTTAGCTGGTATTGATGATGTTAGCTGGTATTGATGATGTTAGCTGGTATTGATGATGTTAGCTGGTGTTGATGATGTTAGCTGGTATTGATGATGTTAGCTGGTATTGATGATGTTAGCTGGTATTGATGATGTTAGCTGGTATTGATGATGTTAGCTGGTATTGATGATGTTAGCTGGTATTGGTGATGTTAGCTGGTATTGATGATGTTAGCTGGTATTGATGATGTTAGCTGGTATTGATGATGTTAGCTGGTATTGATGATGTTAGCTGGTATTGATGATGTTAGCTGGTATTGATGATGTTAGCTGGTATTGATGATGTTGCTACTCGCAACTGCTTTTCCAGGTGTGCTCCTAGATTTATTGAATTTCGAATCCCGCCTGCGGTTGCTTTGGCAGGGCCCAGACCAAATGATTTTGCGGGCCTCATGCGGCCCGCGGGCAGGACGTTCCCCACCCCTGGTTTAAGTGAACTCCTGGCTGGGATTTTAACTCACGGCCTTCTCCAAATCAACTGCCCTATTCATAGAACCACGTGGCTGAATGTACACATGTGGTCATGGTCACAATAAAATTAATTCAGCGGTCTCTTTATAAAACATACAGTATGCAGCTATAATTTAATACCTGAATATGACACTTAATATTACAAAGAAAATCACCAAAAACAATAATATTTATACTCAGCATAGTACATCATATTTGTCTCACAATTTAACATTCGAAAGTACACAATTAAAAGGGCGAAACTGTTTCCCAGTGCTCGTTTATTTATGTTGGGGTTACACCACTGAAATGGAAACACTCCATGGACATTGCCAGCCAGCGTCACTCGACGCCAGGCTGCTTTTGCATGCAAATGAATGTCAAAACGATGGAACACTCAACGGGCATTAACACCACCGCTTATTAGTACTGAGATTTTCTGGTTCTATGCATTACCATGCTGATCAGTGAGCACCCGTGTGGGATTCCAGCTCAGTGATGGCAGACGAAATAAACTCTAGAAACAGAGAAGTCGTTTATTTTTTTTCCCAATGAAACATCAGCTTTAGCCCCCGGTGCCTCCCTGTTCTACCTCACCCCCTCTCCTTCGTTCTCATTCCTTCTGCCACTTCAATTCTCTCTTAGGCCCTCGATACCAGTGTTGGAACGTAATGTTCTCCAAGCAAAGTGACAGTGTATACTTTTCACTGAAAGAATTCCACGGAATATAATCTGCAATCATTATGAAAAAAAAAACATAACCAAAAGGCCAAGCGTGTCACGCCTCTGTTGAAAAATTAGCGTCGGGCGGTCGAGGGTCAATGAAATGAGTGCCACCTTGTGAGAAGTCATCGGTGGTTATCGGATGGAGACAGACACCTGCCACAGGAAGGTGACATTTTGACCACTGGCCTTGGGCCACTGATGGCAATGGGCAGGGAGACACTTTGCCTTTCTCATTACCGTATACTGCAATAGAAATAGCTGTGAAAAATATTGGCTGATCTCCAACGTTCGTAGTAATGAGCACCCAATCGTGGCAACTACTCCTCACGGTAAACTCCTGTTTCGTTAAACCTTTCTCTCAATTCCCTCTTTATATTGTCTACCGTCTGCAGAATTAAAACATATCTTTAGTTTTTTTTTAGTAATGCCTACACATCGTAATTAGCCAATCTGTTTCCAAAAAGTCCCCCCTCGCCCAGCATTGAACAAGTCCATTCGCTCATCAAGACTGGGACTGGAACACCAAGCGCTTTCTGGCTGCACGTTCGTTCCACCGCTCTTAACCTCAGCCCTCTCCTCCTTTGATTAATTCCCATGCCAACCCCCCCCACCCACCGGACTCCACCTGTTCACCCCTTTTAATACGAAGAAAGTGGGGAGAGGAGGCCCTCACCATCTCTTGTGCGGTCACCGCGATGGCTTTCACTGTTTTCACCATGACAGTCTGATAGTCCACAAAGCTGCCCTCCACTTGCACGGGGGAGCCCTCCTCCAGCTAGATCCGCCCCACACCAGGGTGTCAGCCATGCGGTTAAAACATGAACAAACATGTACACAGTGTGTGTGCGTCGCGTTATTAGTGGCACACTCAAATAACAGGCAAAACGGACAACAATAATTCTAATAATAATTTGCAGCCCTTCGTGAAGGCCTCCCAACCTATATTGGTTAGGGGGGGGGGGGGCGGCTTCTCTGAGCCGACTTTAACACGCTGGTCAGTTGGTGCGGCTTGGTCAAGTGGAGGTGGTCCAGGACTGGTTCAAATACCACTCGCCACCAATGTTAGCCATAGCCGGCAATCAAACTCGGGTCACCAGGTTTATAGCGGTAACCGCTGTGCAACCACGCATCTTAAAACAACATGGATGATGGCCATCCATAAATGCCTCAAGAGCAGGGTGTTAAATTTCTTAGTCACAAAACTAAGCAGGATTATTTTAAGTGATGGCCTGCCAAGTTTATATTTTATCATTATTATAATTCTTATTTTTAATATGTACAGGTTTAATGAACATCAAAATACCTGGATTAAATGCTTATGAAATGACATGATGAAATTATCTGTACCCACAGCCCCTTGCAAGTAACCAGGTTTTGTATTGTTAATGGTGGTTGCAATGTGGAGAGTATCGATGATGATGATGATGTCAATGGTAATCATGAAAAGGTTAAGAAAAAAAAGAGAGCAACATAAAAAAGGAGGCAGAGAGGACATAAGACAGACGGCAACGTCGACATCGGTACAGCTGAAGACAAAGGTTTAGAGATAATAGCAATAACCAGATACACAATGATGAACAGGCTTACCAAGCTAACCATTTTAATGTATTGACAATAGACTGAGAATGGTTCTTTAGTCTCTCCCGCAGGGAAATACCTTCATATTTATAGTGACAGTGCACTGTTCACGAAACGTGCAATGGCCATGTCGTTTGGTGACATTAGTCGCTTCCTTCGTGGCAGCATAACAGAAAACAGAAAATTTCACTTTAGCCGTCAATGTCAATCTCTTCATCGTAAATGCGTACTGTGGAAGAATTAAAATGAAATGTAAAAAGCACCCTCTACATCAACCAAAATAATAAGGAGGCTTTGCAATTAACATCAGGCATGGTCATGAAGCGTTTCCTTTCACTGAATGTCTTTACACGTGAAGAAGGTTGGCAAACGACAGACACAAGAAACAGGGAGAGACACAAACACAACACAGGCAAGGAAAGGAGGCATTGTAGTACAGACAGTGAGGAGGAAAGCGAGACAGAAAGACAACACATGAGAGACGGAAGTCGAGGGAAGAGGGAGCGAGTGAGCAAGGAGGGTGGCACTCACCTGGTTGAGGGACCGTGTGAGCGTCTCCACCATCCCGCTAACCTCGTCTCCGTCACACCCCGCCTCGTTGAGGGTGGCACGGATATCGTCCACCGCGTCCCTCATCAGCTGGCTGGCCTCCTCGATGGCAGCGTGGGCCTGTGACGCCTGCAGCACGCCCAGCGGAGAGAGGCAAGGGAGGAGGCATAGGGCACGCACACCGGTCAAGGACCCACGAGCTCCCATCACGCCCATTGCGGTGACCGGGAGAGAGACAGAAACAGTGCAAAGTCAGCGGAAGATTGGAACAGGGGGTTTGGCAGGAAGAAGCTTTTAAAGGTTGGTTTTAATCGACATCTAGGACCGAGTAGGTTGTTGCGGCTGTGCTCTATAGGGCTCTCCAGTGTGCTTCTGGGGTTGTGCTGTATGCCGTCCGTATGATGTCCGACGCTTCGCTCCACATGGTGGGAAATTCTTCAGTTGTGAAATAATGAAATTATCTGTATAAACAGACCGTTGGCAGGTAAAGTGGGTAAGCACATGGAGCAAAAAGGCACACATCCAATTAGCAATCGCAGCAATCTGCGGAGTGTGTTGCCTCTTGTCAGGCCACAGCCCTTTTGGAGATATCATAGAACTAGTTCTGAAGTCACATGAATTGGCCTTTGATTTGTGTGAGTAGGTGGCACTCACTTGTTTGCTTTGGTCGTAAAGTTTCTCTTTATCTGACAAAATTATAGTTTTGGTGCTCAGAGCTGCAGGAGATGGAATTAAATGACAATGTTTTTTCTTGGCGCTACTACTGTCATCCGTAATTAGATCATACACTTTCTATGCTTTAGATTCGTGTTCAACCACAATGGCTGAAAAGCACATTTGAGACCAAGGATCTCAGGGGGTGTCTCTTTGCTCCGATGCGAGAAATAAGTCGACCAAGTCACGTGGGTGTTTCCTTTAAAGGGAACTTTCACGTTGAAAATGCAGCACGTCAGCTCAACTGTTGTCGCATCTGTAGCTGTGGAACATCACTTGACGGCGCCCACCCTACCCCCCCACCGAAACCTCTCTAGTGATGCTCTTTTTACATATTGCGCTGCGTCAGCCTGAGATGAAGCTCAGAAGCATGCAGCACATTTTGACAGCATGCCAGTTTTCCGCAGCTACGCAGTTAGACATTTCTTTGTATTATCTGGGAATGCTGAAGCTCGCGGGCAAATATCTCTCTTCGTCCTAAAGCTCCCTTGTCTACGCGCGTGCTTGATCAAACACATTTGAATAAAATCAAGGACGCTTCCGTTTTCACTTTCTCCCCTCTTTGCTTCCCGCAGCAGCACCAAAAATCTAGGCCCAATGAACCCCCAGGAAGCTCGCGATGCAACGGTTTCACGCTCACTCTTGCTATTAGAAGTCACGAGCAGGCAAGAGAGACACTCTAAGGGTGCACGGAAATATCCCCCGACACATCCATCCGTGAATTAAACGTGCTGCAAGCCAGCACGAAACAATGTCGACGCCTTCTTTGTGCGCGTATTGTATTATGAGACACCCGCGGCAAAGTGACAAGTTGGAAATGAGAGCTGGGAGAAGTGAAGACATCGTGAAGACATTGTGAAGACGGCGAAGCAACACTGTGTGAAAGAATAAGACACTCTCTGTAATGCAAAGGATACCAGCCAAACAGAACACCGAATTAACGTCTACTGAACACTTTTAACTGCAAAGTACCTTGAATGTGTAATGAGGCTAGACAGTCAAAGAGAAATGCATTGCATGTGCAAACGAAAAAAACCTAACCTGACAACAATGGACAAAGAGGTAAATAATTTTCAAATGTACATGCATATTAAATTGTCTTGCTTCATAGTAAAATATAGGTAGTTTTATTTAACAAATATTCAATCAAGCCAAATAAACTTTGTAGTAATTACATGCCAAAGGAGATGAACATATTTTACATTAATTGTGGTTATGCACTCTTTCTATCCACAAGTTAAAAGCATTTCCTTAATTATTGTTGTGATTAATCACGTCTGTTTAATACAAAAACGGTCAGCTTGCACTATAATGTTGATCCAACTATTACTGACTTCAGCACACAGGCCACGTACTAAACAACCTGCAAAGCCAAGTAAAAAAACTAAAAAAATGTCCTCATGTTCAAAAGCGCAATGGGGTGGGCAGTGCTCATCTCTGAGCCACTGGCTAGAAATTCCACAGTAGCATGACAGGGGACGACGTATCCACAGAAAGACCATTGCTCGCTTCCCACAAAAGTGGTGCTTACTTTAGCGGCCCAGGAAGGATGACGGTTTGAGTTGACACCAGAACGAGATTGGAACCTTTGAACCGTCCAATATATTGCAAGCACATGCATAACACTCAAATGTGTACCATTAACCATTTGAACAGAAAGCGATGTTTGCATGTTGTGAGCAGAAGGATGGGCAGAGTCTTGAGTTACAGTGCCATGAATGAGGCCATGCAAGGCAGCGGACGAGACAGCGAGACGCACGGACGTGAGCGTGATCTGTCAATTCACGCTGCGCACAGGCAACTGCGGACATTTGGCGAAGACAGGAAGAGAGAGAGAGAGAGAGCGGGATCAAAATAAAACATCCTGCAAGACGTAGGTGACATTCCATCTTCTCGCTGTGGAGAGAATTGTAGCCATTAGCAGCTTGCGTGGGATGGGGAGTGGGGGGGGGTGATGTGTTATTTCTGTGGAAAAGAAAGTCACAAGCCAATATCTTTCGTTAGGAGTTCAGTGGCGTTGGTCTGGCTGCTGGGGGGGGGGGGGAGATGGGGAGGAAAGAGAATAAGAGAGAGAGAGTGTAGCGGTCAACATGCTCACGGCAATTGGAGTGCAGGCAACGGAGAGGGCATGCTCAAGGTCTGCTACTGAAAAGAGGTGATCATCATTAGTAGGACGAGTGCCAGTCTGAGAGGTCGAGCCGGGAGCGGTGGGGTCAGGGTGGTGGTGGACGGATGGGAGGGAAGGGAGCAGCAGTAATGGGGGATGACTGTGCTGGGTACAAACCATCTGGGGACAGGCATGGCCGTTGTCCCATCCGTGAATGTGCAGCGAGTAATCCTGGGCAGGGCGAGGAGGGAGGGATGGCAGTAACACACGTGTTATGGCAGGGGGCCAGGGGAGCCGGGAATTTAAAAAAAACTACAAGCAGCCAGGTAGGTTCAGGAGGTTACGACCATGAAGCAGCACTGAGCTGGCACCACAGATTCTCGGTTCGAATCCAGGCACTGCCCACTTGACTTTAAACTAAGATTTCAAGCGGAGTGCGGTGATAGTCATTCATGACTGCACACACAAGATATCTTAAGTTTTACTTCCAAGTAGTTTTAGTCCAGCTGTGATTATGAACACTCGTTGTTGCAAACATTATTTTCAGGGCACACAAAATGGTTAATTGACAACAGCAACACTGGAAGACAAGCAAACATAGAAAAGTGACCATGGCAAAGTGCTGAGGATGGGGCTAGATTCTTTATAAACTCGGTGGTACAGCTTGCCCTTGTGGTTGATTGACTACATTGTTAGAGCCACAGGTAGAGATCATGTTTGGTACGGTAGCGTACTCTGTTGCAGAGCTGTCAAGACTAGGGATTTCAGTTTGCTTCTACTGCAGTTGTGGTGCATAGAGCATCACAAAGTGTGGGCAAGAACTCAACTGAAATAACTTTAGGATTAGTTCTACATCTTTTTGGCAGGAGCTGTTCCCTATCGTGATGTGACATTACACTGCTCACTGTGAGCGTTCAATAAATAAGCGTCTTTATCTATTTGCAGGACGATAATTGTGCTATCGTGATAAAAAATGCATCGGATAAATAACGGGCAGGTACTATGTTTGTTAAACTTCTTTCACGCCACCGTATGTAGCCAACTGTGCTAATCGGAGGTGCGGGGGAAGAACAACAGATTAAAAACACAAAGTAGTTCTAAAGAAATGAGTTTTTAATCGAGATGCTTTTAAAGTGTCTAGCTCCAGTGAAGCGTTCTAGACGGCCGCAGAAGCGCATCTGTTCGAGGTTGCACACACAAGGGGGATGAGATCACACGGCAGTCAGTGGTGGTTAAATGGCACTGCAGGGGAAGTAGGCCAGCGACCCGTACAGAAGGGTGAGGAAAGTGAGACGCTCAAGCGCAGTTGTTCAATCGACAAAGGTCTCGTGCGGAAGATGTACGTATCACGCAGCGGCAAGCACCACGTGCAGCCTGCAGCCTCGATTGACCACACAGTGGCAATTCGGAGAGATTTATTGCGCTTTTTGCTGTTATAGTTGTTGTCGTTGTTTTTCAACCTTACGTTGTCACGATGTCTGCTCTAAACGCAATGCATTCCAATTGATACCACCACTAGATGGTGCTGATTGCAGCGCCAACACGCCGCGAGAGCTCTGTATTGTTGGGGGCACGGGCACCTTTGCCCACGTGGAGTATATTCCTGTTCTGGATATTGTCATGGAGAAGGCCTGCAGGATGACGTTCAAAGCTCAAGAATAGGAAGAGGCCTCTATTGAAGCAGCTGTTCCAGGAAATCTGTGGGTCTTCCTGGAAAATAAAATGCCCTTTTTTTGTCAGTCAGCACAATACAGTAATACACCACTCAAGATAATGCATTGACAAGTAGTTATTTCCATGATGTCCTAGTGTTTTGTATTCCAGAGGTTGCAGCCCCTAGGAGTAGTAGAGAGTGACACTGTGTACAGCAAGAGGTGCGACGGGGTCAAGCATCTCGTGCAGAAGTCATGCTATCCGACTCGGCACGCATCGGTTACAACTGCTCAGAGAAACGTGGGATAAGATAAAGCCTAACAGCAAAACAATAAGCGGGAAGAGAGCATGGGAAGTTTCTCCGAGAAGGTGGTAGGGGTGGGAGTGGGCTTTGGAAGGAAAGCTGTCGCACAGACGAACATCAAGTCCCAGGGCTGCCTGGACCCAGAAGGAAGGCATTACCTGGAATACCAATAACACTTTGGAATTTCCAGCGGAGAAGCAACACAGACAGCAGTGTAACAAAACAATGGGACCGAAAACATGTTGGCACGGTTGGGTTGGGTCTCTTGGCGAACAATGCCGTCGGTTTGTCGAGGAGACGGGGGGGGCGGCTGGGGTGGGGGGGGGCGGTGGGAACAAAACGAGGAGGGGGGGAGAAGCGGCGGGCACTACCTTGGGATTGCCTCCGCCCTCCTTTGCCGCGTACAGCATCTGCAGCGCCGACTCGGCCAGCGTCTTGGTCTGGTCCAGGATGGCCATCTGCCGCGGCTGCGTGCCCGTCCGGGAGGCCAGCCCGATAGCCGCCTGGGTCAGCGGCTCAAAGTGGCCTGCCAGCTGGGACACCTGGCGGTGCGGCGGGCGGCGGATGTGGGGGGGGGGGGGGCAGTGGGGGGAAGATTAAGTTAGTTCACTCGATAAAAAAAAAAGTTTCAATGTCCAGTGTGACCTGAGCTCGGTGAACGGCGCGCGTTAAACTCGCCATCGGGAGGGAGGCGGGCGAGCTCGAATCTTGACCTACGGCCAACTCATAAACGCCATCTTTGTTCCTCCACATTCAACGCACTACGCACTCGTTTATGAGTTGACCTACGGCCAACTCATTAACGCCATCTTTGTTCCTCCACATTCAACGCATTACGCACTCTGTAAAAAGCCAACAGTGGTTGTCCTGCGCCGAAACAGCACTCTGCCATTGGAATGTGGAATTTCCACCGCTGGCTGAGATGAGAATTGCTCCATTGCTCATGATCTGTATTGAAAACTAAGCCAAACACGACATAGGGAGCAATAGGTGTGATCAGCATAGGTGTGAAACAGCCTACACTACACATTTACCCATGGAGTGCAAATGCATACAACACTCTATGGCAGAGTGTTCATCGAGCCTGCCAGATGCTTTGCCATGCTGTGCCATGCACATTAGTACTCACTTTGTATTACAATCAGACACAAGCCCAGGGGAGCTCGCCGTTTGCAGGCAGACTCCCACAGCTTTTGACTTTGTCCAAAAACCCAGCGCTGCAAGTTAATGAGCGTGAGAGGGGTAGACAACCGTGTTGGACTGGACAACATGCAGCCTGATCCCCGTTTTGTACACGTTACTAACAAAAACGTCCTATTTTTATTTTACCAGGTAAGGCTGACTGAGCTACATACTGTAGCTCTTTGTCAGAAGCGACCTGGCCCCCACAAATGATGGGTCAAGGAAGTGGCTTATCATGTGGAAATGTATAGCAGCCAAATACTCGAAATACACGTTTCCAAATGTGGAGGGAAAAAACCGGCGGACCCGAAGAAAAATCCACGTGACCACAGGGAGAGCATGCAAAGTCCAAATATACAGGCGACAGGGTCGGGATCGAACCCACGAGCTCATGTATACCAGGCGAGGTAGTTAACATCACGTCACCGTGACGTCCATGCTGAATGTGCCACGACATTGGCTGGTCCTGTGTTGTGCCAGGCCGAGTCTAAAATCCAGGAATCATCATCATTAGACCTCCTTTGCCAGTACCAAAATATAATAATAGGGTTTTTCCCCTTTTGTCTGGCAACAAAACTGAAACCTTTTTACAAGGAATCATGTGTGCATTAACCACAATACTTGTGGTCAAAATGCAAACAAAAAACACACTGATAATATATGCACTGTCCTTGAAACTGATTGGTCCACACCAGAGACAGCTTTCTTTTTAGCCTCCTCTCAATTGGTGCGAGACCAGAGGACGCCAAAAGGCGTACAATCATGTCGCCACATCCCACCCAGTCCCATGCACCCCTGTCCCTCGCTCTCTATAGCACCCAATGGCCTCGTGAGTGGCCCAGGCAGGGTGCACTTTAACTGGACAGGATTTTAGGTGAGGTCAGAAGGTGGTGGTGGTGGGTAAACGATGTTTAAAATGTTTGATTGAGACGCATTTTTTACACAAATATAAGTTATGTCTGGCTATATTTGGTCAAAACTGACATTTATTTTATTCTAAAAATGTTCACCGCGCTGCTTTGAAAACAAACATGGGCAGCAGCCCGAAGCACATTTGGCGAAGGTTAATCACGCGGCGTCCAAGGGGTTCTTCAGCAGTTGACCTTGGCAAAAGCGGACCGATCGTATCACAGGAGTGGCCCCAGAGTGTTGGTGCGGCCCCACCTACAAACTGTCAGCAGGAGGGGGGGGCCAGACCTGCACCAACCGGGTGGGGGCAATGTGGGGGGCGAAGAGTGCACGCATTTTGACGCGGGTTGGGGCAAGAGTGGTTTGGCATGGGTCAGACGATGGCGGGAAGCTGGGTCGGTTCTTGCCTTGCCGCCCAGGTGAGAGACCTCGGCATGAGCTGCCATTGCCACAGGCTCCACCAGCGAGCCCACGTCCTGCACGGCTGCCATCAGCTGCTCCTGAAGGGCCTGCTCAGATCATGGACGTAGAGAGCAGGGGAGGGTTGAATGGAAAATAAGTCGTTTATGTAAATGCTGGGCACTGGAATGGTGCTCATATGTCTATATTCGGAGCGTATCAGTGACCACTGTATGATCAGTAATACATTTTTATTAATATTTTTTTAGTACTAACAATCAAGGCTCCACTTTTAACCATGTCCTGCATGAGAATGTCCATTGACTTTTATCGTGAATATTTGTATTGTGCCCAGCCCAAAACAAATTACTTTTCTTAACAGTCAATACGGTTTTTCTAATTTTTTGTTTGGCCGTTGACAACGTGGTTCTCTTTCTGCATCTCAGTGTTATGCCCTGCAAGCACCTCTTGCACGTTTTAGTTTTTGTTCCATGTATGAAAAACACGTCTCTAAAGCATGTGCCAAAGCAGGTAGTACACACTATTTAAAATGATCTACTTTGTCAGTATCTCTGATCCACCTGCCATAGCAGTTAATATGCACTGGTATTGTTTTTTTAACACTGATCTATATTCCAACTGTCCTAATATGAGGGTCATGACCTGAACTAAGAAATGACTGTCATTCAACCAAATTTAACATTAAGTATTAATTGAAATCAATCTTTATTTTTTACAATTATATCTGGCAATAACCAACCACTGCCTTGGGGAGGCACATGGCATGAGCTGTAATAAAAGAAAAGAGTGATCTTTCCTTTAACCTTTTAGACCATGGGGGGAAAGTGCCGGTAGCAAGCACCAATTAAGGCGCATTAGGGGGTGGTGTGGCTAGAACTATGCCCAGCTGCCTTTAATTAAAAAGTGTTGAATATTTAAGTTATTCATTGAAGGCTGAGGCATGGCAATCCAACTGGAATGTGGTTTACTGCGTTCCCCACTAAGCACGTAACAATTCATTGATTAAAATCAATTCCTATGCCTTTGATCTAAGAATGAATCATACTTCTGAATATATTATCATCTTCCATTTACACAAGCGTTTCCTTCAGGTTAATGGTCAGAACTAAGGAGACCATACAAACGAGACAAAAGTAAACATCGTTTTTCGAATTATCACCCCAAATTGTGACAATCCTTCAATTTGTATGGGAGGAAATGAATGGTTACAGGTCTACTAGCCACCACGTGACAGCTACGTGACAAAAATCCCCCATATAGCCTTCACAGACTTTTGGGGCAGTTCTGTTAGCGAGCACTGCACATGAGGGGGTGGGTGGTCAGCACCATGCCTGGCCACCTTTGTGTCCCTAGTGGCGATGTTTATACATCACACCAGGTCAGAATTGGAGGCTGAGTCGACCTAGGAGAGGCCCAGAACCGATTCAGATAATCGTCACTGGTGTTGGCCGTGAGCGGGAATTGAACACGGGTGACTGGGTTCGTAGCGCAGTGTGCTAACCGCTATACTAGCGATCCACACACATATACACACACACACCTACACACAACAACCAACCACCCCGTGTTTCACACACTGCCACAAGGAGGAGCAGGAGGGGGGGGTTGCAGAGCTGCGGGTGAATGGCTCACCTCAGCAGAGACGTCCTCTCGGGGCGACAGGTTGTTGCTGATGGCCGACATGGATGCCTGGTCGATGTCTCGGATGCAGCCGTTGACCGTGTCGATGGCCTCGTCGCACTCCCTCTGCCCAGGCGCACGGTCTCTGTCGGGCCGCACGTTCGCGCGCGTGAGGGTGTGCGCGTGTGCAGGACCCTTGCTGTTTAAATGTCTCAGTGACTTAAAGCTCCTCACATATCATGTCAACCTTTACAAAATGCCCAGCTGCAATCCAGCCAAGGTGACCCCAGTGGAAACTGTCCCTGTTGTGGCACAAGTTGTATGCACCACTGGCCCTGCAAGTGGGCCCGAGTCTGACAATAGGGGCACATTTGTTGTATTTTTACCAATCAAGTAATTTGCGAATAACGTACTGGGGAGCCCATGGGCCGGGGAGACCCAGGCGCTAGGCTACGCATAGCGGGGATATTTAACAGGAGAGCTCCATTTCATTGCTTATGTCCGAACCGATACCAACCATGCTACGCCACTGCCATTACGTCGAGGTGGTCTGTGATCGTCTCCCCCTCACCTGATGGAGGTGATGAGCTTCTTGATGGAGTCGGACACGAGGCGCGAGTGCCCAGCGAGGATGGCCCAGGACGGCGGGTCTTTGGGGTTGAGCGCAAGCGAGCGGGCGGTCCGCACGAGAGCGCTGGACCCATCCAGCATGGAGCACCCGGAAGCCAGGATGGGCTCCCGCGCCTCGCGGCCCTGCACGGGTCCAGCGGGACACACAGTGACTCAAGACTCAGTCGCTTCCAAGCACACGCTGGCATAGCAACTCTTCAGACCCTCCAGAAAGCACCCAAGCTCTGATATCGTCTGGTGGCCTAGTGGGTCAGGTCTTTGGAACAGTAATGGTAGTGATGGTAGTTAACAAACCCACTTTGGGGGATTTTTTTTCCCCTTGCTTATTTGAACAGTAATAGAGCAACAAGCCTTAGTGGAGTCAAATGTGCATTTTTTCCTGACCAAATATGATGTTATGGTAAGCTGGAGAGAATCATAAAGCATGGAGGTATATATTTTTTCGAGAGTGTAAAAACGTGCGTCTCTTTATCGAGAAAGGGACAGATTTTTGCACCGATGATACAGAAGTCTCCCTTCTAACCAGCTTTGCCCAGGCGTGGCGGAGTCCAGCGTGTAATAGAATGTGTGCGAGGTTGACCCCGGGGTCGCGACCGACCTGGGGGCTGATGTGGGCAGGGACGCTGGCGAACTCCGGGTTGGAGGCGAAGGCGGCGAGGCTCTCGACCGCCTCCAGGAGGGGGCTCGTGGCCGTTCGGCACTGCTCCCGATTCTCCTCCGAGAAGTCCCCATCCAGTGCCTGTGACGCGCGGGTTCACATTTGCAATGTACGTTGGACAACAAACTAAACAGAAATAGCAGTTCTAGAGACATTACTTTTCAATTAAGATTTAAAAGTGCATAGCTCTCAGTGGCTTCTTAATATCGGAAAGAAGATCATTCCAGACGGCCGCAGAAGCGCATCTGAAAGCGCGAGATGCGGTGACCTTCTTTGCAGACAAGCCGCATCGAGCACGGACGGTATGGCGAAAACAACAACAGCAACAACACGAATCAAAACCATCCCGCACAAACACCAGTCCCACTTCTACCCAACTAAGATTCGTGGCAGGATGGCGCCGCGGTTCTAAGCGCTCGACTCAGTAACTAGCCGGTGGTGGGCTCGACCCAACATCCCCGAGCCTAGCCCCCCCCTCCACCCACTAGCGTTAAGGTCAAAGGGCTCACGCACCTTGATGGTCTTCACCAGGTTGGCGGTGCTGTTGGCCACCTCCTTTGCAGACTGCACAAAGTGGCGCTTGGCGGCCGGGTTGGGGGTGCGCGCTGAGGCCACGCGGCACGCGTTGCACAGCGCCGACGTGTGCTTGGCCACGATCGTCGCTGCTGACAGCACCTGCACTCGGCGAGGGGGTAGGATGTAGAGTTGGGGGAGGGGGGTGGTGTTGGTGGTGGTGATGGCGGGGGAGGGAATGTTGGGGGGGTTTGGGAAAGGGAGTATGGAGATGTAGGAGGGTGAATGAAGACAAAGATCTTATTCTGTTCTGACTTTTAAAAAAAACCTGTAGAGATAAACTGTACAAATCAATCAGAATACTGAAACAAAGATTTTTTTAAAAAATACTTTGACAAAATATTTCTTTATTTTACATTCAATCTTCATCGTTTCTGTTCGTGTGATTATTATTACTTACGACTCAAGAGATTAACTTGAAATCCTTTTTGAGATTATTTATGATCGACAGTACTTGATGAAATGTCAAAGGGTTCCCTCTGACAAGAGGTTTGTGCGCCGATTGTCTTAATTTATGACCCTGAGGGACAGTGTTTAAAATCACAAATTCCTATGACAGAGACCAGGTACTGCATGGGGAAATTACTATTGACGTTTCCCAAAGCAGTACTCATTTTATCGATCACAAAAAGACGATGAGGTTGAGTTGACCCCATCCGAAGATTTGAACTCGTGACTTCCAAAGTGGGAATCTTAACGATAAAGAGCGACTCGTTTAATTAAGAACACGATCGCTTGTCTTTATTTGGCTCAGAATCATTGCGGACTTTCATAAATAAGGTGATGAGGGGATGGTACCTGGGACTGGTTGCTGGCGGGGTCCAGAAGGCTCTGGCAGGCCACTTGGATGGCTTGGTAAGCGCGTGAAAACTGAGCCGGGTCCACCACACCTTGCTGGCCGGGCCGGCTGCCTGGGTCCGAAACGCCCACGAGGTACGCCGACTGCACACGTTAAACATTACAGGCAGAGAGAGGGGTCAAGGAAAGGAACTGCAGAGCGAGACAAAACTCTGGTCCCAACATTGCCATCGGAGCCCATGCCACAAGGTGAAGCAATGTCATTCCAAAAAATAATTCAATATTCACATGAGTCTAGAGTGAAAAGTCAAAGTGTCTTCAAGTTCAAACTAGAAAGAGGGCAGTGGATCGCCTCTTTTAGCGGCACTCAACCAGCAGTGGAAATTCCACATTCCCATTGCAGGGATCAGCCTTAGCGGAATACCCACAGTTTATTTACCAAAAAGTGGTACTCGATTGATAGATGCTGGAAGAACAATGGGCTGATTTGGCCCCCAACTAGGATATGAATTCACAACATTCCAATTGTAATTAGAACGTTCTGCCACAGCGCCACTCAACCAGACAACGTCGGCTTCAAGGAAAATGAAAATTGTTTAACAGTAAAACGTTCACTTCCATCGGCGGCCTTGAAACAGTGGTGCAAATTCCCTGTCCCAATGGTGGAGACAGTTAATTGAGTTCGAACGGTGTTTAAATAAGTAGGGTTATATGGACAACTTCACATGGAGTATGGGTAGGGTTAAGTCTTTTGGCAAGAAGTTTAGGATTAAGGTTGAATTGCTTGCATGGTAGGCTCAGAGCCAGAAGTCTCTCTGCATCGCATTCCATGACCCTAACGAGACTTGCGGATTGTTAAGAATAACTAAACGACCAGCAGCGATGGCGGGATGGACGCAGATACATTTTACAGCCTTGGCTTAATGCAGCAATGTCTTTTGGTCACTTATAAGGTTATGTACGAGGTTAACTGCACAATAATTAAGGTGTATTGACCAACACATTTCGGAATGAATGGGCTCAAGCGACAGAATTATGTCTTCAGGATTTGATCACTGTCCCACTCGTCTGCATCGCGGCACCATGCAAAGCAAAGGGCTGTAGATGGCCGAGCTGCCCAAGTGACAGTGTCGGCCGCCTTTGCTGTATCATCACCTGGGCAGCAGCCTCCGTGAGGCCACAGAGGGCCTTTGACGCGGAACCGATGGACTCGCCAAATGCAGGCAGATCGGTAGTCTTTGCGTGCTGAGAGATGCCAGCCATCGCCTCACCCAGCACCTACGGCACACGCAAATAAACGTGCGCACACACACACACACGATTCCCAATGCGTTATAAAGGAAAGTCAAACAAGGCAACCACACAGGTCGGCCCAGAACATTTCTCCTACCACGCTTATTGTAAATGTATTTTGTATAAGTTGTGGTGAATAAAAGAAAACGTTAAGGGTATGTTTGGCCATCACAAAAATAACATTTAGGTAAATTCTTCAATGTACTTTCTGGATCAGTGTTTTCTAGAAGCATGTGTTTAAGCAGTCAAAACTCTCATCGATTGTTGACTTTATGAGCATCAGGAGAATTGCCAAAAGAGACTGGAAGTAAAAGAAATGGCCCAGAATTTGGGCTGCTGGAAAAAAAAGAATTCACAAGGTTAATAAAATTGCTGGAACTAAATATGTATTTGTTTTTCTGTGGCAACAGACACTTGTTTGTTTATTAATCGCTAAAAAAATATGTGTTTAGCTATATTAGGGATGCAGGGCATTTACTGAATAATAAGAATCGCTCATTTATATTCCTTAGTTTTACTTAGTAGGTAGGGCATTACTCTGAAATGCACAATGGCCATTAACCAAGATTTCCTAACTTGTGTGCCCACTTGTAAGCGCAGCACAAAAGCACATGTTTGTAACATCCACGTTGTTCCCCCATTTTTGTAAACCGCTTTCTGCTTTGAGATCTTTAAACATCTGTGGCTTAATTATTTTTCCATTTACAGTTCGTGATTTTATTTTCTGTATAATACAGCCAGGCCTTCCCAGTTCCTGCATGCTGCCGCACTTAAACCACGAGGCCTTGCAGTGAAGAAGCTTTTTAAGATACAAACATTGCAACCACATGACTGAGGGTAAGAAGATCTCCCCCTCCCCCTCTCTCGGCGTATCCCAATAGGGGAGACAACACATTGATGTAAATGTTTAATAAGATAACTGCTGTGTCGCAATGCATTGTTACCAAGATCACTTGAGCTTAGAAAATGTGATGGCAAGGCCAGATTTCACCGAGAATGACCAATGTTGAATTTTATTAAAACGAAGCAATATATTTTTCTAATTGAAACAAATTATTTGGTGATGCTGCATTGGGAAGTGGTGCACAAACGCACATCCATGAAATGATTTACGCGCTATGCAGAAGAGCCATTGCCCAAAACATGGTCAATTGAATATTTAATTATTTTAAGGCAGTGTTATTGACGAATGTGTTGTATTCATTTGTTAGTTTTCAACTGACGCTTCGGAATTGCTGTAGGCAGCAGAGGCTATAGGCAGCAGAGGCCATGGTAGAAAAATCCACTGTTGCACTGTACTTCTGTGTACACCGCCTTCACCAACCCATAGTGATCGCCATGATCAGGCTTGGCCAGATAACCTCCTATGACTCACACGGTGTGGGGTGGCCCCCTCATCCAGCAATGGACAGACAAAAGGGGACACACATGTGCATGCCTAGGGAATTGAAGAATAGTGTTATAATAATATCATGGACTTGATGCATAATGAAAATATAATCCCTGATAAGACTGTGTTAGGTTTGGCTCTACATCTTGGCATTTCCACATCTGCCTTCTCAACCTCACATTAACCTAACCCAATTTAATAAGCTTGTCAAGGCTCACATATGATCATTAATCTAGCTCTCTCTCTCTCTCTCTGTTGGCGGTCACTTTGCATTATTGGGCCCGGATTGTAGCACTTTGGCCCCTTGTTTTTGTATTCATCATTTGTACCAATTCCAGTTCTCCTTTGGTAAATAGATCCCACTTGTGTGAAACCTCTAAGCGGGTTATCAAAGGCCAACTCAACTGATTGTGAAAGCACTTAATGCTTTGCTGCCGTGCAAGGTGCATTAATAATCTAATCTAACATAATAGACTGAGTGTTTTTTTATGTTAATGTTTTCCCCGTGTTGAAAAAGGAAGCAATAAGTGTGAAAATGTAGTGATATATAATACTCCAACTCTCCAAACAGGTGATGGCCCGGAATTGCATATCAGGCACTAAGACCACCTTATCGGTGACAAACGCATCAGCAGCGAGTGATGGGGGGGGCACCATTAAACACCACCGTACCTTCTCATGGATCTATCTACATTTAGCCAAAGAAGAATTCTGCTCCATTGTCACTAAACATTTGTTCTTCTGATGCCACTTTTAAATGAAGTGGAAGAAGTGGATGCAGTGCGAGCACAAGGTCGGAACAGTATCTCTTTCTACACTGCTAAATGATTCCTTAACACGCTCAGCACTTTTAAATAAATCATTGTGCTAATAAGTCGGCATGCACTTATGAATACGTTTATAATTTAAAATGTATTCTTACGGTCAAAATGATCGCGTGTGGGAGAATCTATTACTTAGAATGAAATGCAAGTCATTTTACACTTATATGCTCTTAATACTGAAGCTAAAGGAGCAAAGGAAGCCATATAAGCATCACAAAATAATGATAAATAGTACAAATGAGACAGAAGAGATATTGTCTCTTGAAAAGAAATGCAACCCCAATTGAAATGGGCAAATATGTCAACATCTTAAGCCAGATAAGCAACTAAATTCATGCTCACTAAACCATTAATGTAAGAGTCAAAGTGTCCCCGTGCTTGACGTTTGATTTGAATAATTTAGCACGGCCGCTACGAAGCATGCTTAACCAGAGCAGGTGTTTTATCTCCGCAACTTGTACAGAAACAATCCGTGGAGCATTATTAAAGCTCACCGCTTGCTGTAACATTGATGCTAAATATAAACGTTCAGTTTCATCGTTGTTCAAGTGGTCATAGAGGAAAAACATATATGAACACATCTGTTTATATGGAGGTCCCATACGCGAATGTATGAACTACTCTTAAAATTAAATATCCTTAATTAACATAACATCACTGAGAGTCACAATACATTTTCAAGTGAGTCCCATATTGGTGACGAGTTTCCAATTTCCCGGGAAAGGAACCCGGAGGTGTCTACGAAAACCCACAATGTACTTGGGAAGACAACTCAGAATCCGCACAAACACACAGGCCAGGAGCCTGTTTGCTGTACTGCCACCTACTAACCACCTCGGGCATAAAGAGTTTGGGTGTCAACACAATGTACTGAACCACGCCTTCAAAGTGCCTGCACCACAGGCAAGGACCACTGAGCCCGGTGTACATTTGTGTGCTGTTCCGTTAGAAAAGAAGACACCAAATGTAAAAGAGGACGGTGATGTGTCCCACCCATCCATCACACCGCAGCATTGTCTATGTGCTGTGTCACGGTAAAGCCCTCACCTTGGAGTTGTCCATGACGCTTTCGATGCAGTCAAAGTAGGAAAGGTCATTGACCGGCTCAGTCGGATTGTCCAGCATCCCACGCACAGCCTGTCAGTGGGATAAGGGGAGGTGGGGGGGTGGTCAGAGTCAGCCAAGGAGTTCCAACAGAACACAAAATGCCAACCAAACCATTAGACCACTGAACACGATGTCAAGAGATTGTTCTGGCCAATGTCGTTGATATGAAACCACCATCCCCGAAATCCTTCTGCTAGATCTCGCAGCTGTTGCACTTCAACACCAAATCTCCGAAGGTCTGCTCGTAGAGAATCCCACATCGCACTCTAGGTGCTCCCCTTCAACACTAACCACGGAGTGTCACTCCAATGTCTTGGTAGCTCGACCTCATCCACCTGGTTCCAACCACTGCACCATTAATACATCCATATTGCTCTCCTCTCACGCTCTATTCTGAATGTCAAAGTTGCTCACTGGATCCTGCCAAGAACATTCGAGCACCCTCTGCAAGCACTTACATTCAAAGGTCAGGGGCTCCCCTTTGGTAGCCACCTCTGGTCGAGCTCTTGAACCATTTCAGTGCCGTTGATTTTACGAGCGCCGCCCTTCAAGCGGCCAACTCTTAACACTCGAGGTTACTCTCCGCTCTTCCAGAATGCTTGATGTAGTCAATGGAAATCTGCCTGCCCCCCTGCCCGCCCGCCTGCTCTGAGTGTGCTAACCCTCTATCTCACTTGCTGCTAACCCCCGGAGGGCCGCAATCTACGCAGATCCGCGTTACACGCGAGAAACTGTGTGTGGCTTTTACAGCAGCACGGCATGCTCACACGCTGTGCATTAATGCTCAACTTCAGATGTCCATCTGCTAGACAATATGCTTTGGATAAACACCCCTGGGCCCGGAGATGGAAAGTAGATGCCAAAGTGTCCTAGTGCTCGAGAAAGCGAGGGATTGCACTATCTTCCGTCGATTCTCATTCAGGAGTGGACATTCCACATTGGGCTATTTGACCACTGTTAACCTCCCACAAAGTGGTAATAATTGTATCAGTCCCAGAAGCATTATGGGCCGAGATTATTCCCGAACCGGGATTGTAACTTACAATCTTTGAAGTAAAAGTCAAGCACTCCAGCATCTGTCAGGATTTGCAGCTATATTCCCTTACAAGCATTAAAATATCTTTTTGCTAAACTGTCAATAAATCCTTAACAAATGCTTCCCCCCCCCCCCTCCACTTTGTCCTACTCTTTGCTATCGTTGGAAGTCATTGTATGTCTTGCTGGCTATGAAAACACCGGCTGATGCAATAGCAACAACAAAAATGTGGCTTGGAATTGCTTTCCTTGTAGCCTCTCATAGCTGGCCAAAAGCATTTCCACTGGGAGAAGGTTGAAGAACCTTTCTTGACTCAAGGGATTTACTTCAGCTTTACAGACTCTACACACAAAAACAAATCGAGGAGAAGTAATTTGCTTCCCATTACTTTTTGGACCGACTGCAAAATATTGCGAGTAAGTAATAAGACAGATGCTTCTTAACTCATGCCACGATTGAACACTTTCCCCATGTCCAGGCATCGTGTCACGCAAGGGGGTTGCAGCAATAAATTGCATAGAGTAAGCGGGACCTCATACGCAAATGCTGTTGGTTAATAATAATAATAATCATATATTTGTATATTGCAACACACATGGACCTCCTTACGTACAGATGCAGTGCGTTCCAAAGTCTCAGCGCAATGCAGCCAAAGGGGAGAAAAGGCCAAAGAGGACGTCGACCGCAGAGATGGAGCGATGAGATCAGTCCGTGTTGCAGCTGTTCGGTGGATTGTTTTTGCATCGCAGCACCGTCACGAGGGATGGCGATGGATTGGGGAGGACTGCATCGAGCAGCGGATCGACCGTGGCTGACGATGATGAAACGGATTTTTTGCTTTAAAACACCAGGGGCCAACCTGCCACGTTGGCCGTGCGAGAGTCACCTCGAGTTGACGCAGGGCGTTGTCGCACTCCCTCTGGCCGGGCGCTTGCTGTGTGCACATGCTGATGAGCAGGTTGATGCTGTCCGTCACCGCCCTGGGAACACGGCACAGCGACGAGCCAGAAGTCAGCGTCTTCCCACGCACAAACCAGCAATGGGACGGAACTCATTGCTCTTGGTGGCTCCTAAGCAACTGGCGGAAATTCCACATTCCTTCAGTGCGGGTAAAAGTTTATCTAAAGGGCAATCATTGATGGCCTCCCGTAAAATTGTACACATTTCATTAATCCTAGACAGATGATGAGGTGAGGGATTTGGTGAGGGCTAGGGTATACAAGGAGTAGTGCCAGAGATAGTTTCTATGAATAGCCAGGGCTAGAGTTAGGGCATTGGCTAGGGGTAGCTAATTCTACCACTAACATTGTGGTCCTCGCACCCTTTCTTTGTTTGAATGTAAAAGTCGACGGTCAGGTCAAACAGAGTGGCACTCATCTCTGTAATCTGGCCTGAACCAACTGTGGGCATTCCATGAAAGGGACAGTAAAGACACAGGACAGTCACTGCTAACCTTACACAAACTATTACTTAATTTATCCACCTTGGAGGAATGATGATGGGCTGAGTTGACCTCGAACCCCACCATGCAATGTCCTGGAACTGTGACTGCCACCACTATCAGCAGTCTTGTGCTGCGGTCGTTCTTGTCAGGGCAACTGCTTAGCTCAAAGGCCCTAACCAGCTGATGTAATCACGTCTGAGTCTGGGTTGGTGTGTCAGGGGCTAGTGCAGAACAACAATGGATTTTTCTCCACTGCCCCCCGCTGCCCACAACGCCTACTACACACCCATCCTCTGGTTAATGGTGGTCGCCCATCCAAGGACTATCCAAGCTCAACCCCTGCTTAGTTTCCGAGATCTAACTAGATTCGAGTGGTGTGGTCATTGGCTCGCTGTCCAATGCCAACTGACTGGCATTACAATGATCGATGCGTTATTTCAGCAGTTGACACAGTTTAGTCAATCCTCCGTTTTTTCCCCTCCACCTTTAGAAACATGCGTTTAGATTATTTAGCTGCTTCAAATTTCCACATGATAAGCCACTTCATTGAGCTATCATTTGTGGCCAGGTTGCTTCTGAAAAGGAAGCTAATAGCTCAGTGGGCTTTACCTGGTAAGATAAAACATAGGTTAGTTTTATTTGTATATTTTTTTTAAAGTGATGTATTTACCTTTCCTATACTTTGCACTCCAATCGTTTTTTCGAACTGTTTGTTGTTGTAAAGTCCTGACCCACCCCAACTGGACATCTTTGAGCTTTATAGCGCATCGGATTCCTCCAGTATAAATACACATTCTGATTCTGAATTGAGCCTTCCTTAACGAATGACCGCCGTTCACGCTGCATCGTGAGCAGCAGCAGCAGCAGCAGCCGCCCTCACAGGCAGTCACCTGGCGGCAGACGCAAGCTGGTTCTTCACGTTCGGGGCTGCAGGGTCAATCACCATCGACTTGGCTGCCATCAGAAGCTTGGAGGAGGACACCGAAATGTTCTTGAGGTTCCCAATCACCTGTACCTGGTCCTCCTTGGTCTGTGGGGTCATGTGGCAACCAACAATTTAAAAAAAAAACGGCTTGCATTGTCTACAATAAGTTCGATTACACAAACATAATTTAACTTTAAATCAAAGTTACATATTAAAATTCCCAGCAGCGGGAATTCGTTCGGGAAGACAATCTTTTTGTCGACTACATCCTGTGCATAACAAATGCTTTTAATCGATTAATCATTACGCGAGCAATCCCTCCCTCCTGACACCTGCGACCACGGTGCCGATTAGCGCCACTGCTTTGCTGCACCTGTGTGAGGCCGGCCATCTCGATGCCGGCGTCGAGGAAATCGGAGAAGTCTCGGCCGAAGCGACCTGAGGCCGTGGCGAGCTCGCGGCTGGAGCCGTGGGAGGCGTGCACCACGCGGCCAGTGGCCTGGTTGAGGCCGGCGGCCGCCTGCGTGAGTCCGCTCTGCGCCTCGTGGTACGAGCGGCCACTCTGTGGGAACTGCACGGCCCATGACGACAGCGAGAGACACGGGTGGCAGGCGGCGAGTGAGTGGATGCTGAGAGACAGTTCTTGTTTATTTTGTTTGTTTTTAATTTTCCATATGTGCATCGGGTATCCGCGTCTGCCATGGTTTTGTGTGGATGTGGAAAATTTATAATGCTCCAGTGTGCGACTGTGGTCATCCAGAACAGACCATACAACGTGTATGTATGTATGTTGAACTTCTTTCACACCGCACATAGCCAACCATGCTAATCAGAAGGTTGCGGGAAAAAGACAACAAATTAAACATAAAAAGGAGTTCTAAAGAAATGAGTTTTCAATCTAGATTTAACAGTGCATAGCTCCAGTGGCTTCCTAATAGCGAAAGGAAGAGCGTTCTCAATCAACAAATACGAAGGAGACATCACAGCGATACACTCCGCTGCTCCTGATGCGGTTATCTGGTTTGGCCACCTGAATGTGAAATTGCAGTTGTTGCTCTGCATCTACATCACCCGTACGAAAGAAGAAGTTCTTGTGAATTTATATTATATTTTGTGGAAGTCAAGACGTTTATTTCCCAATAAAGCCCACGAGCTATATGGCTCTCTTTCAAGGGTGGCTTCGCCAGCAGACAACAGCCGGAGCAAAGCATGACAATTCACCAGGTGTGCGCGTTTATGAAAGAAAAAGTTAATTCATAACAATGTTATCTGAGACACAATTATGTACATTCACACTCTCCAAAAATTTTTGTCTTAATTTCCCCCCCCAAAATCATATTACAATTGTGCCATCAGCATCTTGTCAAAAGACAGAGAATGCCACATTTGAGACTCTCATAATAATTACGTATAAAGCACCCTTAAACAATCCTTCTCAGGGCTCTCAACACAAAGCGATGAAACATTGCTCCTCGTAAACTCCCGACAGGGATTGGAACTCACGGCTGTCCGATATGCGAGCCGAGCGCTACAACCACAGTGCCACGTTGCCAACAAGCGCCACACTTCTCAGCGGCGTTTAATTACCATCGATAACTATTTAATGATTCTGTTGGTCTACCCAAGAAACCGTCACCGAGTCTCATGACTCTCTTTTTGCAGGAGGCTCCTGCCCTGCTTGATTGGTGACAGTTGAACAGGTGGGCTCGTGTGCCGTACGAGCGAGGGGCGGCGGGGTGGGGGGGGGAGGAGGCCACGTGCGACGCACCGAGTCGGCCTGTAGGCGCTTGCTGGCGTCGTTGATGTTTCGCAGCGCGGAGTCGACGTCCTTCTGCCCCGGCAGCGAGTTCACGCAGTTGTTGAGAGCCAGGGACACTGCCTTGGCTACCTGCTCAGCAGCACAGAGACGGAGACCAACATCTTCCCCCCCCCGTTCTAGCCTCATAGACTGCACAAGCAAGGGCTGTTCGCGGGTGCACAGAGGCCAGCACGGCACACCTGCACGAGGGTGCGCTGGCCAGTACTACGTGTGGCTCCCTTTACCGCCCCAGTGCTAAGGCCCCTGGGTACTCAATTCATGTGAGACTGAGGTGAGCTAGGGATGCACATTCGGTACATGCCTGGCTGCGGATTGGAACCCAGGTTAAAGGAATCGTATGGCAAGGCGTCAACCACGGCACCGCCGCTTACCATACTCAGCATTAAGCACGCGATGGCACGCACCCAATGTCACACACGCGCGCACGCAATGTCACGCACACACGCCATGTCAAACGCGTTGCGATGAGCGAGTTCTACATTTCAAATTGGGTTCACGTAGTGAATTTCCAGACTGACACGTAGAGTCACGCGTGGGACACAGCTGTAATGCTTTGGCCAAATAGAGAATAATGGGAGTCACCGCTACACAAGGTGAATTCCATTACCCGATCAGCATTGGAAACACGATTGTTTCACTGCAGAATTTGGCAAAGACTCTCACTGTAAATGCTTTACTGTTGGGGCAAGTGCTACTCGCGACCACATTAATGTTGGCTGGGTGGTGCTGTGGATAGGAGCATTTTTACTCGCGACTGGAAGGTTGAGAGTTCAAATCCCATTGCAGTGGCAAAAAACCCCATTACCCATCTGGGAGCAGAAGTGTCCATACAATGTAAAGGCCGATCCCTGCCATGAGAATGTGGAGCTTTCACCACCGGCTCAGGGCTGCCAATGGAGATGGCCACTGACCCCATTGCTCGTGTGAGCAGAGAACTGTTTTGACTTCGACTCTTGAACCACAGCACGGGAATGTTTGGGGTACACGTGATTACCGAGGTTAGATGCAATGGCGGATTGCGTGAAATTGAGGTGAAAATTTCCCAGAAAAAGGTGAAGAAGTTCCTTCAACTCTTGCGGTCTTAAATTTACTTTTGAATAACAAAGTCAGGAAACATTCCACTTGAGATGCTTTATGCAGCTGGCCACAGGGGCCCCTTGGTCTCCCATTTTCAAGGGTGACAAAGTGTGGAAGACGTTTAATTTAGCAGCCACTGACTTATTCAATGATTCATTGATAATAGTAGATACTTACATTTACAATACATGCATGCAATGGTGAGTAAGAAAATGTAACATATAACCTTCATTTAAAAAAATGCATGCAAATGGTATGCTCATGATATATTCAGGCCAATTGATTGAACGAAACTGCAAAACATTACAAATACTCAGACAAAACTGAAAAAAATCAATATTAAGAGGACACAAAAATAATATATTCTTAATTTGAACCGTGACCCCTAATCATCACATTGGAATGAGTCACTGTTGTGAATTGCTCTATGCCAATAATTTCGACCAAACTTTAGCAAAGCCCTTACTAAGTTTAGATCTCAAATCTCAATGATCTTCAGCAACAGCAATTGAACCTGTGTCACTGGAACCACAACGCGATATACTCCCATTCCGTGATGTGGTTAACAAATGCCATAGCTTTGTCACTGATATGCAACAAAGGCACAACGGCTCCTTTGGGGAATAAAACACTGTTGGAGCAAGCTCTGTACGCGAGCACCTATTAAGGCCAGCAATGCAGATGGGAGAGATGGTTTGAACCACCATAATTGGCAGGCCATCTATATCTCCCCGGAGCTGACATCTACAGACAGCAACAGACACCCATTCGACGTCAACCTACAGGAAGCACAAGCCGAGTTGCAAAAGCAGTTCACCCCCTCTCAATGTGCACAGCCAGGAGTCGAACCCAGGGTAATGGGATTTTAGTGCAGTGCGTGCAAAACATTGCGCTGCTACATCCGCACACGATACAACCGAGGAGCTCAAGCAAGCACACAAGCGCATACCATGTGGCACACATGTCAAGGACAATACAAGCTGCTTCCTGTTTTCAATTGTATCCTCTTGCACAGCGTGCCGACAGCATACTAATGCCCGTGTCGCAGCATGTGATGCTTTGGAAGCCTCGTGATGAAACGTACAATCAACCCAAAGAAAGTGTGTTAAAAGTTACGTCAATTAAAATAATGAACTACCCCTAAAAGTGGTCGTCAGCTGAGTGTTTGTTAAAAGGAGGCTTTGAACAAAACCAGACGCTTTTCATCTTCAATAATCAACCGAAGCATAATATAAATTGATAAATCCATTTAGTTTATTTGTAACTGGGTGACAGCCCATTGAAATGTGTTTCTCTTGGAAAGGAGACCCAATATTAATAACAATTTTTATCTGAACCCAACGTGGAATTCATACAAAACAATATATCACCTCCAAGATATGAGAGGTTTAAAGTTTTTACTTAAACATAGCTATCGAAAACACCAATCTTACACCACCAGGTGGCACTGTTGGCAGAGTGGCCGAAATTCAAACAAAATTATGCAATTAAAAACTCTGGTTGAGGGTTTACTCAGTCCATCAGCCCTCTGAGGGCAATACAATTGGTACCAAATTGTGGAAAATCACAGAGTGGGTTTTCTATGGATAGATTGGGCCCTACTATGAGGATGTGGAATTTTCACAATGAGCTCTGCCTATGTATTTTTTTTTAATAAGGGAGGGGTGTTTGACTTTCATAACTTTTAGAATTATGAAAATATGAAATAGCAAAATCAGTGTAAACAATAACTTGTATGTTTCCAATATTTGTATGAACATAAAAACTGAACACGCAACCTTTACTGCCATTGAAATGTTTTTGCAAGTCGTGAATTTGAGTATAGGGTCAAAAACTCGTCCCCTTTTACTGACTGCGTGTAAATGTAAGGGCAATTAGCAAACCTGGTCATTCAATAATATTTAACGTAGGGACGTTTATTCTCCCCACCGCACCAAGTTGACAACAATCACAATTGAGATACAAATTCCCACAAACATCGTACTACTATTAAACATAATCGATGCCTCAAGTTGACTGGCTGGCTGGCTGGCTGCTGGTCGGGCTCCCCTCTCCACCTCAACAAAACAAACTATTGTTAGTGGCTGTGGGCTGTTGCCAGCAAAACGAGCTGGGTAACTGTCAAAAACGGGAAATTATGTTTAACAAATGAACATCAAATTGAAACGGCGGAAGACGTTCGGAAGACGCTTACTAGATAGCGACGCCGAAGAGGCGGGAGAAACGAACGCAAAAGACTGACACGGTTCATTTGAAATTGCTCTGAACCAGTGTTCTTCACTCACTTTCAGAGGGGGGGCCACTTCCGTCAATAAGGCAGCAGTGTGAGGCCGCCACATCGCTTGCAAGGGGTGTTTTCACACTCGTGTATTGTCGGGGACCGCACGTCAGGGACAGGCAGTGGCCCGCAGGCCATTGCAATGGAGAACACTGCTCCAATCCTTACATTTATTACGTAAAACAGTCGATTGCTTTTTAGCGCTCCGGGTACAGGGTTGCGAGAAGAGTGCAAAAATGACGGCCGTCTTATTGCCGGAGTCCAAGGGGTCCTCTTCGAGTGGCTCATAAAAACCAAGAGGGGCCTGAGCTGAGCTCCTCGTACCTGCGCGAGGCGCTGCTGGTTGTCGGGATCGCTGGGGTTGGCGGCCGCCTTGCGGGCCTCCTGCAGGAGGTTGGCCGACTTGTCCATGACGTCGCGCGCCGTCTCCAGCGCGGCCTCTTGGGCCAGGGGGTCGGCCGTGTTAGCCGCCACCCCACGGGCCGCCGCGGCCAACCCGCGCAGGGCCTCCGCCGCCTCATGTGCTGCGTGGTCTGCAGAAGTGGGGGGGATGCACGTGAGCAGGCACACACAAAGACAAAGTTCCCCCGTATAGCCTGAATAGACTGGTGGGGCAAGTGCTGTTAGCAAACACCTATGAAGGCCGGCAACAGTACACGAGGGGGTGGGTGGTTGGTACCACCCCTGACCGCCTTTGTCTCCCTAGTGGTGGATGTTTACACACCACACCAGGTACTCATTTGAGGCCGAGTCTACCTCAGGGGACATCCAGGACTGGTTCAGATAATTGTCACCTGTGTTGGCCATGAGCGGGAATTGAACTCGGTTCGCTGGGATTGCAGGCACACACACACGTACACACACAGACACAGAGGCGCACAGAGACAATGTTTGGCCTTCTAGACTATATAGACCAATGCTGTAAAAGCCACTATACACTTGTGCAATTTTAACGCAATCATCGCAGCAATAGTGGCCGCATCTCTTTTGTAAAGTATACATTTTTATTGCATGAATATGGACAAGTCTGATCGCTGCTCCTCCTATTGGGCAACTGAGAAGGAAACTTACAACCACATCGCAAGCAGAGATAATGTGACTATCTGAGGTTGTGTGCTTTGTAGGGCCATTAATGTTGAAACACAATTTTCAATAAACTCTCTTATTTGGAGAAACAGAACATCACCACTCTATGCCATTGATGTACCATGTTGATACAGATGCTCATGGTAAATGTGTTGCCAGTGATGACTGCAGAGAAATTTTCCCTAAAAGAGCCCGGGTTTGTCATGGCCTGTAGCACGCACCTACTACATGACCCATGAGGAATTGGAGAAGTCACTGCAATGGCGATGTTTGCATATCACACTAGGTACTCATTCAACGATAAATCGACCGAGGGGTGCCAAGAACATGTTCGGATAAGGCTTGTCAATTATGTCTGCTGTAGCTGGGAATGAAACTCAGGTATCCAGGTTTGTAGTGTGGCAATACATACACACTAACACAGGTATACGTAAATACATACAAAAATATAACTGACATGATCAAATTAAGAAAGAATGCACTTGCACAAAAAATACAAAGATCCCCCATATAGCCTCCAACAGACTTGTTGGGGCAAGTGGTGATAGCGAGCATCTATTAAGGTCGGCACAGCACACAACAAGTGGTGGGCGGCCAGTACCACACTCGGCTGCCTTTGTCTCCCCAGTGCTAATGTTTACAAACGGTACTTGGTACTTATTTGAGGGTCGAATTCACCGAGGAGAGACCCAGGACCAGTTCAGATAAATTCATCGCTGATATAGGCAGTGGGCAGGAATCGAACATGGGCTGCTGGAGTCACAGTGCATTGCGCTAACCACCGCCGCACTGCCGTTCCCCACACGGAATTTATACAAACGCACGCGTAAAGAAAGTGTTTTATAAATACAAAAAAGAAATACAGGGATAAGTTTGATGTATTTTGCTACAAAATGACAATGTCTGGCTCCCCACAAATTGCCGCTTGATAAATAAACACCAACACTCAAAACGCTTGTCCGCAAAACAATTTACGCTCAAAGCAAACACCTCCACAAATGTGCCCTGGAGTGACGTACGGCCTCCGTGTAGGACCGACAGGAAATCCGCGCATTGTCCGGGCCGCTCAAAGACTTCGTGGCTGGAAAAGCTGACAGATGCTGTTTTTGGCACGACCCAAACCATTCATTCTGATCCACATTCCAACCTCCCGAGAAGATTTAGATTTTTTTTTTTAGACTTTGAAATGTATTTTTTTTGTTGTACACACATACGCATACAGATATAGAGCACACCCCCTCCCCTCGTTTAGACTGTAAGGGCAAGTTAACAAGCCACCTATTAAAAACTGCGTGACACACGAACGGGTTCGCTGTGTAGCCAGCACCGTACTCCGTTTGATTTGTCTTCCCAGTGCTGATGTCTACATGCCACAGAAGGTACTCATTTGAGACTGAGTTGACCTAGGGGTTGCCCAGAACAGTTTCACACGACACATGTCTCTGTAATGTGTGGCCAGGGAACAAATCTCCAGGATGTCGCCAGGATCACAGTGCACCCTGCAAAGCACCGGGCAAGTGTTCCCACGTGCACACACACACACACAGACTAAACAACACCTCTTTTAGCCAAGAAAATAACATTCCCACTGCAGAAAATGCACAATAGGAGCTGTGATACAGTGTCATGCAAAGGCACTTTAAATACCACGATTCAACGCAACAATAAAAAGATTAAGTTACATGCGTACCATGATTTTTTCTAGAAAAACAAACCACCCAAGGCATCTGACCCGAGGTACATCCTATACACATCTTTCACAGCCATCTCAACTGCCAGGTGTGCACAATCACCTACTGACCAGGCCCTCTGCTCAAACCATGCTCAGATTCAAAGTCCCCTCTGGGGAGTAGTGGGGCAGCGGTTTGCACTACGAACCTGGCGACCATAGCGAGTGATTCCCTACCAGTTGCAAGTGATATCTGATTCGTCTTGCACAAACCTGGAGGAAACGATGCTATTTAACACGTAGGCTTTCGCGACCAATATCATTAATCCTGTCCCCCTCCCCCTACACTTTTCGCAAGAGCACAGAAGTGTGGTCACCACATCTACGCCTCTATATAAGGAACGAAACAGGTGGACTTCACAAATCTGGCTGTCGCCTGATGAAGCTAGTTGTAATTACTGGCAAAACGTCGTACTCAGATTGTAAATGTTGTGGCTTGGCTCTCCAACACACCGGTGTGCTGTACTAGTGACGAATTGGCCACGTTCTGTTTACGTAACAACCCTTACTAGTTGGCTGTGTCGGGTGGTGGCGGGTTTCTATATATTCACGCGCTCTAACCCCAAATACCTCTATTATGGAAAGCAATACTACGCGACTGTGAAGGCCACCGGTCTGATGGATGGGACTTACGCACTTTTATTAGGAAGCCACTGGAGCTATACACTTTAAATCTAGATTGAAAACTCTTTTATTGAGAACTGCGTTTTGTGTTTAGTTTGTTGTCCTTTCTCCGAACCTCCGATTAGCAAGGTTGGCTACGTACGGTGTGAAATAAGTTCAATGTAATGCATACTTCGTGTTAAGGAAAGCTGTGCACATTGTTACGAATTAATGTCTCACTGAACATTCTATGTGTCGCTGATCGACTGCAGTAGGCACGTGACTAAATAGAGACAATCATAATGAGAGGTATACTGGATGTTGTGTGCTGAGTATGGAACTAATATCCTGATTGCCAACCCGGCTGAAATTAAGCCCTGCACCTTGGACTCCTGAACGTGGCTGTAATGACAGTAAAAGCCACCCTTAAGCTTTTCCTGCAGGTCCTATTGGACATCTGTGAAAAAGAGCTTTATAGCTGATCGGATTCCTCCAGTAGAAATAAATACATATTCTGATTCTATTGTAGGCATCCGAACCCTCATGCTTAAGTATAACCCTCATCTTGCTTTCAAATTTCTTTATAATTAACTAATTCTCTGGTTAAATGAGGGACTTATTCCCAGTAGTTTTAACAATATCTAAATTCTAAAATATATCACAAAATAGAAATGTAAGCCTTTTAACATAAATATTCACCAAACCTGGCAGTAGCTACCACCCTATTCGAACACTTGCTGCTGTTTAAAGCGCCATTAACCTAACTCAACCCATTAAAACATATATTATCATAACAGCCTCAATCATTCCTGAAGAAGATCAGTAGGCTGTAACACAAAGATCATTCTTTCCTCAGTGTCAGTAAAAAACAATACTTACAAAAATGTGTTCCCTGTTTTATAAGTTCACTGAAACAACAACAATATATGTAATACTTTTAAACTTTGAAAGGCCACTGCTATCCCCACTGCAGCGACCTTGTGGCTCTAACTGTGGTAAATTATGGTGTCACTAGCTTTGATTTGGCATGCACACAATTGAGTGTTAGGTAGCAACATGCCCTTACAAGTAATGAGTATCTGCACATCATGGTCTATGTTTGTATTATGGAAAGGTCCATGGAATGGCTGGGATGTAACTCAGTGGGCAGAGCAGTAGACTCCCAACTTTAAAGGTCTGAGTTTAAATTCCAACCAGTGTCAAAACTATGCACACCACCTCTCTAACACTTACATAAAATCAATAAGTGGTAATACTTAACCACGTTTCGGGGATGTAACAGTGGTTTCCTTTTAAGAGTCCGGTGACACATCTTCCCAAAACAACGACCACTCATTTTATTAATTGACTTCGCACAAATTTATACAAAATAAACCTGTAAGGAATGATGGGTTAAATCAACCACCGACTGATATTTCAATTCGCAACTTCCCGACACACAGCTTGTGGAATACTCTTAAGCGTGGCGGCCAATCGGCTGGATATTACGATGCTCATGAAAATCTCCCCGAGTCTTGGAGCAGCGAGCTGCAAGGGGGGAACACTTAGTTTAAATTTAGCGAATGCGTTTACGCGTGACTGTCATACAGTTAAGAGCACTAGATATGCAAGAAAGTAAATACATAAATAATTTCCCAATATTTGATGTGAGTGGACATCAGTCTACGTAGGTACAGAGCCATGTGACAGCCTCCTCTTCCAGCATGTGCAGGGCAACAAGTCCCCCCGGCACGCCCTGACGGACTGCGCCATGGTTTCCTGCTCCCCGGATTCACACAGAGGGCTGTCACGTATACTCCCATCGATATTCGGAAGCGCCTCTCACACCCCCTGGTTACACTGTAGCACTAATTTATGTGTGTGCGTGTGTGCGTGTGTGTGTGAGCGAACGCGTGTCTGTTTGGGAATCGTCGCCCAGTTCCCACCGGTGAAGCTCTCGTCTCCTTGCGAGGCGGCAGTGAGGAGCTGTGCGATGGCTGAGCCCACGGTCTTGGAGGCAGAACCCAACTCGAGAGAGCAGGACTCCAGCTAAAACACACGGCCGAGGCAGCAGGGCACAGCACGCACCATGACTCTCCAGAGAGACTCAGACGCTGTCTGCCATCCATTAATATCAATCAGCCGATGGGGTCGTGCTCGTCTCTAATGGTGGCCTTGAGTCAGTGGTAAATGCGCCACAAAACCATGGCAAGGGCATGTATGTCCACAGGAAAACGTCGTTTGACTTCCCCAAAAAATGTGTATTTAAAGCTTTCGTGAGTGCAGGGATTCATATTCTTGGTTCTTTCGGTAAAGTCACGTAGAAGGGAAACAATAAAATAATAAAAATATAAAACGATAAAAATTCTCACGACGTTTCGACTGCAACACAAGCAATCATCATCAGGTGTGAAAACCACAGCAAGAAAATTTGAAAAAAGTGGCGTTTTTTTAACGTTAGCACCACGGAGAGCGATTTGACAGTTATTCAGATGGACGAGTCCATCTATGTTCGGAAAAGAGGAGGGGAGAGACGAAAAATAATGGATGCGGTCTGAAAGCCACCTTAAGCGTGATCAATCAATTACACAAAGCAGACCTCAAACACGGTAGGACCAACACCTCAGCCGTGGCAGATCACTGTTATAATTCAGTAGGCTCACATGACATTGACTTCTCCAAGACAGAGGTTCTTTGCAAGCCATCCGGCTGCCATGAGAGATTCGTTCATGAGGCTATCCACATATACAAATACAGAGACAATTTCAACCGAGAAGATGGATTCTGGCTTAGCAATCATTGGAAGGATTTGATAAACCTTCCCCAAAAAAGTTGAACTTATTTCAATTATTTATCAGGCCCAGGAATGGCCTACATTGCGATGTTTGGCCAATTCATTTAACAGGCATTTGGTATGTGGAAGTCAATCGGAGTGCCTCGTGAAGACAAGACAGTCACGCTCAAATCTCCATGCAGATATATTCAAGAATCCCTTGTTGTACTGCCACGATCCTGCCCATCTCACAGCTCATTATGAGGTGACAACATTCAACATGCCCTGCCTCCAAGCACAAGTTGGTAGGTGTGCGCCTCCATGCCTCTGAGGGGTGCCACAGTGGCAAGATGTTAACTATCTCGCCTGGGATACAGGAGGTCGTGGGTTCGATCACAACCCTGACGCCTGTATATTTGGAGTTTTCATATTCTCCCCGTGGTCGCTTGTATTTTTCTCTGGGTCCTCCGGTTTTTCCCTCCATGTTTAGAATCAACATATGTTTAAGAGTATTTTGCTGCTATATACATCCACACGATAAGCCACTTCTCGTCGGGCGATCATTTGTGGCCAGGTCACTCCTGAAAAAGAGCTACATATAGCTCAGTGGGCCTTCCCTGATAAAAAAAGAATAGTTACAAATGGTTTATGCCGAGGCCCAGCCGGCACCCTCACCGTCTCGCCAGGCAGCGGTTTGAGGCGCCCCTGCGCCACCTCGGTCTTGGCCTCCTCCAGCTCATTCTCCAGCGCTCGCACGAGCGCCAGCGCCGAGTCTTGCCCCTCCGTGGGGCTGCACGCCTGCTGGGCCTGCGCCACGCGGAGACGGCGCTCAGATAGTCCCACGCCGTGAGGGTTTCACACAGTGTGCGCCGCGCGGATGCCGCGCGCACACTGTGTGTACCCGTTCCACGTGTGTGCAGGTTCGGGGCGGAGCCGTGGTGTAGCGGTTGACGCACTGAGCTAAGAAATCTGGCCACCTGGGATGAATTTCCAGCCATGGCGAACATTAGTGGTTGACAATAGGAGAACCATCAAGCAGAGGTTGACTTTAAATGAGTGCCGAGTGCAGTGTGTAAACATCAGCACCAGAGAGGTAAACGCAGCAGGGAGTGAAAGCTGGCCACCTCCTATTAGCATGGTTGACTACGTATGGTGCGAAAAAAGTTCAACATACATACATGCGCAACCACCCCATGCCATGTCGGTCAAGGGGCTAGTTTTACCATTATTCACAATGCTGGTGTCGGCTGGTGAAGGGGAGACCGGTACAGAGGTCATTCACCACTGATATTAGCCATGGCTGGGAATCAAACTCAGGAAATGAAGAGCCGAGGCAACTTCCCGACTGTTATTTTTAACTTGAAAAGTTTTGACTGAAAGCTGCATGCTCTAAACCAGGGTTTCCAAAACTCCAGTCCTCACAACCCCCACCACGCTGCGTCTTTCCGAATGACCTATTTACTCCCCATTAAAATACAAGTTAACTCATTCCACGCTAGACGCACCCGATGATTGTTAAACACGTCCCATGTAACATGTTAAGAGATTAAGGCTATCTGCATCACGTGGAACAGGTGCACACACACACTGAGATCTCAGTCTTAATTTGAATTGGCTCTATTAACACAGATCGCGTTAATTGCTTAGCGCGACATGTGGGACGTGTTTAACTATCAACGGGCACGATCAGCACAGAACGAGTTACGTTTGTATTCGGATGTCGAGTAAATCGGTAAACGCGGAAAGATGTAGCGTGGTGGCGAGTCGTGAGGGCTGGACTTTGGAAAACAGAATCAGAATATTTATTTACACCGGAGGAATCTGGTGAGCTATAAAACTCTTTTTCACAGATGTCCAGTAACCCTGCTCTAAACACAGCATCAAGCGACGGTTTGCTAATTCGCCTTCTGCCGGGGCAATACGCACCTTGTGCGCGGCGGCGCGGAGCTCGGACAGGCAGGCTGCCAGGTTCTTGGCGCAAGTGCCCAGCTGGTTTGACGACGCCTGGTTCTCCACCGACGGAACGGCGGCACGGGCCGATGCCACCAGATGGTTGCCGGGCTGCGCAGCGCAACAGACGCCGAGGCGGTCGGGCGAGCGGTGAGTCACCGCCGCCGTAATAACGCACACCGCGTGATCTACCCACTGCCGTCGCCATCCCTCGAGGTGCTGCGACGCACGAACGGAAGTCATTGCTCCTTCTCAACTCCGGTTAGACCCTCGAGGGTGTTCCCCCCTCCTCTAATCTGGTTTGCAGCAGGACACACGTACAGCCCAATTTTTACGTGCAGACAAATTTCACTTTTATCAGCTTCTTTTGTGAAGATGGTGTCTCCATTACCAACCAGATGAAGGGTTTCAGTCATAAATCCAGATGCCAGCCTAGTTATGCAGAACTCGAGCACCTAGTGTTAAACCGAGGAGAGCACTGATATAATATGACATTGAGATTCCACTTGAATAGTACATCTGTCATTTGGAGGGAGTACAAGGGCAGTATTCTGATTTCACGCCAAATAATGACTAAGTATTTATTATCAAGGGTTCGGTTATCACAAGCACTCTCAACGGCAGATTTTTTTTATTTAGACACCAAAGAAAGGCGGTACCTATTTTATCAACCCCAACAGAGATGATAGGCTGAGTTGGGATCTGAACTCAAAACCTCTAGATTTGTAAGTCAAGCGATCTCCCCACAGTACCACCCAGTATAGTTCAGCCAGCCGGATTTACATTTATGAGATGCCAGTACCCATATGTAGTAAAAAAAAAACAAGCTGGGAGAAAGATAAGTAATGGGAGGCTATGCCCACTGAATTGGTCATAAAATCAATATGATCTAAATTCAAGCCCTTCCTCCTGCATCTAATGAAAAAACCCATCGCTTTAGCAACAGAAAGTGCCTGAATGTGGTCTTTGTTGCTCATAGTCTTCTGCCCAATGGTCCCCATGGTTTTGGGGGGAGGACTGATCAACATGTACCTCAAAAAGCACAAACGGCAGCAGTAGGCAACGATGGCTATAATGTACCGATGAGCTCTAAGGAGGGTGGAAACGGTACACACTTGCCTTGTTCTTCTGCTGCAGCCTAAAATAAAAATGGTACCTCTCCATTGCAGGCTGTGTGCAAGAATGTACGCAGGAATGGTGTTGTCACCTTGGGATGCAAAGCACGCTGGGACTTCCCGTTGTGCTTCTGTTTTTCAAAATCACCTTTTCTTATGCATAGCATTATCTCATCAATAATTATTAATCAATCAAGTCCACGCAGACCGAATATGCCGTGTTACCTGCAGGAAGCCGAGGCTGGACGTGATGAGGCTCTGCTGGGCCTGCTGGCTGTCCGGGGTCGACTGGCTTTCTCGCACGCTCTGCACGAGCTGGGGGATGTGGTCCGCCACCACCTGCCACGGAGACGTCGCAAACGACGGGCCACGCGGAGTCACAACCACATACAACGACAGCGGAGAAGCAGCAAAACATAGTCCTTCTCAGAATAAAAGCTGCCCGCTCGACCAGTGGTTCGCTGCTCACATATTCAGGGCAGCCACTCTCTCGTTTTCGATCTATTGCCCGCTTGTCTTTCTGCTACTGTGACTATCACAGACAATACTCTCACAAGGAGTCACAATCATAGAGAATACCGGCAAGGAAGCAGCCCTCACGTACTAACCATTTTCTAGTTCTTTTGTTACTAGCAGCTCTACATTGTACACTTTAGAGCATCTGCTTGACAACTGCGATGAAAACCATTTATATGTTCAATAAGGAGGCAAAGCACAACAACAGTCCATTGCTTGGCTATTGCCAAAGCAATTGCTGAAGTCGTTATGGGTGTTGGGACCAAGTCAGATTTTTTAATCTACAGTATTCCCTCTTTATTCGCGAGGGATACATTTTGGAGATGCTCGTGAACATCACATTGCACAGATAATTATATTGGCCTCCAAATATCAAAGGCGCAACGTCTCAGATGCTTCTAAAGCTTTGAGAAATTCTCCCTCTCTATCTCATCTCTTTATCTCATCACTCTCTATCTCATCACTATCTCATCACTTTCTTGCATCGCATTCTATCTTATTACTTTCGCTCTCATCACTTTGTCTCTCGTCACTTTCTCTCTCTCTCGATGCAGTCTTGTAGAGTTCCAGATGCGATTTGCGGATATCCAAAATCGCAGATAGCAAGTTCGTGAATAATGAGGGAATACTGCATAACAAATATTAAATGTTCCGTTTCATTGCAAAAAAACGTACCTATTAATATTTAGGTGCATCAGGCTAGGCGCTTTCTGGACCACGGTGGGTCACAACTTCCCGAATGGGGGGGGAGGGCTCGCTTACCTTGCAGCTCTGCACCAGCTGCTGCTGTGAGTTGGGGCTCTTGTTGGAGGAGGCGGCGTGCTGCGCCGCCGCGATGGTCTGGGTGGAGGCAGCGGCTGCCTGCTTCGCTGCTTGCTGGAACGGCAGGGCAACGAAACGACGTGCATGGCCGTGAACGGTGGAAACGCGAAGTTGCGTTACAATCTACGCGATGATGGCAACAGCGAAGCGGAGTTAAAATCCGGATTGGCGGCGCTCTGGTGTGGGTGCTCAAATCGCAATCAGAAAGATGCTTAAATCCTGGTGGGCAGTTGGCTCAGCCCATCATTCCTCAAGGGTCGATAAAAATAAAGAGCACTTCTTGTGGGAAGTCTAAAGCCATTTTTATTTTACCAGGTAAGGCCCACTGAGCTATCTATGTAACTCTTTTTCAGAAGCGAACTGGCCGCAAATGCCTCCGAAACGTCGCGATTTAATTGCTTTATTTTATCTATGTGACTTTACCGTATGAATCCTTGCAGTCACGAAAGCTTCAAATCTAGAATTGGCCACAAATGATCGCTCAATAAAGTTGCTCATCTCGTGGAAATGTATCACAGCCAAATACTCTTAATCCATGTTTCTAAATGTGGAAATAAAAACAGGAGGACCCGAAGAAAAATCCACACGACCATGGTGAGACCATGTAAACTCCAAATATACAGGCATGGAATGACTGGCCATAACCACGGAGAACAGAAATTCCAACGTTGGCGCAGAGCCACCTAAAAAAACAAATGCCACCCGACAAAGAGACACTTTAACTTAATCGCCAGGATGGAGTTACGGCATTTCTGTAGCGATGCCAAGAATACCCTTTGATGTGACCTAGTCAGCCACAAAAGTGGTTGGGTGATTCAAAAATGCAGAGCCAGCTGAACAATGCTGAGGCAGCAATGCATAGAGGCTCCATTCGATTACACGGAAGCCACCACCAAAATTAAATTGGCGAATTAGGTAGCACGAAAGAGTGGAGGTCATCCAGCCTCATCGTCAGCCATCATGTGACAACTTACAGAAGAGAAAGAGAGATAAATAGGCATAAATGAGCAAAACAGAACGTTGCTATGAGGAGGCTGTAGATGTATTGTGTTTTCATGACAGGTTTTTTATGGAATTAATACACCTTTTTGAAGAGGACAGTGGTTGGCTTTAGTGTTAAAAGTATGAGACAGGTGCTTGCAGTGAAGAAACCAGAAAATAAGCTTCCTGCCTTTGGGTATCAGTTTATATGATCCATGCTAGGAATTGCACAGAAGGAAAGAGAAAGCACATTCAAAGTCCAGAGCTGAATGTGGTATGAAGGTATCGTAGTATCCTACATCATCAAGACAGGCACTGGGGTGTTATCCAGAGGTCAGCAGCCAAGAGGAAGGCTGAAAAAGCCAGGTGGTGAGATGCTCTACGAGTAGGCCTCAGAGGCCAAATGTTGACCAAGAAACAGCCGCGCAATCTGACGGCAGGAAGTGATGGGGAGGTGTTTGATGTGTACTCGTCAGCTACTCGTTATCTGGAGTTAAATATTGACCCCACTACCATTTGATGAATGGTAACAAAGATTAAATTTAGAAATCAATTCCTGATGTTTTCACACTTCACCAGATGGAAATTTAAGCCTGAGCTGATCTAGTGGAGGCCCAGAAGTGGTTCAGATTCCAATCACCATGGATGTTTGGAATCGAGCTCATTTCACACAACAAGAACCGCCGTCCACCACTTAGTGGGGGTGACGTCACCAAGGAGCTCTCGTGCCAGGCTAGGTGCAGACAAAGACGTTTACACACTGCACCAGGTATCTGAGGATGAGTCGACCTAGGGGAGGCCAAGGACTGGTTCAGAGAACCGTCACTGCTCGTAAGCGCATACACGCGTGCATGCGTGCGCGTGCCAGAGCAAGAGCGAAGATCAGGTGCGAGAAGCGGGGAGGTCACCAATAATGAGCATGGTTGGCCACGTACGGCGTGAAAGAAGTTCAACGTGCATACCACACCTCGAGGCGGTTGGTGAGTTTTTTCTTGATGGCGTTTTGTGCCGCGATGTTGGTGGCGACGCGCAGGCCCTCGGCTGCCTCCCGCAGCTTCTGCTGCTGCTCCTCGTTCTCCGGGTTGGCTGCCGCTCCCTGCCACCGACAAAAAAATACACACGAGGGAAACGCGCAAACCAACGGCACGACAGAATTCACGGCCGCTGCGCTTCTTGGATTCCTAGAATTGTTTTAAGCGATCGTCATTGACCTGCAAATGTATGGAAAAACCTCGGCTCGCCGGTCTAATAGTCGGGGGGAGAGCCCTGGTCCAGCTGGCTGAAAAAGTCCGGCGAGCAAAATAAAAAGCGAATTGATGCTGAAACTGATTAAAGAAAAGCAATACGCACAACATGGAGTAAAAGTAAAAATAAACAATGCTAAACTCCAGTGAAATAAATCAATGAATGCTCACACGAAGTAAAAAAAAATATTCGTGATGGAGATAAGTAACACTGAGCTTGACGTTCTAACAGTGGCACTAACACAGGACTGTATCAGAGTGATACTGCACTGACAAGCATGGGGACTGGGTGGGGGGGGGGGTTCACTGCTTCCACGTGCTCAAGGGGACAGAGGAGACAACGTTAAGGCAGCTTGGAAAAGACTTAGTGAGTCTTGCTATTGCGCACTTGTATAAATCAAGTCCATCATGAATGCGCACTGATCACAGAGCGAAAGCGCCTTGGAATGACAACGCTGTTATAAGTCTTTTGCCAAACTGTCTCAGACTCAAGGATGGATGCCGAACATCTGCCGCTGGTAGCCCGGCCCAGATCCTCCGGCATTAGCCCTCGGTGAAACTGCGCTGGCTGTATCGCCACACAACGTTCGTGTGTACGCAGAGCAGCAGATCACCATGGGGTGCGGATTAAAGATGGCTTCAATGCGGGTGCTGCTAAATGCGTAATGAGCCGACCTCATCCATTAAACTACTTTAACACAGTCCCCAACTAATAGCTAGTCAGCGTTGTATTAACAGCATCATCATCATCATCATCAACTCATCTCCAGTCACCTTCTCCATCCATTCTGTTTAAGACCCTTACGACTATACACCTCAACATTTCGTAAAGAAGACGAATCAGCTTAAACGTCAAAATGTGTTCTTTTGTCGCTGGTAGTTTAGAAAAAAGATTCACCCTATATCGAGGCTGGGCTTGGGCTAGCTCATTATACTGTGTATATATACAAAAAAAACAAAGATCCCCCGTATAGCCCTAGCAGACTGTTGGGGCAAATGCTGTTAGCGAGCACGTATGAAGGCCGGCACGGCACATAAAGGGGTGGGTGGCCAATACCACACCCGGCCGCCTTTGTCTCCCTAAGTGGCGATGTTTACACATGGTACCAGATACGCGTGTGAGGCTGAGTCGACCTAGGGGAGGCCCAGGACCAGTTCAGATAATCGTCACTGGTGTCGGTCATGAGCAGGAATCGAACTTGGCTCAGCAGGTTCGTAGCGCAGCGCACTAACCACTACTCTAACGCAGGTCTCTCATGTGCTCTCCCTAAATGCCTGCCAAGTGAATTCGGCGAGGGGGGGGGGGCAGCACCTTGGCAGCCTCGACCATGCGCGCTGTGGCGTCCGCCAGCACCCGTGCCGCCGCCAGGAGGTTACGAACGTTCTCCTGGTCCTGCTCGGCCTCAGCGTCCGCCTTGATGGCATTGACGAGGTCCGACGTGGCCTGGGCCAGCAGGCGGGCCTGTCGCACCATCTCGCCTGCGAATGGAGCGTCCACAACGTTATTTCCCAGTTGTGCTTTCGGTGTCACTAGAGGAAGAATACATTTTGGATATTTCGCAGAGCAGTGCGAGTTCAACATGCATACATACGTAAACTCCGTTCGTTGTCCTTCCCCCGCACCTCCTGATTAGCAAAAATTGGCTACGTAAGGTGTGAAAGAATTTCAAAATACAAACAATCCTTTGTGTTCGAGGACAACCCACAGAAGTGGATATCACAGAGCTACCTCTGAAATCCCTTCAAGTGATCTCTGTGATTCACCTAAAAATCTCAACACGTTCATCGGTAACAGTGCTTTGAAATGAAAAATATGACGGCCAACGTTAAAAAAAAATGCCCCTTATTCAAAGCACATCAATAGAGGCGAGAGAGATCGAGTGAATAAAAACAGTTGGAGACTACACTTTACACCATGGGAAAAAAATGAGAATTCAATTATTAAAATGTTTCCCAATTAACATGTTTTTAATTGCAAGAAGGAATAGAAAGCTATTATTAGTTTTGAGTAACAGAAAACTCTTCCATAATTAAAAAGTATTACTAAATAAACTCATGGATTAGCATAACCTACTTAGTGATGGCTCCTTGGGCCCAATGGTCATTTCAATAGGATTTGAGAATCTCAAAAGAAATGTAACGATGCAATGATCCCCGAATAATGTCTGAATAACACGGTAATCCTCAGCACTCTGCGATCACCTCTGAGAGTAATGCTCGTCGCGTGACAATCAAACAGATGTTTATAATCAACAGATTTGGAATTTAGCAAAAGTTCAGAAATTAATTTGAAATGTGTTTTTATGCAGTCATTGGTAACCAGGGATGAGATTAGACCAAGTATGTACATAAGTTGAGCTTCTTTCACATCGTACTTAGCCAACCGTGCTAATCGGAGGCGCGTGGGGGGGAAGGACAACAAACTAAACACAAAAAAGCAGTTCCAAAACAATCAGTTTTCAATCATCCACTCATTACACTCCAGAATCCCAGTTTAACCAAATAAGGATGCTGCCTGGATTTCACACCGGGGGTCTCAGCGGTGTCAAAGCTCAGCTCTCCGACCTCCGAGCCACTCGGTCGCCTCGAGGAGCTTGCCGTGCCTCTCCGTCGGGACACGCATTGGTGTTTGGGATTGCAGCGTTCGCATAATACACACACAGATACAGATCTCCCGTATAGTCTTAACAGACTGGTGGGACAAGTGCTGTTAGGGAACACCTATGAAGGCCGGCACGGCACACGAAGGGATGGGTGGCCAACACCACACCCGGCCGCCTTCATCTCCCTAAGTGGCGATGTTTACACATGGTACCAGGTACTCATTTGAGACTGAGTCGACCTAGGAGAGACCCAGGACCGGTTCAGATAATCGTCACTGGTGTTGGCCGTGAGCGGGAATCGAACTCGGGTCGCCGGGTTCCTAGCGTAGCGCTAACAGCTACCCCATCACTCCCCAGGTTGGCATAACATCACCTAACTCACAATCGGTTCATATTCCATTTGGTTACCAACTCAGCCCATTTTCTTTGCTCTTGGGGCCAATTAAATACCACTTTTTTGAGGAAGTCCACATTGGTTGTGCTGGGCATAAAGTGGCCGTTGTGATAGGAAAGTGGAATGCTTTTTTTATTTTCTGGCTCAAGGCCACCAAAAGAGATAAGCGATTGCTACGCCATTACTCAGATAAGCGGACAAACTTCGACTTTACTGTGGGTAATGAACAGTGGTCATCGTGGGGAGGTAATGTGGAATTTTCACCGCTGGCTTTGAACTGCCCAAAGGACCAGAAACAGTAACTTATGGGGCGTAAATAGCATTGATTTCTGTATTATATGACAAATGAATACATTTCAACTTGTGGTCAATCAAAATTACGATGTTTTGTTTGAGGTGGCAACTTCATGTCGGGAGCACCTGAGAATCACTGAATAGAAGAGTATTGTACATCTTAACCTAAAGAAAACTATTACACACATTTTACATGGATGCTTGGAATCCAAATTGAGGCTCGGTCCATTCTGAAATATATAATTAAGAACGCTTTGGCAGTGAAGCGAGACTTTTGCGTAACGAGCAGCATACTTGGACTCGCAATCCCGAAGTCGCCAGTTCAATTTGATCACTCGACGAAGCAGTTGGGACAACAGTCCAAGTTCATTGAACCTCTGTCCAACCCAGCAGTCTAAATGGGCACGCGACAGTCAGTCGATTGGCAGGCTGGGTGTGGTGTGGTCCAAGATGTATGTCCAGCGTAGAGAAGCAGGCCACAATATTCCCTAGAGTGGCTCTGTACAGCTCCGTCCAGTGGAGGTCCTTCTACCGGCAGTGGACTGAATAAGGAATAGCAGGGATCCACCTTACCGTGCTGTAGTGTGTACATCTAAAAAAAACAGTGGCAGCAAAAAAGCAGAATTATAATGCACTGCTGAAACCTCACGTACCAGCGTCGCCCATGGAGCCGAAGATGTTCTCCGTGGCCGTGAGGATGGTGTCAGTGGCCTGGACGTACGGTTCCGTCTGCAGCTCCTCTTCTTCCTCCTCTTCCTCGTCTTCTTCTTCTTCCTCCTCTTCGTCCTCCTCATCCTCCTCGCGTCCGCCCGGGCCCGCACGGCCCGTGAGGCTGGCGGCGTACTGGCGCACGTGGCGCAGCAAGTCGTTGAGGGCCTGCGTGACGGCAGTGGCGGCCTCGCCCACCTGGCGCAGCAGCTCCTCCTCTTCGGTGGCGTCCTGCGACGCCTGCACGCAGCCCTCGACGGCGCGTGCAACCAGCTTCCCCGCCTCCATCAGCTGCTCCTGGCACGCCGGCGAGCGGATGGTGGGACCCACCACCTGCAGAGGGCGACGGATGACACGCGTGGCAAACACTTTTGTCAACGCTGCCTTCCGGCGTCGTGTAGGTCATGGGGAGGGGGTTATTCGACCAACGCTTCCCCACAGGTTGGTCAGCGTGGGTTGGTGAAAGCGTTGCAGCAACGAAGAACAGAAGAACGATTGATTTTGCTGTACTGCCCTCTGTTGATTGCCACGTAGCCCCTGTACCTCACTATATTTTACCATACTAGTCAGTGTGGGTTGGTGAAAGTAGAGAGCGTATTATGAAGAGAGAGTATATGTTGGAGAACAGAAGTCCAGCACCACGATGGATTTTGCGGCACTGCACCGCTGCTGCTGCTGCCCACCACCGAATCCCAAAGCCTACACCAACCTGCCGTGCATGGTGGTCGCCCATCCAAGCACAGTTGAGACTAAACCCTACTTAGCTTCCAAGACCTTATGAGAGCATGTGCATTCTGGGTAGTTTGGTCAAAAGCGACAAATTACACGTATGCACAGAAATAACTAGAGCTGGTGACCTTTGAAAAAAATTTAATCAGAGACACGCCTCCAATCACGCATGCAAAAAGCAATTATTATCAAATCGTATATTTTGCATGCAACTGATGATTGTGACAACCGCAGTCACGAATAAATACGCTATGTTCACCACAATGTGACAAATGACAGATACTCAAATTACCACCGCGTCGGGTTTTTCTTTTGCGTGTGCAAATGTGCAGAATGCCTCCACGATGTGTTTTTCTGGTTACAACTGAATCAAGACTCCGAATCACAATAGACCACTGACTCGCGAGGGGTGGCTGACCACTCCACCACGCCTTGTGGTGGTTAAGATGACAACGTGCTTCGACCCGCCCCCCACCCCCCTCCCCCCCCCTTTCGAGCAACGTTCACCAACAAACAAACAACAACGACAATGACGTAAGTGGGTAACCTTGGTGCAGGCGACGAGCTGCGAGGTGGAGAGGGCACACTGGGTGGCGGCGGCGATCACGCGGTTCTGCTGCGCCGGGTCCTCCGCGCGCTGAGCCACATTCTTCGCCTTGAGTACCAGGGTAGCGGCTGCATTGGCCACGGCTTTGGCGAGCTGCATCAGCATGTCCTGGGGCCGAACAGGTCATCAAGTGGGTGGGTCAGGTCAACTCGTAGGAAGAAGAAGAAAAAAATAATGTCGAGCCACCCGACTCAAGTTCATTGAACGTTCCACTCGTTTTATAAAGACAAAGTGCCTCCTGTTGTCGAACAAATCCATTATCTCTCTGTATGCAGTCCATAAAATGAGCAGCATGTTGTGGGAGCTCGAGATATCTTTAAGATGTCATCAGAGAGAAGAATATGGAATTTCCAGTTGACACACGGCCCAAATGGTGACGAGTGCAGCCTCTGTGAGATTCATAACCTCATCTGACCATAGGCACTATTTTAATAAATGTATTGTAATCGTGTCTTTGTTGACTTTTCATATTTATTTCCTTGGTATTTATTATCTCTTTTTTTACATCAGTTCAACAATCCAAGTTATGAAACTAAACCGGTTTTCAAAGCTTCAGCAATTCATTTCATTGAACAGACTTACACATTCTGCTGGGAATCGTCAGAGCATTCATATACTGCTGTAAAGCAAATGCAAAAGGCACTGTAATATCATTGATCATGATAGTCAAAGAATGCTATGTTTAACCTAAAATTCCAAATTAATCAAATTAAACATCAAACAGTAAAATCATCGTCATGCTCAAACGAGCAGTGGCAGACCTAGACTCGTGGTGGAAACTCGACATTACTATGGAGGAGGACCGTCTCTCCATAGGACAACAACCAAACAAAAGTGGTACTAATTTTAGCAAAAACAAACAGGAATGAGGAGCCGAGTCGACCCTAGAATATTGGGCTAAAACTAAATAACAAAATAAACATCCACTGCATGACATGACAGCAGCAGTTGAACTGAATTAAGCAATTCAGCCCCTCGTGTTCTCAATTCAATCCAGCTGCGAGCACAAGGAACCTCTTTAGCAAGGGAAAGTGTGTATAAATGTAGAAGAATGGATCAGCAATGGAATGAACAAAACAATACATATGAAAAAAAAACAGTGAAAATTTAGTGCATTTAAGGATGTGTGTGTGTTTGTGCATTCATTTTTTATGCAAACACGATCCTAACAAAACACAACGCATCACGGTGACTTGGCACAATGATACAGAGGCAGCCACTCCCGGCTAATTGGAAATGGATTAAAAATAGAAAGCTCTGGGCAAGCACAATTCCGAGAGGGATTTAAGGGATGATGGCCGCAATAGGATAGAAGCCAGCAGGAAGCAAACACCGAATGTAGCTCCGGGTATAGGATTCCACGAAATTCCCATTAATAAAGCAAACAAATATGCTATCGTTCAAAAGCTAACCTTTTCAACAGCCAAAAGTGACACAATATCAGACGTTCATTGGAATGACGAATGTTTGTGTTGTTTGTTCAGTGCCCTTGTAATGGCTTAACATGTTAAGGTGCTTTTGAAGTTATTGTGTGTATATATATACACCAGTATCTCAAAATGCTGGAAAATCCAAACATTTAAGGACAGGTAGAGCCAGTGGGACAGTTTACAGGCAGTTAGAGAGGCAGATAGTGAGTCGTAGGGTCAGTGGACGGGTGAGTGCATAGGTGAATGCACGAGTGATCGGATGAATGAGCACATTAGTGAACAGATGGCCCACACATAAACACATTTATAGGCAAGCGAACAAGCCAGTGCAGGAGTGGGTCAGCAAGCAGCTTAGTAAACAGACGGGTGAGTGGACAGGGAGGTGACAAGTGGGTAGGCGAGCAGACGAGAAACGAGATGGGCAAGTGGACAGATGAGTGGACGAGCAAGTGAATAAACACGGGGCAGGGACAGGTGAGCAAGCGGTGGAGAGGACAAGCAGGCGGATACGAGACTGGATGAGTGAGCAGCGGAAGGGGCAAGTGAGTGGGCAAGCAGATGGACAGGTAGGCAAGCGGGCAGATGGACAAACCAGATGGGTGGGCAAACCGACGGACCGGTGAGCAATGTGCCGGAGACCAGGTGAGAAGGGCGGTACCTGGAAGCTTTGGTCGGCTTCGTCCTCTCCGATTGTCCTCAGCAACTCCCCGCTTGCCTGCCCGACGTTCCCGGCTGCAGTCAAAACGCTCTGCCGGGGCTGCGGTGACAATGACAAATTATCATAGAAAAAAAACCAAGCACATCGTTGTCATCATCGTCATCATCATCATAAGCAGCGCGCACACACAGAAGCACGCACACCCTCTTACGCTACAACTCGCCAATCAGGACTGCGGATGGCTGGCCGTGAACGTTCCCAGAGGGGATGGCAACCGGCAAACTGTGAAACATGTCAGTTTATAATTTGCACGTTTTTATCTGCGGCGGTGTTGATTAAATGTGCAGGAAAATTGAGTCTGCGTCCGTATGTGTCTATGCACACACGTATGTGTTGTGCGTAACCAGGTCAGAGCCCAGTGGGACCACAATGCTCTTTTGTGAAATAGAAACAATGTTCAGGAAAGTTAGTGTCTCCCTGCTCATGCGAGCAATGTGAAGGCACTGATTCTCAATAGCGGCCTTAAGCCAATGATGGGAATTCCACATTCCCTCGGGTCCTGAAATAAAAAAAAACCTCACCAAACATATATATTTAATCTGGACTTAAAGCTTTCGTGACTGCAGGAATTCATATTCTTTGGGTCTTTCGGTAAAGTCACGTAGATAGGTTCAAATTAATAAAAAATAAAATAAACAAATAAACTACGACGTTTCGATCACAACACAAGCGATCGTCTTCAGGAGGAAATAAGAGGGGGAAAGCTGCTGAAGGCAGGCTGTTTTTAAAGGTTTGCAACCATCCACTGGTAAGACCACCTCATCTGTACCTAACTCAGCTCACTTGGTATCCTTAATTAAGGACATCTCATTATCCTCCAGGTGATTTGCTCGTTAGTTTCAATGTAATTTCTTTGTTCACCAAAGTTCCTGTGCCCGATACCATTGCAATCATTGAAGAGTTAGTCCAACAAGGATTGCATGCTGATGTACCGGCCCTGGTTAGACACTGCCTCACCAATACATACTTCACCTGGAATTGAACATTTTACAAACAAGTTGAAGGCACCCCAATGGGTTCTCCCTTATCTCCGGTTGTAGCCAATGTTTTCATGGAAAATTTTGAGACATATGCCATCCAGGCATCCATTCTACGTCCGTTCTTGTGGAAGAGGTACGTGGATGACATGTTCGTCATCTGGCCACATGGCCGACCAGCTCTGAACCAATTCCTCAACCACATCAATTCCATACACCCAGCCATCAAATTCACCATGGAGGTGGAAAAGGATGGCAAGTTACCATTTTTGGATGTTCTAATCAAAAATAGACCAGATGGCTCAAGGGGACACTGTCTACAGGAAGGCAACTCATACGGATGCCTACCTAAAACCTGACTCCCACCACCATCCAGCCCAGAAGAATTCCCTCATCAAAACTCTACACCATAGAGCTAGATGTATTTCCGACCATCATCACCGAGCTAGTGAACTAAAACACGTGCACCAAGCTCTCAAGATGAATGGATATTCAGACTACACAATCCGTAAAGTTATCACCCCAACCGTTGGGAAAGAACCATCTGAGGACCCAATCAAAACCATCACCTTGTCATACATAGCAGGGGTCACCAAAAAGATTTCCAAAATCATGCGCAAACACAAGATCCAGGTTCGATTTAACACAGTACATAAAAAATTCGTGATCCCTGACATGCAATACCCCGGCGTCTACAAACTAAGCTGTGTCTGCGGCAGCAGTTACATTGGAGAAACTAAGCGAAATGTCTCGGACCGTGTTCGTGAGCATAAAGCAGATTTGAAACATGGTAGGACCAATACCTCGGCCGTGGCTGATCACTGTTTTAATGCGGTTGGCTCACACGAAATAGGTTTCTCTAAGACGAAGGTACTTTGTAAGCCCACTGGCTATCAACAAAGATTCGTTGATGAAGCCATCCACATATACAGACACAGACACAATTTAAACCGAGAAGATGGGTATAAACTCAGAAATCATTGGAATGACGTCATCAACCAGTTTAAGTCATAACTGGCTGTGATGTTCCCATCCTGCCACCTTCCGATGTTAGTTTTTATTTTCCCCGTGGCTTCGGCTCTCCGATATTACATTAAGAGGTTAAATGTCTCACACCAACATAGCCACCTCCGTGCGCAGACCTCGACGTGGCAGCAGCTCTTTGATCTCACATTAACATGCTAATCTCTCACATTAACATCACTAGCCCCGCCCACTTCGTTTATGACCCTTGGGCTACACCCACTTTAAACCTTTAAAAACAGCCTGCCTTCAGCAGCTCCACCCCTCTTTTTTCCTCCTGATGACGATCGCTTGTGTTGTGATCGAAACGTCGTAGCTTTTTGTTTATTTATTTTTATTAATTTGAACCTATCTACGTGACTTTACCGAAAGACCCAAAGAATACATATCTAATGTCCAAGATTACAGCTAATAAAACTGAAGAAAAAATCATCAAATGTAAAATGTATACTGGAGGTACAAAAACACAAGGAGACACTAGATAGTAATCTTTTCCCTTTCCCATTACGAGATGTCTGCAAGTTGCAGGGTGGGTGTCCCGTTCACCGGTGGATCTCGGAACGCGCAAACGGTTAGCGTTAATTTTATTTAGAGGCACAACACCGCTGTCTTTAAAGACATTTTACTCACCCCGGAGAAATGGAGCGACACGACCACACTCTATGATAGTTGGTGCCCTACCGCATGGCCTTTTACTTCTGATTCTGTTCCGATGACGTACATGTACCCGTACGTCATCAGAACAGAATCTGAAGAAAAATGGTGAACGTGAAAACAATGTAAAGTGTGTAATTACAATCGTAAAACTCTTAATGGAAAAATGTAATATAAAGAAAATTTTTACATTTCTGCAGTTTGTCTGTGTTACCGGCTTCTACAACATGTTTGAATTTCCATTTGGAAATCATCATAGTGTAGGAAGAATTTCATCTAGCAGGGATGTGCATTATTAATATTATTACGTAATTATCACGTCTCGCTGTGATTGCCGTTCGACACAAAGCTGCGTTATCTACTCAGCCGCTCCATCTGTTTAGCACCGAGTTAAAGGCACCTTTGAGTGCATTTACGGAGATGAGAGAAACATTCATTTGTTTTGGAATACTACACTCGGCGGGTAAAGAGATGTCTTTGATCTACGTTGTTACTATGCTGTTAAAATTACCCTGCCACTTGGTTTGAGGAATTTCGCAGATAAAACGGACTACGGAACAAATGTGTCATCGTGAAGTATTGCGCTCCATGCTTTATATGTTCATAAAAATCGGGCTAAGTATTTATCTTGCATTTAACAAATATACAAATGATCTGGCTCGATGGCGGTGCAATGGTCAGAGTGTGCAACTTGCAATCTGCCACTTCTCCCACAGGGCCCTCAATAGAATGATCTGCTCTGTGGAGGAAGATGAACAGTATAATTGTCCTGCCAACAGACTCATGTTTTACTTTAAGACATTGTTGTTATTGTTTGGAGGCGAATGTCAGATTGTTTACCAAACAGTCAATTATATATATTAAAGGTAATCTTTATTTAAACAGGTTACCGCCATAAACATGTACAACTCTCCCTAATGAATCAGGGTCACCAATGGAGATGGACATCACCCAATGCTAACACAAATTCAGAAATATATTGATTACTTTCACCGTAGGTAAATAGCGATTGCACACAGGGCAAGACAAACAAAATAAAATACAGTCAAATTGTCTTGAGTCATTCGGTGACCTCTTATTTAAAACCAGATGAGTGCTCAATGAGAAAACTTTTTCCAAAGGAGAACTGGGATAAATAATAAATATATATTTTTATAAATATATTAATACATATTTATATATTTCTATATAACCCATACATGCATCAATTAATTATATATTTGATTATATACCAATATTAATGCTCTATTTTACATTCACCTAAAAATAATGGTACGTATTAATTATATATGATGCAGTAATAATGTATATTATAAATATAATAACTATTTACAGGCTATGTATTTGTGGGGAGATTCTTTTTTATAACAAAGCACAAGCAGGCAGTAACTTATTTTAAACGTGGAACCAATTAGTAAATTCGTATTAATGGCAGTGGTTTATCGTACCACAAACACAGCTGTGATTTCAAAACGATTAAATACCACAATCATTCTGCTGATCCTTAAAATGTGAGAGAGACTACTCGCCTGAACAAACAGACACGCGCAGGTCCACATGACCTAAAAGGAAAATAGATCACTCGCTAATTTGCTTGCGATTAAAGAATTGTACGGCTCAAGCCACATATAAAGCCCAGCATCAACTGCGATGACTTTTTTTTTTGTTAGATTCGTTTCCCAGACATAATAAGATAGTCGTCAAGCCACGTCTGATGCCATCCAATCGGACTGAGCAGTTCTGAGATTATTCTGCTTAACTCATAATCAGAAGCTAAAATCCATGTTGTGAACATCTCAGACTATCCTACTTCCTGGGGTGATAAAATAAGCACCGTTATGTGGGGAGTCAAGAGTCACTGACATAGACTGACCTAAACAACAAGAAAGTGGAATGTCACGTACTGGCGGTTAGGGCGATTGGCTGAGATGATTCTCCAAATTCCCCCTGCTAATTTAAGCAGTGAGACAATTTGGTTTTATCTTGGAGTTGTTGATTGTTCAACATTCAAAAAAACAAGTTTTTTGTGCAAATGGATTCCATCAGCAGAGGAAAAAAAAGAGGTTCCCAGTGCAAACACAGCAGTGTCTTCAATTGTATTTCTCAAGCGGTGCTGTGTGGGAATGGTGACGCATGAATGGGGACAGCAAGCCAAGCTTGAAGATGGCAGGGGCGAGACGAGAGGAGGGGTGGCGTCAGTTGTGGCAGAGCGGAGGGTGGTGGCGGTGGTCGCTGGTGGAGGGAAAGTTCATATTTACATTCCGGGATGTGCTAATACTCCCAGACGAGATCACACGTCTTGATTCCCCAGGTCAGCGCATGATTGAGTCAGGCAGGCGAACACTTTGAGGTTAAGAGCAAACAGCACTCCGATTTCACAATCCACACCTGTGCCCATCCGCACCTCCGATTAGCACGGTTGGCTACGTACAGTAGTTCAACATGCATACATACGTACCAACACTCGATAAAGCCCACTGAATCCCAGATGCAGCGAATATTTAAAAAAAAATCGCCATACTTCAGCCCAGTCTCCGAGCCCTGAGTGCAGCTCACGGTGAGAGAGTAGAGAGAGGCTAGAGCCGAGCTGCAGTGATTTGCAACTGCGTGGATGTGCGTCAAGTCGCACAACGATCGAATCGGGCTCAGAAGCTCACGAGGAGCGAAGCTGGATGCAGTCCAAATGAAGTGGCCATAGCACTTACAACAACACGTGCCGAGGAAACACCTGCTGCTCGCAAATAAATAAAATAGCACCGGCACACACTGGCCCATGACCTCATTTCCAAACACTCGCAAGTAAGCCGTTTGCTTGAAGGCTGCTGTGGTTAGCGATACGAAAAGTGGTAAACAAAGCAAGGTCGGTCACACCTAATAATGACGTCATGCTGGTGTTATTTTTATTTTCTCCTGCCACTCATGATTGCTCTTTAAAAAAATATGTTTGTGCATACTGACATGATTCTTCCACCACCTAATAGTTAAGCAAAAATGTGGGGTGGCAGATGATAATAGAAACGTGCCCAACGGAGTGTGGACCACGGAGATGGATGACATCAGTTCATGTGTAGATGCGAGATGTACTGTTGCGAGATGGCCATAGCTTGAAGAGGATCCCCTCGAGCAGTGTACTGATCATCACGGATGATCATATGAGCGGTGATCGTTTTAGAGTCTTCTGGGAACAGAAGTGCTGGCCTCACATTTCTGAATCCGTTTTGGGTCTTCAGACCTGCACCTTCAGAGTTTCGATACCGACAAGGCCGACTGCTATGCAAGCTACATGATAACATTATGTGGTGGTTAGGTGACGGAGGTAGCGTTGTGACTAACATGAGTTCAGGGTGACCTGTTCTCTGTGACTTGTTCTCCACTTTAAGGTCAGAGAACTTCATCCTCACACATTCCTTTCAAAATCAGTGTCTTCAAACTTGAACGAGCATTGGGGTGGCATGAATCTGAGCTGATGGCAAAAATTCACATTCCTATGGCAGGAGGCAGTTTATACTTAATGATGATTAATTGTGACATCAGACAAAGTGATAATCTTTTTAATAAACCCAGATAAATGATGGGCTGAGTTAACCCCTCAGCTAGGATTTGAACACGTGGCGTGCAAGTTCAGCGTTAAGCACTACCCGGTCTATATGTACATGCACGCATTCACATGCTGTACAGTATGTGATCATATGTATTTTAGTTTACTTGATTTGTTACACGGATGGTTCTGTTTAGCCAGTTGCCATGCTATTTTACAAGAGAGATCTGTAGCACGTGAGCAAAGCAGCAACAAATACATAATACAAAGACGTAAATATTGCAGAGAAAGAGTACAGGGCCCTTAGCTAGATTTTTAGCAGTCATAAATAAAACACACACACAAATCAAAACATGGTGTAAGCAAGCAAGTGCATGAACATGTGCTTGTGTATGAAGAATTATTTGCTTTGCAAAACACACATCTAATGTAAATGCCACACCTACTCCACCATGAACTAGGCTCCACGGAGCAGCTTACACCAATCCCATGACAATTGTGCTATCAGAGATGCCATGGGATGAAGAAATTACAACTGGAATCCTTGCAGCGATCAGCACAGCACCTTGTATCAGAGTACAACACTGTAAAACATCAATATTTATCCTGAATTAAATTGAAGAGGCATTTGTATCGACACCACAAGCACACCATGGCAATTATTATTTTTTACGTTTAGATATGGAATACGCTGAAGTACGTAAAAAAAACACAATTTAAAATGATTAGGTTTTGTTGACCATGGAATAAACCTATCAATGCACTCCACTTGAGAACTCAAGAGCAGCTAAAAACCCAGTCGAATTTTTATTATTATCAGATTTTACAGTTAAAGTGTCCTGAGAAGGCATTTACACCCTCAGCCATCCCGCCCACCTTGTGAAAACAGTTCCTGACCACGGCAACCCATCGCTCGCCGCTCGACACAAAACTCCTCTCTCACCTCGGCCGTGCTGGGGTCAACCGTCTTGAGCAGGTCGGACACAGCGGACGCCAGGCCTCGTGCTGCCTGCATCAGGTCCTGCCCGTTGGCCCCCTCATCGTCGAGTAGTGCAGCGAGCAGACGCACGCCCTTCGACATCTCCGTCAGGTTGGACGAGATGGTGGTAACGGCACAGCCCACGGCCGTGTAGTCCGTGTCTGCGGGGTCTCCTGGGTGGCAGCAGTGGCGACAGCACATTCAGAATCCACCATGGGTCACCAACAGGTCTACGATATTGGCACGGAGATCACCGGTGGTCACGAATTCTTGGAAATGGCTGCAGAAGTGCACAAGTTAAATTCCGCATTACTGTGGCAAGGCCAGTCTTTCCAAAGGAGAGACCCTGTTTGCTTCTCACAAAATGGTCTTCTCTTTATGGATCTCGGAGGGATAATGGACTGCCTTAAAATGAATATTAACATGTAAAATTATAATAATACTAATAAAGACATTCTTTACAGAACTGTCAATCCACTGTTGGATGAAGGCCTCCCCCACACCACGTTGCTTCGTGGGGATTGTTTAAGCGTGCTACACAACGCCACTTGATGAGAGGAACACCCTTGAGATTGCCTGAAATGCAATGTTAACATTGCATTTGTTAGCACTTCTTTTTCCAATTCAGGCAACACCCAAGTGTTGCTTATATGGATTGACTGTTTGCTTAAAGAGGATCACTGCTGTCCAATTGAAACAACAGCTATACCAATCCGGGTGGAGTGTTGGCACAGTGGTTCACATACTGTGTTCTGAACCCGTTGACCCGAGTTCCATTCCCAGCCACGGATAACATCAGTGACGAGTGAATAAATGAACTGGTCCTGTGTCTCCTCCCCTTGGCCTAGCCTCCCCTTCATTAATCCACACTAACCAGCGTGAAGAAGTGTGGTTAAACAACCCAACACGACCGAAACAATGAGGAGAGGCCTTCACACGCAAGTGGAAATGACGAATGGCTGTGATTTTCTTTATTACATATGTTTTACACGCACCTGGGTAGAGTGATGAAATGCTGTGACATCATACGGCACAAAACCGAGATGCTTACAACAGCAACAAACCACCTATCAAGTACCTGCGGTGAGGTTGACGACGGAAGCCGTGTGAGCGGTGATGGCGTCCACCTGCGAGTGGATTTCATGCTTGGACTCGTCCATCTTGTTCCGACGCCACGACTGGGATTCCTGCAAGAAGCCGCACCTTGAAAAGACGCCAGTCCTCTCACGTTGTGAGATGAACAACGTTATTTGAAAAGTGACCCTTTTCCTGTGTAGTATATTTGCATACACACACAAATTGGAGGAAACAGTTCAGGCTTCAACTTAAAAAAATAAATTCCACACAAAATTACCAACGTGTGTTTTCTTTGATATGCTTAAAAAAAATGTTACGTACTATGAAAATACAAGGGCGCAGATGAATGTAAAGTAATTTTCTATGCGTATATATTTTAAAAACATATATATATACCATGTTGACAAATTTACCAACATACCATGGCATGTAATAAACAGGTAGTGGGATATGTTTAGCACATGTATGTAAATAGAAAAATAGGTTGGCTTGGGCAGGACACGTCATGAGAAGCATCTACGGGCGATGGTCAAGTTATTACGGGATGACAGCCGGTGGAGTGACAGCCAAGGAATGGAGTGGCAGCCAACGCGCGCCGAGAGGGCATCCACCAAAGAGATGGAGTCATGAAATTAGCTTGTGTGCAGGTGCTGAGTGGATTTTTAGATCGCAGGGTCGCGGGAAAAAGTGGCCGGTTAGGGAGGTCTTCATCCTACAGTGGATTGACCATGGCTGATGATGAATAAACCTGTTGCTTTACTAAGCTTTTTTTTATATTTTACCAGGTAATGCCCACTGAGCTATATAGCTCTCTTTTTCAGCAGCGACTTGGTTGCCACAAATGATAGCCCAACGAAGTTGATTATCATGACGTGGATATTATAGCAGCCAAATACTCTATACGCGTGTTGATTCTAAGTGTGGAGGGAAAATCCGGAGGAAAAATCAACACAACCACGAGGAGAACATGCAAACTCCAAATATACAGCAGGCGTCAGGGTTGGGATCGAACCCACTGCCTCCTGTATACCAGGCGAGGAAGTTAAAATCTCACCACCATGGCACCCCTAATATGACAGAGTCAGGGGTTTTAGAGGCAAAGAGTCACTCTGAACGTGTGACCAATTGAAGTATCGTTTTATTTAACCTGTGGATGAAATAAAACCCATTCAGACACATGAAACAGTGCCTCTTTTGCAAGGGTGGGGTATAGTATAACGTTACCCCTGACCACAAGGAAAATCATCTCTGTGTTGTGGGTGTGCGCTGCTTCGCGAGACCCACGATTGTGGGCTTGTGGCGTTGTCAAGTGAAACCACTAGATTTGCTTTTAAATCGATCTACATTTCCTTCCGTATGTCCTATCCAAGTGCCCGCCACTTTCATTCAAATGGCAATGCTCACCAAGCTCCAAACAATTGCGACCACAAACACTCACCTAACACAAAACTAAAACTTAAGTGTGAGGTTTTAAATTAAAATTAAATGTTGTAAAGCAATTTTGTCAATCCACTGCTCACTGAAAGGAGTCAGTCAAAGGGGTCGTTTGATCATATTTCACCACGCTGGTCATTGTGGGGTGGTGAAGGGGGTAAGTGATGAATGCTTGGAGTCAATGCCGAGTTTGTGAAGTGTTAAGGTTAGTTCTGTTATTATAAACAGAAATCAGTCAATTATTGTTATCAATAACCAACAAAACAGATGTTTTTTTTTATTTTACCAGGTAAGGCTCACTGAGCGATGTAGCTCTTTTTCAGAAGCCATCTGGCCACAAATTATAACTCAATAAAGTGGCTTATCACGTGGAAATTTATAGCAACCAAATACTCTAAAAGGCATGTTAATAAATGTGGAGGGAAAAAAAGATGACCCGGAGAAAAACACACGCGACCACGGAGAGAGACAGACACCGCAAACTCCAAATATACAACAGGCGTTAGGGTCGGGATCCAACCCACAAACCTCCTGCATACCAGGCGAGGTAGTTAACATCTCACCACCTTGGCGCCCCTCTCGCCACTGTGTATGTCAATTAAATTTCCTGACGGCTATATCTGTATCGGTCTCAATAAAGTAAACGATGATTTGTATTGAAGATAATCACTAATAGTGTAATTGACATTTTTTTTTATTACTCTCAATTAAAGTCATTGATGACCATTGTCATAGTTTACAAACTGATACAAAGAAAATATAACGGGAAACATATCTCAGACAATGGCACATGTGCAAAAGTGATCAAGTGGTCCAATTATCCTGGCTTTGCAAAACGTGCCTTTAAAGTGCTGTCGCAAAGGATCCTAATTAATTTGCTTCGTACATTCGAGCACTCGCAGACCTTAGCGAGTGTAACGTAGCAACGGCTGAAAGGGTGCGTCTTCAACGTGTCGTGCTTTAACATTTACGCGCGATAATTGTGCCAAGAGCGTTATCTCCCTCACTTCCGACTCGAGTTCGGTCGTTTATAAGAATGTGCGTGGGCCTGCAATTGACACACTGCACTGTGCTAAAGTCGCTTTCGCGTTCATGCATCCAAGCAGGGTATAGATTAGGGAGGGCAGGAGGTGGGCGGTGCGAATGGGGGATACTCACAGCGTCGTCGCCAAGGGGCGGCAGGGAATCCATGTCTCCCAGGTCCCCGTGTGCCTGCTGCACGGCCTGCATGCTGGACGTTATGGTGCCCACAAGAGCCTGCTGCGCTGAAGACTGCACATGTACGCAGGCATGCGCGCACGCACGCACGCACACGTGGGCAGGCAGGCACAACATTAACATCCGCTTGCCAGTCTCACATGGGCAGAGGTGGTAAAGCTGTTATTAAACAGCAACTGTTGTATAATAATGTTGCCTTCACCGATTTTTTTTTTCGATCCTGCCCCACTCAGCATGAGCTCCAACGATGAGAAAATATTACTTAATCTGGGTCTAACTATGATGCGAATCATGAAAAAATAAAAATCATGCTGCACAAGCAAAAATGATGTGATTGGCTGGAATGAGGTCGTACAGACTTGACAGCATTGTTAGGGGCAAACGCGTCGAAAATTAAGAAAACGGTGGCCGATTTTTTCGGTGGGAAGTTGTACAAAAGAATTACAAATAAAAGCACGTTCCAGAGATCATTATTACACGTCCCCTAATTTAAGCAATTATTTGCCTATATCCCCTGCTTAGCTCGTGCGCGCTGCTTGGGAAGGGCCATTTATGCAGGAGCAGATGGTTGGCTCTCGAGCCTATACCAGCCCGTAAAGTATTAATGATGAAATATATGGGCCGTGACTGACTATAACGGCTCAATAAAGTGCAACTGTGCTGCAAAACAAAAGCGACAAAGTTTGTAATATTTCACTGAAGCTGCCATGGAGAATTTGGAAGCTAAAACAAAAAGTCACGTGCAGAAAAGTTTCTTAATTGACCACCAACTGAGAAGCAAAGCACATGAGGCAGTAGTCACACGGGGGCAAGCAGCATTTTCCTTATCACCTTTGATATCTCTGCCAGTGTATTCATCATTTACAATGGGGCAGGCGACAAACGTTACGAGCCAAGTTTACATGCAGGAGGCCCATGTCCTGGTAAAGTTATCACTTTCTGCCCATGTCCAGAGCTGAGGAGTTATAATCAGGTCATCGGGGGCTGCAGTGCAGTTTGCAAGTGACATTACGAATTCACCAACATTCCTGCGTTCATCACCCTAATATAACATAAAGTGGAAAGCACTGTTGGTGAGCACCATAGGGGCAAGGGCTGTTAGTGAAGGCCGGCATGGAACACGACCATCTTTGACTCCCCAGTGCGGATGGTTGTAAACTGCACCAGGCACTCACTTAAGGCCAAGTTAACCTAGGCGAGGCCTAAGACAGATTTGTATGCCAGTTGTCATGAATGTGCTTGGTGGGAAATCAAACCCAAGTCACTGGGATCGTAACGTAGTGTGATAAATTGTGCACCAAAGAAAAATACAAAAATCCCCCGTATAGCCTTAACAGACTGTAGGAGCAAGTGCTGTTAGCGAGCCCGAGTGCACTGCACACACACACGTGCATGCGGCTTGTACATTCTAAAGCTCACATTTAATTATATACTCAATCGTCAACATCACTCAATCATTGAAAAGGTGAAAAAAATCCATTCAAGTATACTTCGCAAATTGTCTTTCAAACATTATTGGGAAATTGGACAGTGATGAAGAAACACATTTTTATATATATACCCTGGCTGTATGTAGTCTGTCCTGTCCTCTTGCAATTAATGTTTACCGTAAACAGTCCCAGATTGAACTCACTAAATTTACATAATTAGTGCTACACTTTTGCAAGTAATTGGCTAATATTAGCAAATACAAGGTACTGTATTGCCTTCATGTCCTTCCTCGTAACAGAATGTACCTGACAGTCTGGTGACTGATGCAACATATTAACCCTTTCCCATTCCAATGATGTACACGTACAGGATCGTAAGTAAAAGGCCATGCGGGAGGGCAAGTGGCACAGCTTGGAGCCAGCTATCACAGAGTGCGGTTGTGTCGCTACGGTTCTCTGCGGTGACTACTTCTCTTAAAACAGTGGCGCTATGCCTCGCTAAATAAAATTAACGCAAACCGCTTGCGCATTCCGGGATACAGCGGTAAACGGGATCCACTCTGCAACTTGGAAACGTCTCGGACCGGGCAAAGGGTTAATATAAAAGATTACTTTCATCCAATCAAGACAATCTTAGCTATCGGAGCGGCCGCACTCACCAGCGGGGGCATGTGGCCCTTGTGCATCTGTCCGCTGGTGACCTGCTGCTGGGCCACAGGCATCATGCCCCAGTTGACGGTGTCCGGCCCACCCGCGCCCGGCCTCATGATGGCCGGCAGCGCCACGGAGGCATGCTCCACCTTGCCCACGCGGTTGTACTGCTGCTGCAGGATGGTGGACCTGAAAGGAACAGCGAGCGGTGGAGAGGGACCCGGGGTTAAGCGGGAGAGGGAGGTGGACTACAAACAGCGTGAGTATTTCCTCCTGAGGCATGCGTATGCTAAGCATTGGGAGAGTTACTTCCGTAGAGTAATCAGTTTCTGATTGCTCATTGCTCGAGGTTTTACAAGCAACCGTTATGAAGTCCTGTGTTTGGCATTTTGCAACCGAGAGGAGGTCAACTGTGGAGGCGGAGAAAATGTAATCAGCTGGTGTGCAGATGCTAGGTGGATTGTTACATCGAAGGAATGGGCAAAGTCAGTGGTGGATTGGGGAGGCCTTCATCCAGCAGTGGATTGATAATGGCCGATGATGATGACTGCAATGTAATTGTGGGGAAATAATTGGTTATAGTTAATTCCGAACTCTAAATCAATTACCAGATTCTGTTGCCGAGAATCTCTTATTACGCTATTTACGGTGTATAACTGGATCACCGCTACTTAACATACAACAGATTATTATATTTCATGATAAATTACAATTTTTTTGACAATGACACAAGGATTCCAAAGGCAATTAAAAGGTAGGCGTGGTCACGTGAGCAGCTCACTCGGGTGAATGTGAGGACAGTAGCGGCCAGCATACAAAATCATTCCACAAAGTCTACGGTCAGAGTATAGGGCTGTAATTTTAGAAGCATAAGTGAACCTGAAATTGTTAATTCGAAGAAAGCATTGTGAATTCATGATGTGATCTTTATATCACGCTTGCTGTTGTTCCCAAAATAACCCAGCCTCATGACCTCAAAATAACCCAAGTTACAAAAACGACCATTCCCCCCCCCGTCCCCCTTTCAATTGTTGTGGTAATGACTAGCTATTTTTTGTTACGTTGAATTGAATCATAAATTAATCAGCCAGAAGATGGAAATAGTATTTGACTGCACACGCAAAGAGGAGCATTATATTTTTACCGAGTGGAATTACCCAGTTACCTGCCTCCTTTGGTAGTCTGACGGCATAAATGAGTTAATTATAATGCGTCCCTTGTGATTGACACACTCGAGGTTCGCGATTTCCTGTGCTTCATCCCACTCGCCGCAGTGCACAGCAAGGAAAAGCGAGTCTGGGAATTTAAGTACAATATGAAATTACAATGTTATGAAACCCATTTATCTAAGTGGCTCTTGCAATTCACGAACATTGCCGGGGCACCTCTCAAAGGCAGTGTAGAAACCCACGGCAAAGTGTCTCTCTCCTCAAACAAGCAAGAGGGCACAAATTCTAGATTTGAAGCTTTCGTGACTGCAAGGATCCATACTCTTTGGTTCTATTCGGTAAAGTCAGGTAAAGAGGGCACCCTTAATTCCTGTTGGTGGCTCAAAGCACATGGTGGAAAATACACATTTTCATCGCAGGGGCCAGTATCTACAATAAATTAGTACCCCCTTTTTTATTCGATACCAGTGAGATGATGGGCCAAAATTAGTCAGATTGTGATGTGTACCTGAGCTGTTCTTTGAGCCGAGTGTTTTGAGCAGTGTTCTCATGAAGCACGGTGGGTGTTTATCTTTCAATCAAAGTCACACGTGAATTTCTTCCACTACAAAGCAATCTCCTGATATATTTAGGATGTGCATGGCTCACGGTTAGATTATTTTTTTTCTCCACAGTACAATCCACCCCCAGATTCTCCAGCCGTGTTCACAGCCACTGCCGGCACTCCAGCTGAAGCAAACCGATGCGCTTATCGTGACATTTTTAAGCCCCTTTAAGTTCAATGTCGCTGGCAAATATGCCTTGAAGTACTTCACTATATTTTTTTGTTAATTAGCATTTTTTGAAACAACAACACAGGCCCATAACAACGCTTTAGGTGACAGAACCGGACGGGGACAAACGCGGGGCCCTCAGACCTGGGGTGTGGGGGGGGGGGGTATACATCTGTCGCCTCTTTCACACAAAGGAATTGCGTTGGGAAGCCAATGTGCTTTTATCTGGGTGGGGGAAGGGATGGTAAGGGAAGAAGGTGGGTGGGGGGGGAGTACATTCAACTTACGGAGGGGTAGTCGCAGGCCTCCAGGGGAAACAAGAGTCGGGGGTATGAAAGGGGGGGGGGGGGTGGGGGCTGGGGGATCGCGCTAAAATAAAATAACACATAAGTGCGGTGGTCGTACGTCCACGTTCCCTCACCACCTGCCCGAAAGTCGCCCTCGACGGGACAGTGAGGGGGTTAAATAGCGCTCTCCCTCAGCCACTGTCCCCCAGCCCCCTTGACTGATTCATTCAATTCAGGTGTTGCACTAAATGGGACCATTTGAAGTACTTCACTATTTTAAACAGTGTGGCTTTTTTTTTAGATGAAGTATTTTCTTTCAGATAATAATACCCCAATTTTTGATGTAATACATTTTTTCCATTACTTATTTTTTTTTCTCCCTGAAATTTGATGCAATGTGTTGGGGGCAGTGGACATGGCCCAGCAGCAGCACGTTCGCAGCTTATTGCAGAGATTCGCTGTTCAATTGCAACGGGCCGCCTTGGTTAATACACTCACTCACTGCGTTAACCGTAATATATGCACCGTCTGTTTCACTTGTGGACATTAAAGATCCTTCTTCTTCATATTATTCTCCATCTTCTTCTTCCGTACGGCTGATGGGAGATGCCAGAGCAACAACTGACAATTTCACATTCAGGTGGCCAAGCCAGACAATTGCGTCAGGAGAAGCGGAGTTGTATCGCTGTGATTGTCTCCTTCATATTTATGGATTTGGCATTGCATCATTGTGAGTTGTATGGTCTGTTCTGGATGGATACCATCGCAAATTGGAGAGTTTTGAATATTCCATTTGTGCATTAGGTATAGAATATTTGTCATTTAATTCGAATAAGCGTAGCTCATTATGTGCTGGCATAATAGTCCAAATGTTCCAAATAAATAAAAAACTTACTCGGAAATGTCTTTATTTGGAAACACATAAATCGTTGCCCTCCCCCTACTGCAAACATTTAAAAAGCTCCTTCTGAAAAAGAGTTTCGAGACTCATTGAGGCTTTGCTGGGTAAACAGATTTTACATTGAGTGAATAATACATAAAGTCTGAATTTTATAAACAACACATTTAAACAGTGCTAAAGACATACTTTTTGGGCGAGACGGATTCTTCGAGCATCGTAGATTCCTCATCGCCCTCCAGCCCAAACCTGTCCTTTGCTTGTTTCTGTCAACAAAAAAACTAATTTAAAATATAATAAAAATAACCTTTTTCACTTTGCCATCTGCTCACAGTTCAAGGTTGACAAAACAAATGCAAAAAAACATGCCTGGGGTATTCAGCTATAGCTGAACACTTTTTCCCTATAATCAAGCTGGCTTCACCCAGGTGAACACTATATTTTGTGCAATGAAGCCCACCCACGAGGTATGTTATCGACCAACAGAAATAAACAGGTACTTTTGATTGCCTAGAAACTTCCGTTTTGAATTCCCTTCAACAACAGCCCATTGGGATCATTCACGAATGCGAGTAATAAGGTTTCACCTCTTTTGTTCACAAGAACCAAATCATAAAGAGCCATCTATGCTGGATCACAAGTCAAACGTGCCCATCGTCGCGCTCACCTTTTTGAGGATGATGTCAATGTATCCAGCAATGAGCTGGGAAATTTGCTCGCCTTCTGTCGTCTGCACTGAGTAGTATCCCACTTGGTAGTCGCCAAAGTCCTGGAGTGCACGCACAGACACACGCACGTGCATGCAAGCACACGCAATAAAGACAAATGTCACGGAGGGGGAAATTTGGAGGACGACACTGTATACGAGCCGGTAGCATTACTTTTGCCTCCACAGTGTCCATGTTTAAGTACTAATTTCGGGCTGAGACGACCAACAATGCACAAACTAACACTTGATTGTGATGTATGAATGACTGGGAATTTAACCCAGGTTTGTAGATCATAACAGTGTTTAAACTCTCAACACTGCCAACTCTCATAAGTCATATGCAAAGATCCCCCATATAGCCTTAAACTTGGGACAAGTGCTGTCCCGAGTGGTGATGTTTATACACCGCACTAGGAAATCATTTGAGGCTGGGTCGATCATATAATCGTCACTGGTATTGGCCTTGAGCGGAAATCAAACTCGGCTCTCCGGGTGCCTAGTGCAGCGCGTTAACCACTGTGCCACCACTCCCCTCATACATACACACTCACACAAACACAATGGTTCACACACTCTACGCTTCATGCTCACGATGCTGCCTATGCTCTTTGCTCCCCAGGAGTGCTTAAGTAGATAAAATGAGACTATGAAAGTATTTTCAGAAGTCCTTTCTCATGCCATATATCACTTTAGCCAACTGGCTTGTGTAGGAGGCTTAATTACCATCTTGTTTGAGAGAGTAACCATCCAGCACACTAGAACCAACAATATCAAAAAGCCTGCAGGCTTTGCTCACACACAATCATCACAGCTTGGGACACGTGACCCCGTGTATTCAGGAAAGTCATCACGCCACACTCTGTATTAATACACTGCCAGTGTTAACGATGCTTTGCAGTGTTCCCCGCTGTGCTACGTGGAGCCAGAGACTTTGTTTGGCAAAGCTGATTTTTACGGGCATGTGAGAATGTGAGAGCGAGTTTACCGAGTCCATCACACGTAGCGCAGCCAATGAGGCTGTGAATGTATTACACTCATATCCTGACTCAAGCAAGACAAAGGACTTTCTCTGCTGTTCTACAAATCTAAGCCCCTCTTACAGAGTTAAGCCATTGGCCAAATCATTCACCTATTATTTTTAACCATGCAATGAAATGTTAATTATGGTGATGTAGTTTTTTTTGGCTGTAATTGAAAATGGTGCAGTTGGGATGGATAGCCAGTGGTGGGAGATGTGTCAACATGTCGACAACGTAAAAGTAATGCTTCTCACAAATCGAACAAGGTCACCCCAAGATGTGCGTGGCACATTGTCACAGCAACTTTAAAGTGTGCAAGACATGAGCTGAACTAGTTCTAAGCCCAATATTAAATTTTATAAATTTCCCCACAACTTTACAACTGGGTCTAGGTCCCAAAGACCCGGGATATTGTCTGGAATAACCCTTTGTGGAGGATGCTAAACCATGAGCCTCGTATCAAAGCGGGCCACAGTTATAATGTTGCTGTTCGTTATTGTCCTTTCTCAAATGTTGTTTTATCAATCACGGCTGAAACTAGGGCACCCCAAAATTTCATTTTTAAAGATAACATTGTACCTTGACCCTAACCTTCTGATTTCACCGAGAACCCTGCACCGTGAAGGTTTGGCCTCCTTCAGTCAAACACTAGGCCGAAGGAGGTGAACAGATACAATAAATCATGATCAGGATGTGTACAAAGAGGGGCTGGGAGGTGAGTGCACAAAATGGGATTGGGAAAGAAGGGAAAAAGACCACGCACACAACTAGGTACGATTCTGCACCTCCGGTTAGCACGGTTGGCTACGTAACGATGCCTTAGAAATTCAACGTACACACACACACACACAAAGAAGTTCAACCTACACGTACACACACATATACGATTCTGGTACAGAGAAGGTCTGGCACGCCTTTTAAGTGCAGTGGAAAACCCCGTAACCGTGCACGAGGATCACGAGGTAAGATTTACGCACGAGAGTGAAGCTCTTGGGGGAGGCGGCCCAGCGCTTGACGGTGGTAAGCGGCCACTCCTGCATCACCTCCTTGGTGCGCTCGTCCACACGCAGCACCGACTCCTTGGTGACGCCCAGTAGGCGAGGCACCAGCTTGTTCTTGCTCTTCATCTTTTCCTGGGTGACAAAAAACGCGGGCACAGGTAGCAACGTGAGCACGTGAGCCGATGGCAGAAGCACTCTTTACTGCATCAAAAGTCGTAGGGACGTCTCCGCTGAAATCCCACGAACTTGTGTTTCATTGGCAGCCCTGAGCTGGTGTTCATTTCAACGATGTGGAGGCTAGTGTCTCCTGTGCCAGGCACAAGATGGTCAAGGTAATAAGATAAATGTGCAGAGAAGCAATTGCCTTCCCATGGCATTGCTGGTAGAAGGGCCTCCACTCGAGGGAGCTCTATAGAGGCCTTCTACAGGGTATTTTGGTTATTTTCCCGAAAATGCGATGGTGGTGAACACACACAATCCAAGAATTGTAAAGGTAAGGGTTGGCGGTTCATGCAGATGTACAACTTGGACTGTGAGGCGGCCATTAGATGCCAGAACGGAAAATGGGTTTATATAGACCTGTGGAGTATTTTGAGTTTTATCCCCTCGCATGCGTGGGTATCCTCCAATTACTACGATGTCCTCTTGTACGAAGAATGCTCTGTAACCCTTTCCCATTCCAATGACGTGCATGCTTTTCTTCCAATTCCATTCCGATGATGTAACACCGCACAACACTTGTTGGAAGGAAAAGGGACAATTTGACTCTGCCGTTAGAGTGTCTTAAATTGAGCTTTTAGTATTTACACATAACCTGAATAAATTCCTTAAGAACCATGCACACTCACAGACTCAGCCACTTGCTCACACACAGATGGACGATAAAAAAATTGCACACGTACACAGGATGTGCACACACACTCAAGCAAACTGGCTGGCACTGCACAAGACTAATACCTGTAGTCAGACAAATGTTTACAAGACCAAAAGTGGCATCCAATGTCAATCCAGACTGCTTGACTCCACAAGCTGGCAGCGAGAATATTCATACAGTTTACATAAATATGCTAAACTGTGGCTAGAACAATTTGGTGCATCGTGGAAATAAATTGTGATTTTATTCTTTATTTGTCTTAAAAAAGCAGAGAAACAAAACCAAGACAAACATTACATCCCAGGCTGGCCATCTCCCAATCCCAACTCAATAAATGTCAGAAGCTTGCTCCTTTCTTCTATTCATCAGTATAGACTGGCATCTAAACTAAGCAACTTATTTTAAAGTTTTTGTTACTTCCCAAAACTTCACTTGTCATATTGGGCATGTATCTACATTAATTATTATGCATAGAATCAAATTGGCATAATTTATTTCTGGTGTAAAAACCCCATAATAATATAACATACTTCCAGCCTGAAGGCACTTGGGCAGTGGCCAACTCACATCTAAAAGTCCTACTTAACCCATTATTCATCCATTCAGGGTGAATAAAACAAGTAACACTGTGGTAATTCACCACTGAGGTGTGACATGACACAGAAGTCGGCTTTTCATTGCTCGCTACACAAGAGCCGATGTCTGCTCGTGGTTACTGCACCGGGCTGGCGGGCAGCTGGGAGACCGTTTCTCACCTTCACGAGGAAGAAGGACACTCCGTAGGTACGCAGCGAGCGAGCCAACTTCACGTACTTGGACTTGGCCGTGATCTCATTGAACTCGCCGCACTCCTTGTGAGCCTGCCCCAGGATAAACCAAAGAAGTGACACGTTCACTCGCACATCCCCTCCTAAACCAAAACAATAACGGTAAACATCACTTCAGCCGTCACAGTTCCTTGTTATTCAGATCGTATTTTTTAAGGGGCATCCATGGCAAGATGCTTGCGACGCAACAGCGGCCAGATGGCACTGGTAACACACGACTCCACTCGCAAGCGGAAGGTTGCGAGTTTAAAACCAGAGTCAAAGGTTGACTCAGCGCATCATCTTCCTGACCCAACACAGTGAGTGCCGGTTTGTAAAGAACTGACATTGCATGTCCTCTGGATAGGCTCGCCCATGCGAAGGGAATGTGCAATTTCCACCACTGGTTCAGGGCTGGCCAGGGAGATGAACGCTTCCTCATTGCTTATTTACATGTGGAGGCACGATGACTTTAACTTTGACTGATAGGTAAAACAAAGACGATACAATTGACGTGTATGCAAGCAAATAACTAGAGAAAAAATGGCAGCATGTGTGCATAAATCATTAAGTAAAATAAATAGCGTTTTCATATTAATTCGTAACGGGGCCAATGGCTTGTGAAGGCAACCTACCACAGACATAAACAAATACCTAAACCGATTAGCACGGTTGGCTACATACAGTGCGAAAGAAGTTCAACATACATACATCCCAACAGCGACGCAATGATGTCTGTTAAAATAAAATGTGGATTTTCATATCTCAAAATATGGCTCACATCTAAAATGCAGTGTTATTGTGCTATTATATTCTTCCAGGTCATTAATTCATTTTCAGCGCTGGAGGGAAAAACCAGAGGACCTGGAGAAAATCCATGGGACCATGCAAACTCCAAGAATACAGGCATCAGGGCTGGGATCGAACCCACACACTCCTGCATACCAGGCGAGGTAGTTAACATCTCGCCACCGAAACTCCCCATGCTTACTTCGGATTGTGACCTAAGCCTGTATATATATTTTTGTAATCTAATTATCTAAAATCACAATCGTATTACTTGCTTACTGTCAGGATTACTTTATTCATATTGACACACATCCTGTTGAGTTAACACCCATGATGCTCAGTTTAACACGTAGGCTTTCGCGACCAATATTATTCATAATAAAGGTTTTTGGGTTAGATCGCGTTTATTTATAAATGTGTCGTAACCCTCCACCACCCGACACGGCCAATCAGCAAAAAAAAAGTGTCACGTTGACAAAAGACAAATAATTCACTACTTCAGCCCACCGGTGTGTTGAAGAGTTAATCCACATTTACAGTTTGAGTACGACGTTTCGCTGGTAAATACTTCCAGCATCATCGGGCAATTCGCCAGAATTCGCCAGAATTGCCCGATGATGCTGGAAGTATTTACCAGCGAAACGTCGTACTCAAACTGTAAATGTGGATTAACTCTTCAACACACCGGTGGGCTGAAGTAGTGAATTATTTGTCTTTTGTCAACGTGACACTTTTTTTTTTTTGCTGATTGGCCGTGTCGGGTGGTGGAGGGTTACGACACATTTATAAATAAACGCGATCTAACCCAAAAACCTTTATTATGGACCCATGATGCTGTCGATTACACAAGATGTTAGAGAGTCACATCGATGCATTGCGGTGTATAGATAACTTTTACTAAATATTTTCATCACAGTTTATTTGTTACACGGAAAGTCCCAATTAGCCAGTTACCCAGTTAGTACGCAAGGGAGATCAGTGGTGCATCAGCACAGAATAACGTTAAAGTGATCCGTGCGGGGGAAAAGGCACCAATGGAATAGAACGCGTCAAAGATACACACAAAAAAAGTGCCAAAAGAAAAAACAACAATAATACCAAAAGAAACTGGAAATCAACACGTAAAGGGATGTGATTAAACCACACACCTTAAATTTGATCATTACTTTGAGGGGGAAATATCATACCTGAAAAATCTTCTTTTCTGATCCTTTCTGTTTGACATACTCCTTGGGCAAAAACTCCTTTAAACTGAAAAGACAAACACCATCTAATAAGAAACACAGACTAACATATCAAACATTCTTATATAAATACTTAGACATCACTTTCATGTTAAAATATTCGGCCCATTGACATTGTCATCAGACCCGCTTGGCCTATAACTGGACAGTGGCAAGTTTAAATTCTACCAGAGGGTTTAAAAGCTGACTACCACCGTTTGAATAATCAAAAGTGGTCATCCTATGGAGAGCCTGGCACCCAATAAGGAAATGTGAAATTCCCCACAAATTATTCAGGGCCTCTTACATATATGAGCACCACTGCCCCATACCCACTTGTTTTCACTTTTTAAAACCAATGTACAGCTGCAGATAGCATTTGTTCTTAAAAATGTAAAAGTGTGCAGGAAATTATTTTAGCAGGTAAGGCCCACTGAGATATACAGCTCTTTTTCAGAAACGGTCTGGCCACAAATGATAGCTCATCGAAGTGGCTTATCACGTGGACATTTATAGCAGCCAAATAGTCTAAATACATGTTTCTAAATGTGGAGGAAAAAACCAGACCTGGCAAAAAAAATCCGCACAACCACAGGGAGAACATGCAAACTTCAAATATACAGGCATCATGGTCGAGATCCAACCCATGACCTCCTGGATACCAAGGTAGGTAGTTAAAATCTCACGAGGTGCAGAAAAAATGTGGGTGCCAAAATATATCCTGGCATCAAAATTCTACAAAAGGAGTGAACTTCTATGTATATACAATGGGATTATAGCACTTAAATATAAATGTGTAATAACAATCATGTTTAAGCAGCTTAATTTATTCAGCTCTGCCGTATTAACACTTTTTGTTGGGGAAATGTAATAAGTAATTTCATTAAAAGTTGCCATCCTAATTTGCATCGAATGCTTAAACATTTTCGCTATTTTCTGACATCATCAACGATATACATGCACGAGGAATAAGGAAGAAAATTAACATTCCCTTTTTGTTATGCATAAATTGGCATGCACAAGTTTCAGACATATAAATAACTGCACACGCTAATATGATTATTAAACACTGCACGTTTTAATATAGAATTGTTTTGGCATTCATTAACCATGAATAATAAATAGGAACTTAATACATCTAATTAAGAATCGTTAAAACACATAGATCATTTGCATTGACAAAATACCACAGCCCTCAAAATATCGAGCTGCAATGCTTAAGGAAATATTCAGATTGCGTTCCATTACTCTATAAGTTTGTTGATTGTCTGCTTGCATAACGACTCTCAAAGTTTGTGCACCATCCTTATTTATTCAGCGGTCTCAAATGCAGACAAAAGTAAAAACGATTAAGGCGTGCAGTGGGGTTTCGACATGCAAGATTACGTATGGTATAACGTGTTGAATAGGCCCTTGTCTACCGAAACGCATAAATGTTTTACTTTATATTCTTCTGTAGTGAGATCAACTGAGTCACAGACGTACTCTTGGAGGCAACAGATTTATTTAACACCAACAAACGAGGTAACTGCCCCTTAACAACCTATGGTGGTAACCACCAGGCTAACTACACTAATTACATCGTCACCGCTACTACGGACCGGGACCACAGCTCAGGTCCAGGTCCACGTGTTGGAGACTTGGAGAACGTAGAACATAGACGAAGGTTTCTTCAGGATGAGCAACAACGCCGGTCCCTCTGGGTACCCGGCTTATATTATCTGGACGTGGCTGGCTCCACCCTTGACCACGACCACCTTCCAGAATCCTTGAGCAGGATCTGGACCCCGATCACGTGACCACCCCTAGCCCCCACCTGGGGCACCTTTGTACACTTAACCGGTCACGTGTCCTCTCGGGTCAACCAGAGTGCCATGGCCTTTAGTAACCTCATTCCTACGACCAGCACTCCCACACCCTATCCTGTAGGGCTGGCACTCCACACCAAGCGTGGTGCCATCCAGTGCTATCAATCAGTGCTGACCGAGCCCCTCTAGGGCCGGTACTACACCCACACCATAGTGGTGTCTGTGATGTCGTTACATCGCACGCTGTGACTCTCTAGGGCCGGCACTACACCCACACCATAGTGGTGTCTGTGATGTCGTTACATCGCACGCCGTGACTCTCTAGGGCCAGTACTACACCCACATCATAGTGGTGTCTGTGACGTCGTTACATCGCACGCCGTGCCTCTCTCGGGCCGGCACAACATAGTGACATCCTGCAATGTCACTACACCTCTGTAAGTGAATGTATTTTTGTAGTCGTATGGAAATTATCAGTACATAATACCCATGCTGTCATGTGTTTGTAATTAATCCAACGACGTGGCATCGTGGTTGTGGATATTTGACGCACACAAGTTCACATGCTGGTTCAGGGGTCAGAGCAACAGGCCTCCATGGGAATTAAATGAGTACCACTTTGTGAGAAGTCAACGGTGGCTTGTCTTATTAACAGACAGTGGTCGCCCATAGGAATGTGGAATTTTCACCAGGGCTGAAAATGTATAGCAGCACCACTTCATTATTTGTTTCAGCAGGATAGCATCACCATAATCATCGTCATCAACCATGACCAATTCAGTGCTGGATGAAGACCTCTCTCCAAGCCACTGCCATCTCTCAAAATCTCACGATGTGATAATCCACCTAACACCTGCACACGAGTCTATTTCATCTTTTGAAGGCATTTGTTATGAATCCAAATCACATTGCGTTGTAGTGTGTTCTGCCTTAACTCAAATGGCTTCATACAATTGGCTTCAGACAGTGACCAACAATGCAACATTATACATTGGGGGGCTTTATTCTACAACCGACGCCATCTGAGAATAATCCACAAAATCTTGTCTGCAATGAATGGAATGCTTGAGTGACGTGCACATTGAATGGCCACTCACTGGATGTTGCCAGGCCTGTCTGGCTCTTACAAGCGCCCATGTTATATCATGCACATGGTGCTGTACTTGACGGCTGAGCCAATGCAGTGCATCGCTTGCAGTCTGCCAGGCAGGCTGCACACTAAATGTTTCAGGCTTTGCATGCATCATAAATACACTGGGAAAAAAGTATTTCTGAATGTAAATTATATATATGTTATCCAGCCAGGTTGTAGTGTGTTTAACAAACTAGTACGCCAGTTCGAATCCCGTTTGGGGGTGGCCAATCATTGCAACGTGGGTCATAAAAAGAGGATTATTTCACATGGCAGTCAATACAGATGTCCCTATAGCCAAGCATTCTTGAGAGCGAGTTAGGTAGCAGGGGTGGGCACCCCCAAAAAGCCTGATCTGTATCACGTGTTGGGCAGCGCAAACGTCTTGGCTAGAGCGCAAGCTGTGGTCGCTGGCAACGATGGCTAAAAATGTGCACTTTCCAACAAATGTGTTTTGAGTAGCTTCTTAATTGCAAGGGCTATCTTCACAAATGTGGCACTTCACAGTGGCAGAAAACACCTGGTTGTAGCAACCAGAAAATCAAATGACTAGCTCTGATAACATTTTCATGAGCAGATTCCTAAAATTATACCGTAGAAACACTCAACAAAAAGCTATAAACAACCTGGAGGTTAATAACACGTAATTTTACTTTGATTAAAAAAATAAATATATACAGCATATACATTAAATGCTATTACGTGAGCACGTGAATAGCAGTATGTTCATGATATGAATACCTTTTTTCATAAAATGTCCAAGAATTATGTGCATGTTTGCACAGAGCCCCCGGAAGATGCTACAGAACTACTTATAAATGCACATCAAGAAGCAAATTATTCATGCTCAGTGCTATACCTTTTAAGGCAAGGAAATCACACAAAAGCTTATAGTCCACAGGCCTTTACATGAGCTGAATTAAGTACAAGCTAAATTTGACATTATGGTATTTTGTGTAATTGCTGGTGACCAGGCTCATAACATGGACCTGTTATGCCCAAGACACATAGAAACTAAATTTAACACGTAGGCCTTTCATGACCAATATAATTCATAATAAAAAAATTGGGTTAGATCGCGTAAATGTACACGTGTCGTGAATCCACCTCCAACCGACACAGCCAATTAGTAAGGATGCCCCATACCAATTAGTTACTAAGTTAGCACACCGGCATGCTGGAGAGATAACCCACAAGATTTACTGAGAACCTGTTCCAATGCCGCGTGGCTGCTCCGATTCTCAGCAGTGCCGGGTGGTATTACTACCTGAGCCTGCTGGCCACTTCTGCTCCATTTCCATTTGATTTCTCTCAGCACATTCCAGACTCTTGTGTCACGAGACAGGAGATTTGAGATGAGCTGCACGGGATGTAAGCTTCAAAGATATAAATATGCTGGAGGATTTGACGCATGGGTAAGAGTCGCAAGCTATCGTTGGTGGAGGTCGGGGTTGGGTGCGAGTGAGGTCGCCTTACTCCAGGAAGCCAGCCTTGTGCTTGTGTTCCACGTGCGGCCCAAACTGAATCTGCGCCTGAATGCCGGCGAACTCGCACGCCTTGTCGTATGAGACGGGGTGCGAGCTGTTGAGGATGTCATCTCGAGCCTACACCCGGGCATGAGACGGAGCCACAAACACACACACACACATTCAGAATGTAATATGGGTCGAGGGATCTTTTATCAAAAGCAGTGCCTGAATTATAGGATGAATTGGTTACTCCTCAATAATCTGACCCCCTATCTTCTTAATCTGCATTGAAGGCATTGCTTGATAACTACTAGAACCACATTTGTGAATACTATTAGCAAAGCCCTTTTTGCAACCGGAACTTTAAAATGCTATTTTTGGAGAGCTTTAATTCAAACGATGAAAATGCAACTGTAACCCTTGCCATTATTAATGATATTTTAAATGCAATATGTGCATTTCTTTCATTAGTGTTATGTATGTTTTTTTGAGAATGCTGACTAGATTTCCATTGTACATAGTTCTGGTTGTTTATAATTTTTGCTCATCATAATTTATTATTATGTATTAGCCATATTTATAATATTGCTCTACTTTTGTTCTTCACAACTCCTGTAAACCCTCCCTTCCCATATATAGCATGCCAGCTGCTTTGGCCGGGATAAAGCTCAATCTTCCTTATTAAAAAAAAAACGGACTTGACCCACTGACATCAGTGCCACCACTCGCTTTCATGCCCATTATTGCCCATGCTTAGTCTCGATAGTTGCACAACGCACATTTGCAAGGCAGATTCAAGAAAGCAACTAAAGTGGTGGCTAAAAGCCAGTGTTTCTCTGCTCAAATGAGCAGGAGGTGGTGCTCATTTATGTTGACAGCTCTAGGCTAATGCTGCAAATTCCACACATGTGATCATGCTCTCCGTGGCCCAGTCCAATATTAACACGGCGCTGAAAACGCAACGGGTGTTGAAAGCCCTCATGTGAGTCGACTGAGCGCAACATCCCCCTCCCTTGCAACAAAATTATCCTCATTTTATCGTAAGTCAAAAGTGGAGACAGGATGCCCCTTGTTATGGGAATGTCATTTTAAAACGTTTGGTCAAGGCTATCCAAGGGAGATGAGTTTGGACGATGAGGGCTACTGGCTCGAGGAGGAAGACACTGCACGTGACATGAGATGCACAAAACGTAGAATGATTACCTGCACGTAGAGCAGATTGAGCTGAACAGGATCACGTGAATCCACATTCTGGTCCGAGTAGAAAAACTTGCGTCTCAGCAGTAGCGTCTCATTCTCCTCCACACCCTGCTCGCGTAGCGTGCGCCCGTGGTCCACCCAGTTCACTGATGCAGGCACGCACGCACGCAGAGAGGCAAAAGCGCACGTTAATGCACACGCAGCCTCCCACGTACACGAGATGGCCGAAGCGCACTTACCAACACCGACACAAACAAAAGCAAACACTCCCCCATTTAGCCTCACAGACTGCTGGGGCAACTGCTGTTAGCAAACACAGCGTAGCACACGGTGGAGTGGTGCAGCCTGTCCAAAAGGCAGCTTAACTGGCAGCCTAGCTGGCTGCCTCTGTCTTCTCAGTGGTGATGTTCACACAATGCACCTGGTATTCATTTTACACAGAGCTAAATGTTGAGAAAGTCGAGGCCAAGTTCAGAAACTAATCACCATCGATGTTGTTTACATCCAGGATGTAAACCCAGGTCAATGAGATTGCACCACCGTGCGTGCGGTAAACACTACGCTGCCACTCACTCCCCCACCAACACAAACGTGCAGGCTCGTAACACCCCTTGTGCACATGTGCATAAGCCTGCATACAAGCCCAGGCACGCCCACCGACACGTGTGACTAAATATCCATACAGATGCACAAAATGCCTTCAAATATTAAATTGGAAACTATTAGGAACGCGAGTTGGGCACTCGAACCATAGATATAACAGACATTTATGCAACTGCAGCATATGCACAAAGAGTTATACCACCGGTGTGAATTCTACATTCCGACAGTGGGGGCCAGTAAACTCCATGGGATGGCCACTATTTGACTTCCCAATAAGTGTAAGCCGGTGAAATATTCACTGCAAATCAGATGCAATTATCATTCCGCCTTCAGAGCCCTAACTGCAATCCTCAACCGTAAATATTGGCACGAGAACAAACGCCCAAAATTCTGTGAATGGGTTTAATGAATAATGCAATGTAACCTTTGGAGAACCAGAAGGCTGCTCATTTACTGTGAATAACTTTAATGAATAATGGGTGTGGCACCAGGGAAACATTTTAGTGAAAGTTTATGGCATAAATTTTGATTTAAAGCTTTCGTGACTGCAGTAATGCATATTCTTAGCTCTTTCGGTAAAGTCACGTTGAAGGGAAACAATAAAATAATAAAATATATATAAAACAATAAAAATCCTCACGACGTTTCGACCATAACACAAACGGTCGTCATACACCTGATGATGACCGTTTGTGTTATGGTCGAAACGTCGTGAGAATTTTTATTGTTTTATATATATTTTATTATTTTATTGTTTCCCTTCAACGTGACTTTACCGAAAGAGCTAAGAATATAGTTTATGGCATGTTTATATACACACAAACATAGTACAGAGGAACCCCCATCTCATTTGTACAAATTAAATGCCAGGATAATTTTCAAAATAATAGATAGGTGACCCTTTGCTGTGTAGTACATTGGCATACACACAGAAATGGAGGAACCAGTTCAGGCTTGAACCATTAAAACAATTTTACACAAAACTAACAATGCGTGTTTTCTTTTATATTGTTTAAAAGAATGTTACGTACTCTTTGGTTCTTTCGGTAAAGTTACGTAGGTAGAAAAAATAATAGATCACAACGTTTCGCCTGATGACGGTTGCTTGTGTTGCGATCGAAACGTCGTGATCTATTATTATTTCTACCCACGTGACTTTACCGAAAGAACCAAGGAGTATGGATTCCTGCAGTCACAAAAGCTTCCAATCAAGATAGAATGTTACATATTATTAAAGTGCAAGGGCGCAAATGAATGGAAAGTAATTTTCTACGTGTACATAAAAAAACAACCATCATGACACATTTACCAACATACCACGGCATGTAAAAAAACAGGCAATGGGATATGTATAGCACATGTATATGAATAGAAAAGTAGGTTGGCTTGGGCAGGACACGTTACTAGAAGGGAAGACGGCCGATGGAGTGGCAGCCAACGTGTCCGAGAGGGCATCCACCAAGAAGATGGAGTCATTAATTAGCTTGTGTGCAGGTGCTGGGTGGATTTTTACATCGCATAGTCGTGGCTTAGGGAGGTCTTCATCCTACACTGGGTTGACCATGGCTGATGATGAATAAAACTATTACTAAACTAAGCTATTTTTATTCTACCAGGTAAGGCCCACTGAGCTATGTGACCTGGCCACAAATGATAGCTCAACGAAGTGGCTTATCGTGTGGAAATGTATTGCAATCAAATACTCTAAACGCATTTTTCTAAATGTGTGGGGGGGGGGGGAGGAACCGGAGAACCTGGAGAAAAAGCCACACAACCACAGGGAGAACATGCAAACTCCAAATATGCAGGCATCAGGGTCGAACCCACAACCTCATGCATACAGGGCGAGGGAGTCGGCATCTCACCATTTTGCACTGCTCCGAAATTAAGCTGCAGTTGCTTTCACTTATCACGGAGGCTGATTAAAAAGATAAATATCAACACAGCAAAGGCCTGTTCGCTCCACTTCACGTTTATTCTGGATGGCCTTCACTGGCAGACAAGCCAAATGAGAGGAAGGTCATTCAGCAATACAATACATCAAATCAAGGTCAGGGGGTCACTACAACCCATCATCCCCCTGAGGTTGATAAAAAAAGTATATATGTCATGCTTTTTTTTAAAGTCCACGGGCGGTTGTCCTGTGGAAAGGTTGCCTGCTGCCAAAAGGAGTGTGGATTGTCCACCGCTGGACTCAGAGGAATGGCAATCCCCCCACGCTGGCTTGAGCAGACACACTTTTGAATTTGAGATACTACGATGCAAACACGTACATTGTACATGGGGGATAAGCTCTGTGCGTGCATGATACGTTTATCATATGCACACAGTCATTTCAACTTCTTTGTCGCCGACGCTTACCCTTAATAAAGCAACAACAAATCTCGTCCCGCGCACACAAAAAGAGGGTGAATGCTGGAGAATTAATCATTAACCAAAATACCACTCATCTACATGCCTTCCTGGAAAAATCTGCAACCACATTCCCAATCAACTGTACACGAGTGTTTTCAACACTTAGCATTCAGATAGTAAAGGCAACGAGGCCTTTTTACGAACTTACCAATGACACATGCCAATTAAGGATACGTCAAAACAGAGCCTGGTTTATTTAATTCCTTCTGATGCGACGACACTCACGGCTGAGTGATCACTGCAATTCCAATCAGCCGGCTACCAAGCACCACGCTCGCGATGCTCACAAACGTTTCAACTAATAATAGCCAAAAGGCGAGTATCAATTCACATTGACACCCCCTCCCCATCTCCTGCGATTGGATGCTCACTATTCAGGGCACAATTAAGATTGAATTGTCAATAATGCTTCTTTTACAGTGTCATTTGTCCCGTTTCCGGTATTTGTTTAAGTTTATTTGATTCGTTACACGGATGGTCCCGTTTACCCGGGAGATCCATGATGCCGCAAAAGCACAGCAGCAGCAACACAAACAAAAGACATCGATATTGTAGAGGACGGGTAAAGGATCCTTAAAGAGAATTGCACAATCAACAAACAGGGTATTCCACGGTTGTTGTGATTGGAGAGTCCTGATTGCTCCCTCAGCTTAAATGAAATATAAATTACATACATAGTCTTTGGGTCTTTCGTTAAGACCCATAGAGTATGAATTCCTGCAGTCATGAAAGCTTTAAGTCAAGAAATTACATACAATTTGTTTAAACCATAAATCATCGATTCTTCCAAGCACAATGCATGGAGGATGGTGGTGTAAAATTAATATAACAATAGGTTTTACTTTTTTTGTTTTGTTTTATATATATTTTATTATTTTATTGTTTCCCTTCAACGTGACTTTACCGAAAGAGCTAAGAATAGGTTTTACCCTTTCTGGCAATCAAACAGTTGTGTTAAGATGTTAAAACAACAAACTGAAACCTTTTGCAAGGAAGCATGTATGTGGTGAACATGCAAACAAAAATATATGCTCTGATATCATTTACATTGTCTTTGCAACTGATTGGTCCACACCAGAGACAGCTTTCTTTACAGCCTAGTCTCAAAACGGTGTTAGACCAGAGGACGCCAAAAGGCGTACAGCACAAAGACAATGCCACTATCATAGTAATGAGGGTTCGGGGTGAGCAACTACATCATGGGACCTCCCTTGCCAGTACCAAAATATAGAATAGGTTTTACCCTTTCTGGCAATCAAACAGGGGTTAAGATTTTAAAACACCAAACTGAAACCTTTTTCAAGGAATCATGTCTGCATTAACCACCTGTTTTATTGCCATGAAGGGTAACACCTATTCTTACATTTTGATGCTGGAAAAGGCGGCCCTATGATGTAAAAATCATGTTTTACTAGGGAAATGGATGCATCAAATATAATATGTTTAGCATCCAGCACAGGGGTTTTTGAGCAGGCCCTGATGCTGGGATGCAAGACAAAAGTGAATCATCAAATCTGACCCCATTGCTTCCAGTGGAGTGGAGCGGCGGCAAAAGTGCTCAGCACACCAAGCAGAAGGGTGGAAGTTTCCATTCTGGTCTGCAGTCAACTCAGCCAATAATCCTTCAGGGATAAATTAGATGATAATCACTTGACCGGAGGTCCAAACCACTCGTCCATCCCAGAGACCAGACCACCATCGTAGATTTTTTTGTAACTGTCACCAATGTCTCAGGTCTGACAGTGGAGATGATGGCTGCTCCACTGTTGGTTTGAACAGAGAGGCACAGACCCTTTTTATGCAACAAACATTATGACACCGATATGGTGACAATTACAGAACGCAAACTAAACTATCCATCAGCATTGCCACTGTCGGAAAGCAGTGATTTGGGGAACTAAAGGTGGGACCCAAATAAGCCAAAAATATAATTGACCTCAACCAAAGTGTACAATAAAAGTTAAACTTATAAATCATCAAGTTATTTCTACTATGCCAATCTTTTTTTCATGTTGCACTTAAGAGCATGTTGACTTGGCACACACAAACACTTGGCACACACCCTCTGAGCTCCACTCACTTTCTCAAGTGGTACCCCAGGATTCCATCAAAGTGTGTTTGTCGACAA